TATTCATCTATAAGTCTCATTATCCCATTAGCTCTCTCGCTTCCACTCTGTCTCTATCGCTAAGACTCATTATTTGGCCACAGTTTTAAACTATTTGGCTTTATTTTCCCATGATCTAAAAACCTTTCTCACCACTCTCCAATCGTATATTAACAAGAGAGAACGACTGCGAAATACTTTGATACCATGCGTAATACCCGCTGATAACAGGTAGTTCCTGGAGGAGTCGGGTGTGGGCGTGGTCTAAAAATGTATATGCCTTCCTTGGAGGAGGTTACCAGCAAATTACCTTCCATGTGTGATCGCTCTCTCTCTTTAAAATTGTGGGAGATTTGCAGAATTATCGATTTACATATCGCGAAATATCGACATTGCCGATTATGGGCGTGGCCATACAAATTTGTTATCGGTTCTTAAAGGCGCCTACTATTAATATCACTACCTAATTTGACATCTCGAACTGAAAACCTGCGGAAGACCTGCGGGGGCCTGGTGGTGACATATCCCGATATTTTAAGCTCATCGTCAACAGCCTACAAACTCAATCTGGAGAACGTAGCCTTAGAATTATTGGAGATATGTGCCTTTATCGATTTACGAATATCGATTTTATCGATTTTATCGATTTCCTAGCCCCCTAGCGAACGTAGGACTACAATTTCTACACTTCGTCTGACGTGGGCACAGACTAGTATGTGTTCCAAGTTTCAACTCTATATCTGTCAGGATGTCGACAAAAGTTGCGTTCAACAACAATATAAAAATTCACATATTATACATTCAATTTTCTACTGCTGATAGAAGTTTGATATAACGATTAATAATAATAAGTGTCTCACAGGTGCAGTAAAAAATAAAAACTTAATGGTTGAACGAGTGTCGGCAAGTGTTGTAGCTATTTAACTGCGATTTGTATGCAATGCTCAACCAAATTGCTCAAAGTGCGCATTTAAACACTGTTAATGTCTTAATAATTATAGATATGGCAAATCATTTAAACTATTCGGTATATTGAAGTTAAGACTTCAAGCGTGTGCCAGTCAGAGTATGTTTAAATTTAAACTGTATTGCAGGCAGGCAGAAATTGAAAATTAAATGATTGAGGCACTAACGTCTATCGCCACTGAATAATTAAAATAAAGTTAAGACTACGAACTGTGAGTCGCCGCGAGCAGATCATATACAACTTGGCAATCAATATATCTATTAATGGCAGCTGGCTTTTTGTTACGTGCCAACACGAGCCACATACTTTGGACAGATGTGATTAAAAATATATAAATCACACACACATAGTTTAATAGTCGCTTCGTCGAAGTGGGTGTTGAAGTCGTAAATTGTACAGCTCGCAACTCATTAGACACATGACGATGCGAAAAACATAGCACACACACACACCTACACACACACACACAGGGACAGCAAATCAAGCGGAAATTCGAAATGAAAATTAGAATGAAAATTTGCATGCGAATTGTTCAGACAATGCAATTTATGGCCGCATTAGAAACCCAAATTAGAGTTGCGTTCACAATTGAGCAACTAAAATTATTACGCAATCAGTGAAAAACCTAGAAATGTTCAAATTTATGGAACGCACAAGCAAGCTAATTTGGGAGCAGTCAGAGCCCAGCTGGAATTTGCCCAAAACCCATATCAACTGGCTACCTAAATAATTTGCTAATCATATCTAGAAAATCTTTATGATATAAGCTGAATTCCCCGTTAACACGTTTAAAGGCGAATTTTAAATTAACATTTTTCTTATGATAGAATCAACAATATAAAATAATTGTTGTAAATCTCATGCTATCTGGTTTTAACACCGGGTTTCTACACAGGTATTAACTTTGTATTTTTATTAAATAATTCAAACAGCATTTTTTTTCTAAATTTTATTTGCCATTGTACAGTATATTTGAAAGCCTACTTGCCACACCACATATAAATCACACGTTTTAGTGGATAATAATTTATGTCATCATAAAACGACAGAGTCTATAATTATTATTAGTTTTTTTATTGTAATGTTTTTATATTTGTAATATATTATTAGAAAAAAAACTGTCACTCGAATGCTTCATGTTAGTAATATATTGAATTGGAACTCTTCATCGTATGCTCTCTGTGTATTTCTCATACTTTTCAACTTTCCTTTACTTCAAATATCACCGTTATTATTCAGAATCACTCTTTCGTATCTATAAATCTCAAACATTCTCGAAGACTCTCTCTCTCTCTCTCTCTCTCTATAAGACTTTTTCTCTCTCTTCTTCTATATATCTCTATAAGTCCCTGTATCTGGTTTTCTCCCTCTTACTTTCTATCTCATCGAGTCTCGTTCTCACTCTTCCTCTATCTTATTATAGATCTAAGTCTGTCTTTAATGTTCTCTATTTCTTTCGATCTCTACTAATCTCATGGTATATCTTCCTCTTCCATCCGCTCACACAATCATTTTCATCCTCTATGTTGCTCTCTATCTCTATAAGACTGTCTCTTCATCTATCTCTAAATCTCATCGTAACTTTCCACTTTGTTTCTCTATAAGACTCATTCTCTTGCCTTCTCTCTTCATATGGGTCTCAAACTCCAACTCTTTCTCTCTATAAAAAGTAATCTTTCTAATTTTAAATATACTCTTAAAATACATAACAAACTATATTCAAAATTATTTTGCTTTTGAAAATCTCTTGAGTTTCAACAAGTTGGGGAAATGGAAGAAATGTTGACCAACGGTTCCGCTCTCTCTCTCTCTCTCTCCTCCATATTCCCTGATTTCTCTTACATTCATTTCCATGTGTCTCGGACTCTCGGCTTTTGCAACGTAACGTATACTTAATAAAGATGCGCCACCTGTTTAAACACAAAAATGATTAATAATAGTAATTGTTTATTTGATGTCCACATGGATGACATGCACAAAACACAAAAAATGCTGTGACCACATTAACTTAATTAAGGCAACTGAAGCCCAGCCATGAATAAGATGTTAACACCTGCAGTTGACCACATCAAAGTGGCAGTAGCATGCATTGCAACACAATGAAAGACAATAAGCCGATTTGGGGCAGAGAGAAGGCTTGGCCATTTGATTATATACATATATATATTATATAATCACAATCAGTTGGCTAAATTAAGAACTCCACAGCGCATAACAACAGAAATACAAATTATAACAAACTGGTTCAGCTCAGAGCACAGGTTAACCGCAAATTTGTCAAGAGCTGTGTTGAGTTTTCCAATGTGACTAACTTAAAACCACACACATGAGTGTATGTATAATAGTATGACAGATATGAACAAGCCATAAATAACATTCACGTGCTCATCGGCGACAATCTATAACAGTAATAAAAAAAAAGCGCGAACGTGGCTAAACAAAATAATTAAATAGATAAAAAAAAAAATGAAAATGAAAATAATCATTAAAAATCACTGGCACATAAAGTCAACAAGCCAACGTGTCGCAGCCAAAAAAAGATATAACTTAATAAACAATATTTATAAATATTTTAAACCAATTTATGCGCAGACAGCAATTGGCGGGCGGTTTTTTTATTTCAGCTGTCGGGTAATTGACGAGAGCGCACGACCGTCAATGTAAACAAAAATCTGGGATCGAAAACAAAGCTAGCAAAAAGAAAACAAAAGAATTAAATACAAAAAAAGAAAAGAAACAAAAACGCCACTCGAAGCAGTGCGGACGACGTCGTCGCTGTCGTCGTCGTCGTCGTCGTCGTCATCGTTGTCGCTAATGCAAACACACCCAACGCAACTGACCTCCGTCTCCACCTTCATCTCGAGAATTGTCGTCGCTGTGAAATGCGCTCTGTTTGCCTCAGCGGAGCGTATTTATATTATAAACAGATAGCAGATAGCAGTCGATCTGCATACATATCTTCTCTCCTCCCATTGGCAGGCCGTAAATATTTGCGAGAGCAGCAACTGCTTGGTATGGGTGACCATGTTGAGTGGAATTGAGAATGGCTCTGTTTGCATAATAATGCAATCTGTTAGCTTCGCAAAAATGCCTTTTTTTGCTACATACATAATATATGCACTTATTTTCAGTTACTTTCTTACATTGGACAATTCGGGCGCATTCAACTTAAATACAATTAATGATCATATTCAAAGTGCAATTAACAAAAATGACATATGTACTAAATTTCAATTTACTCAAAACGGTTCCTCAAACCAGAACGCAACGGTAAAAGTTGACCTCCAGCCTTCCGGCCAACTCCAATCAGGCAGCCGGAAAGCAGCGTTTTTTTTCTTTTTTTTTTTTAGTGATCAACAATAGCCATTCACAAACCTGTCACGACGCCAAGTTCCCGTCACTGTTTTCGTTCTATGAGCCTCATCAAACAACAGCTGTGAGGTAGACAGAGAGAGATAAATAAAGAGAGAGAGAGAGAGAGCTTTCTTTTAACAGTGAAATATACGAGCGCAATTTGCTTAATTTGCCTAATCCGCTCGTGTGGAACCCACACCAAATGCAAATTTTACTCTTATTATCTCTGCCAATACCTTCATCTGTACATACACACTCACACACACACCCACACAGACAAACAGTTGTGTGTTTTTTGCAAAGAGAGAATCAAGCGAAGCGCCTACGTCGCTGCTTGCGTCGCTGCCCGCAGCAGTATCCAAAAAGTATTTAGCTTTTGCTTTTGTTATGTCCGGCCATTCGTATGCTCATGCTTCGTGCTCAGTTGCGATCGGCAGGCAGCAGGCAACAAACGGAACTAGATCCAGTCGTCACCGCCTGCCAAAGAGAGTGACAGACAGAGAGAGAGAGAGAGAGAGGAAGAGAGAAAATTAAATAAATTTCGCCGTCTTCTCCATCCTACGTTGGCATTGTTATTGTTGTTGTTACTCTTGCCTGCCTGCTCGGTTGCTATCGCACTCTCACGTTCTGGCTGGCTTATAGTCGTTTCGGGTTCGGGTTCAGGTTCAGACCACACTGCGTATACGTTACTCTGCCCAACACCCAGTATATAAAGTGCAAACAGCCGCGATGATTGGCATTCATTGTTTGCACAAGGGAAGCTAAAGCTCGCTAAAGGCCGCGAGGCAAATCAACAATCACCAACAACAACAACAACAATACACGTCCAAAAGGACCTCAATCAACACACTTCAATCAAATGTGTTGTTTTCGCTTTTTCGTTTGATTCTGTGATCAGCTGAATTGTGTTAAAAATTAGCAGTATTTGTAACTGTCAAAGTTGTTAAGCGTTTTAGCTATACAAATGTGCTCGAAGAAAAAAAGGGGCACAGATAAATAAATCAAACAACAACAATAAATAACAAATTCGCTGGCAAATAAACAAACGCCGCAAAAACAGAACCAACCAGAATACTATAGAAACGCGCGCGCCAAAAAGCAATAATTAATTAATAAATTTTTGTTGAAAACAAAAAAAAAATCTCTAGGTATTTTCCTTTTGATTTCAAAATTTTCTCACGCATCACACAAAGAACTAAAAGTTCTAAATAAAGTAAATAACTAAAAAAAAAATCAATATGGAGGTGCAAAATATGCGAGAGCAGCCGATGCTGCAAAGCAATCATCGAATCCTTGACTCCAGATGTGCGGTAAGTGTGGCATACCACATAGATACCCTATAGTAGTTGTAGTAGTTGATCGACCTCCAAACCCAATACGTAAATATAGTAATCGTTACTGTAAACATGCCTCGTTTGCGTGGGTTCCACTTTCAGTGCCAAAGACGTGCAAATAAATATAGAGAGTCTGTGAGCCAATAATAGCTTAGAAGAATTATGATACCGTAAACATTTTCTAAATTGAATACTACATATATATGCATGTGCATAAATTGAGGGGCTGGTGCTTTGAAATGCCAATTTAAATTAAATACGCACTTCAGCTGCAATTAAATCAAATTGTTTGCCAAATATTTGAAATAACATTGTTGCTCTTGGTTTTTCAATGAACCGAATAAGAAGTATTCTTAACACTACGAATAAAACCAATTGCTTAAAATTATCTTCTGTTATATGAGAATAGGGTTCTTAACATTTTGATAGTTGGCTTATAAGTGCATTTGACATTAACAGTGTGATGCTAACAGTAAAAATAAATATTAAGCACAAATTCATACTTCAAATAAGTCATAAAATTTTGCTTATTGATGTTTACAGTAACAGGTTCATATAATAATATTGTTAGTTAAATAAATAACAAGTTCTTTTCATATAAATAAGACTCAATAGATTTAACAGTTAGGCATAGTTTGAAATATTTCCTAATAGTTTCAAATATCTTAAGAGTTTCTTTATACATTTCTAGGCAAAACAATATTTCTTACTTGGTTTTTTTGCACATTCATTTTTTAATATTCAATTACGTTTATTTTATTTATAAAAAAAAAATTATTTTATTGTAACTGTAATTTAAAAACTGAATTGCTTAAAAAATGAACACAAATTCGAAATTTGAAAAGAAAACTAAAATAAATAGTGCTCAAAGTCCAGTTAAATCTGTAAATTTAAACATTTTTCAGTTTTTATTAACCACTTTAAATAAAGTAATACTATTAATATAAATGGACTATTGCTGCAATACAATATTCTTTTGTTGAATTCTAAGTGCTTATTTTATTTATATATATATTTGTGATTATTGTAATCTAAAAATTTAAATGCTGAAAATAGTCAACTAAAACTAAAAATTTCAATATTCATTTAAAATACTAACATAGAATTAATGAAATAATATAGTAAAGGGTATAACAAGCATCTATTTATAAATTTCAACCTATTCTTTATCTTTTAAGCAGCACTAAGAAGTTATATATCTGTTAAGTTACTAATACCTAAGAGTATATATTACTGACATACCCCAACAGATATGTTTTCCATTTTTCTGTCATTTGCGCTAAATACAAATATGAAGTGTTGGACCATAATTTATGCGATCTGTCAAAAGTGTACATGAAAAGCAAATAAAAATATTGTTTGCTTGCTTGCTTTTCCGCCGGCCATGAAATTGGTAATGGTCATGGAAATGCAAGTGAAAAGTGCTGTCGTGGAAAAACACATGTGCTGCAAATTAAAATGTCTGGCTTTCATCTAAGAGCCATAAATAACGATAATAAATCTAGACATACAGAACACACATATATATACTATATATACATCAACTATTACGCTTATATGTGAATTGCTAGTGAATTTTAACGATTTGTTTCGTCTACAGCTGAACGATTTATATCCGATCGCCCGTTTGACTCAGAAATTGGACGTGCTCAATATGTCGTCTACAACAACAACAACAACAACAGCGGATACGGAATGCCCGTATACCATTGAACTGGTGCAGCCGGAGGACACTGAGGCAATTCTAACCATGCTAAAGACTTTCTTTTTTAAGGTAGGTTTTCGTTTCGGCTTGTATGCCCCAGCTCTCTATTGTTATGCAAATTGTGATTAATATGCAGTCGCGTTTCGATACTAGTCAAAACAAAGCCAAAATTCTTAATAAATTTCTTATAAATATTAATTAGTGGCATTAGCGCACGATTAGCTCCGTTAAGCTCACAAATAAATTCAAAAAAATTCCAGTTGAATGAATTAAAAAGTTTAATGAATGCATTGGGTATTTTAACTTGTTTATTTTGCATCTGCTTTATGTTTTCTTAGTACGTCAAGTTAGTGAACCTTATCCTTGATTTTTAGATAACTGATTCATCGGGAAGTCCCTTAAGTTTTTGTACCTTCTCTTTTTTTTAATCAAATCATATCTTTGATGGAAACCAGTTTAAAGAAGTCATGTAAATGACGACTTTGAACCGTTTTCGCTCTGCTGCAAGCGACTAAAATATCTCGATCTTTTTTAATTAAACTTGCATAAGAGGCGTGACCAATTTCCACTCCAATTAGAATGCCATAAAATAATACGCAAACATCTCAAATATACAATCAACAAATCACATTATGCAGCCCACACCTGGCTTACTGACTGATTAACTGACTGACTAACTGACTGACTGTGTGTGACTTCGGTTCCGTTTTGCATTGCAATAAATTAAAAAAATGATGCCGATCGAAAAGACTTGAAATTGCCAAGTGCGCGCGCATAAATCATTTTATTATAATTCTAATCGTGCCGCGTAATTGCCTAGAGAACAAATTGTTTGCAATTCATAAATGCAATCAATCTTATCTGTCAATTAAATACTTGTCGCGTAATATTTGATTTGCCAGCCAAGCATAGCTATTATTGTTATTACTATTATGATTAGTGACAACATGATGAGAACCTGATCTGCATGCGCAGTGCGAACCAATTTCTGGTTGCCAAATATCTTTGTAATAAAAAAAAAATTAAGCAACAAACAACAACAGTCAGCAATACAAACAACAAACAAGCTGAGCGAGTTGATTCATTTTGCGAATCGGGTTTTGTTTTTTTTTTTTTAGTTTGTTTCGTTTTGATTGCGAACTGATTAGCATAAATGTCTTAATTTCAGGATGAACCGATGAATAAATTTCTTGAACTCGGTGAGTGCTATCAACTGGAACAGTTCTCAGTGAAACCACTCAAGGACAATTGCTCATATAAAGCGGTCAACCGCAATGGCGAAATCATTGGCGTCTTCATCAATGGACTTATGCGACGACCAGTAAGTGGAGAATTCATTTAACTACAAATCATATATATATTTAACACAACTTTCTATATTGATTTATCATACGTCTGAATCTGCCTAACTATTTTATTCATATTTTGTAAGTCACATACGTGTTTATCATATATTATCATAAAAGGGCACTGATTTTCACAAAGTAGCCATACTTTTGATGCCAAAAGTAACTCAACTTATTATCTAGAAAGTATGTTTCTTAAACGCAAGGTTTTGCTCTTCTAAAAAAACAGGTTTTTTCTTTTCTTAATTTCGGAGTATATTTTTATAAAACTTAAAAAAAATATGTCTAATTTTCAGAGTGTATAAAAAAAATTAAAATGTTTAATTATGAAAACAATAAATAAATGTATGTCGTATATTAAGGAAACATATATTTAATTATAAATAAATACAACTTTATAGTTCTAGCAACATATTCAACTTACATGTTTTAATCATTTTTTGATTTATTGTTTACAGTCGCCAACTGATGAGCCCGCTAAGAAGGCGGCCGATGACTGCGAACATCCCAAATTCAAAAAGATACTCGGTCTTATGGATCACATAGAGGAGCAGTTCGACATATTCGATTTGTATCCCAATGAGAATGTCATACTCGATGGCAAAATCCTCTCCGTGAATAGCAATTATCGTGGTCTGGGCATTGCGGGCCGTTTAACGGAACGAGCCTACGAGTATATGCGTGAGAATCAGATAAACGTTTACCACGTCCTCTGTAGCAGTCATTACTCGGCGCGAGTCATGGAGAAGCTGGGCTTCCACGAGGTCTACCAGCTTAAGTATGCGGACTATAAGCCGGATGGTGTTGTTGTCTTCAAGCCAGCCGAGCCACATGTGCGCGTTTCCATGCTGGTAAAGGAGGTGGTCAACACTAAACCAAAGTCTTTATTGTAAATGCTGTAAACTCTCCGAGCAATTATGCATTTTATTGAAAATATGTGATTTTTATGTTTGTAGAATCGGTGGCGGGTTATATATATGTACAAATATATATATATATATATATATATATATATATATATATATATATATATATATATATATACTTATACGTTTGCGTATCGTGCGTTCATTTCATTCTTGATGTGCTTTCAATTAATCTAGTAGCAAAATATTAGAAAAAGAAAAAAAGTACAATTTATATAAATATTTATGTAATTAGGTTCGCATGACGCGACATTATTTTAAGTGTTCCAATTTGCTCAAAGAAAAAATAAATAGTTTAAAAAATACAAATTAAATCAAACGTTTTTTACTCTGAAACCATCATATAAAGGGAAATTGAAAATAGGGTGTAATGATGTTGTGCACAAGTAAGTAAATTGATCAAAATTACAAGTCAAATCTATTCAGTCATATATATATATATGATAAATATATATATATTTGCGTATTCTATATGGATTTGAAATCTATAGATGTGTGTTCACAAATAAGTAACTAATTCGTGTTTATACATTAAGTTAAACTTCTACTTGGTTAAGATATTATTAAGATGCTCTTCCTCTCAATTACAATACCTAAGATATATCATACGAAGTCATATTTTTTACTCAAGTAATCGTGAGTGGCACAGCTAAGGATATTATCATTTTCGGATTATATGCTTGGAGTAGAAATAGGACGAATTTTGTAATTCATTTTATAATTATAATACTTTCACTCAAAAATTACTAATTTCATGTAATAATTCAAAATTATAATACACATTCTTTACATATTTATTTATTTATTTACACATTTACTTAATTTTCATTTATTTGATGGACGAATCAGCATTTTAACTTTTTTGAGTGCATTGTCAAACCAGTTAACATAATTATAATTATTGCCCCAAACACCATTTAAATTATTGTGGAAATAATAACGTCAATTGTAAAATATTTAACAGGTAATACATCGAGTTATTTGCTTATCAGTTTCTACATTTATTGTACCAACAGCCACCATGGAATAATTTGGCACAATTGCTATAAGAATACCACTTCTTAGGGCATCGATTGTGACATTGCTGATATCACCTATGGTGATTGCTAATTTTCATAGCTCGCATATTTGATTACCCCTTTAAAGTCTTCCAAGAGATGGATCTTCTCCAAGAGATGGGTCTTCTCCAAGCTCAAGAAGAAATCGCTATCAAAGGAGACAAAGCCTACACGGTAAGTGGCCCAATCCCTTTTGATATCCTCCTGACCGTGTTGATTCGCTGATGTCACACATCAAATGAATAATTAGAGAAATTAATTTTATGAACACCCGAAGCATGTCCGCAGGAATCCATTAAAAGTGGTTTTTCATTTAAGCTCTCCAATTTCGCAATGGTTTTTTTTTTGTGGCTCCAACTGTTCGTTTAGTCTTACAAATGCTTGAATAGACTGAAAAAATTTGGAACTTTTCTAATACTTTTTATTCTAAAGAGTTTCTCAAAAATATAACAAATTTACAAATTACAATTTATAACAAGCTATTCTTTATTTGGCTACCATTTGGCCCAAGGGATCCTTGGCCAGACGCTCGACCATGCGTCGCATCTGCTCCTGATTGCCATATTTTTGTGCGTCGGCGACAACAGCCGCATGATGAGAATTTGCCTCCGCTGAGATTTCATCCTGTACGTGACGGTTCAGCTCAAAAGAATGTCTGCAAGGCGATAGTTAAAGTATTTAATTTGTATTTGTAGTATTAATTTGTCACTCACTTGGCAGAACTGAATCCAAAGAACGCGCCTAGAATCCCCAGCGATATTAGAAATAAAGCCACCTGCCAGTTTGAGACGCGACTTATGCCCTTTATGCCATAATAGGGGCCCGGATCCGTGCTATAATTGGTCCTAACTTCCCAGGGCTGAATTGTTTCCCGAGTGCCTCCTGGATTCCAGATTAAACTAGCATCGTAATCCTTGCGTGTCGATGTCTTTATCAGCGTCTGATATGCCTCTGTTATTTGCACAAAACGCGCCGTGTTCTCAGCATTTGCGGCATTTGACTTTACATCTGGATGATACTATAAAAAATATAATAATAAAAGATTAGCAATAATCAATAGTGAAAATCTAAGTTCACATGTTGCACCTGTTTGGAGAGTTTGAGATAGGCGTTTCGTATGTCCCGCTTTGTGCAATCATTGCTCACATTCAGCACTTCATAGTGAGACTCCTTTTTGGTATTCCATTTTGCATTGTTGGCAAAACTGCGTATTAACAAATTAAACGTTACTTTATATAACAAACAACTAATACAACTACCGCACTTGTTACCTACTTACGTCTACAGGTGGCCGCTTCGGCGGCCACAATTAAGCTTGGTAGCCTCAGCATATTAATTGTGTCCCACCGTTATTTTTATCACTGCTGCAGTATATCAATAAACAAATAATTTTTACTCCATTTGGTTTCCGAACGCAAACAAAAGTTGTAAGTGTTGAAAAGTGTTGTAGCTGATAGCTATCGATATAACGCATACCTATCGATGGCATTACACCAACCCTCCCATCGATATGTTGAGAAACAGCTGTTCTGTTGTCATTTAGTTTCCAGGTGTAAAGCTTCGTTTCACGCGTTTTTCGGCGGTTACCATTATTCAATTATTTGCTGTCCAAACCAACATTATACAATAAACCATAGCTGCTTAGAACATTACGCAACAAACTGTATTCATTAATTCAATTTATTGACAATATAAAAAAGTTTTTTTCAAGAAAACATAAAGTGCGCGCTGCTAATAACATAGCAGCAAATGTTAAGTGTTTAGCGCTGTCATGACAACGATAAAAAAATTTGCGCTCTTTCAGAAAATAACAAATTTATAAAAACAACTAAAAATGAGCGGCGAAAAGAAAGCAATGGAATTGCAATTGCAAGTGCGCCAAAATGCATGCGAGTATCAAAGCTCCGTTTCGGATCTATACTCATGGGAAAAGGAGATTAAAAGCAAGGAGCGAGCAATGCAAAATGCTCCCGCTCCGACCGTCCAACCAAACGTGAGTAAAACGTTTTCTTTTGTATCGAGATCGAGACTTATGCTTATTCTTTTGTGTAGAGTGCGCCAGTCCGCAGTCATGTGACAAAGGCAGAGGAGACGCTCAAGAAATCAAGCAATGATGTTGGTAGTGCCAGTGGCTCAGCTGCAAGCACGCCAACTGAGAAGCAGGATCTGCCCACAGATGCAGTGGCTCAGCAGCACAAGAAAGCGAATGATATGAAGGATCGCGGTAATAGTTATGTAAAGCAATCGGACTATGAGCGAGCCATCGAAACATACACTGAAGCCATAGAGGTCTATCCACACGATCCAATATACTTCATAAACAGAGCATTGTGTTATCTCAAGAAGGAAATGTGAGTAATATAAAATCTTCAATTTAGGTAAACTTAATCTAACATTTTTATTATTTTATTTTTTTCGAAGCTATGACAGATGCGTTGAAGATTGTGATGTCGCCATTGGGCTGGACAATCTGTGCGTAAAGGCCTATTATCGGCGCATGCAAGCGAATGAATCGCTGGGCAACAATATGGAAGCTCTGAAGGATTGCACCACTGTTCTGGCCATCGATCCCAAGAACTATGAGGCCAAGCGCAGCTTGGAACGCATCAATGAACGCTTACGCAAATTTGGTATTTATTTCATTATAATACCAATAAGATCACACTTACATTGCCACTTATTTTACAGCTACCAAAAATGGTCCCAACTTTAGCGCACCACGTGATGATTTTATTGATATTTTACCATTTGATAAGCCGGCTTACAAGCGCTCACAGAAACCAATGCGTCGATTGCCCGTTGTGGACATTGTTTCGCCCCGACCCAATCAAAGTGAACCCAAGCAATTGCACATAACGGATGAGGAAATTGACAAGATTTTCAACAGCAATTGTGGGCCCTTTGAGGAGGTGAAAAAGGCAAATGCACAGAAAAATGTTGACAAGCCAAAACCCTTGGAAACCAAACAAAAATTAGATGTTCAAATTCAGGAAACTAAGCAACCCTCTTCTCAGTCAAAAGAAGCCAGTAAAACCTCAGACAAAGCTGTCGAAACTGCCTCTCTCCAAACCATAAAACCTGAAGAATCCAGTAAAAATATGAAAATTGTGGAAGTTGCAGCTGCCCGCCAAGACTCAGTAAAACTTAAAGACACCGAGAAAAGTGTCAAAGCTGTAGAGAAATCAGATCTAACTACTACATTAAACACTACAAATACTAAAACTGTGTCCCAACCACAAGTTGATCAATCTGAAGTCAGCTCAATGGAGGTATATATATACATTGTTTCTACAACGAGTCCGATTAATTTATGCGATTTTTTTGCAGCACGTTCCTGCTGCTCCGAACGGCACCGCCCAGTTCTATATCACCTGGAAAGAACTTTCGCCAAATCAGAAATATCACTATTTGAAATCTATTGAAATTGCCAACTTGTGCAAAATACTTGGAGCTGGCTTTGATCCGGACACATTTGCGGATCTGTTGCGCACATTGCATGACTTCTATGTGCCCAACAAGGAGCCAACAACAGCAGCTGTGCTGCTGGAGATTAGCAAAAATGATGAGTTCACCATTCTCGCCATGCTCATGTCAAAGGAGGAAAAGAAATGTAAGTGCTGAACTATTTGCAAAAAATAATTGTTTACATTTATCATTCTGTTCTTTTAGTGGTTGCTTTTGTCATGGATGAAATTAAGAAGTTCCCGAAAAACAATCCAGCATTATTGGATAAACTTACCAAGGCCTTCAATTTAGCTTAAAATGAGGATTTGACCCCGAGCTAGCCTAATCCTCATTGACTAAAGTTTAAATTGTTAAAAGCAATAAACGTTTTTGGTTCGCTTCAGATTGTTAAACTCAAACATTAAATATGGCTTTTTTTCTTAATCTTAATTACAAATATACATGTGAAGAGCGTACAAATTTAACTGTTTCCACTCTATATTTAGTTTAAACTTTCAAACGCACTAAATACTTGTAAACTTCAAAGCAAAAGCTCGCTTCACTTTAAGGTTAAAAATCATAAATCTTAACCATTTCCAATAACAACAAGACGACCGATGAATATAAAGTTTTTACCAGAAGTAAACGAACACCGTTTTGGCTGAGAGAACTCGAGAACGTCGCCTCAGTAGTCAGGCAATGAATATTAAATAGCAAATTGAGTAATATGAATTAGTGTAATTTACATAAATCAACGTATTAATTCAATCAGAGAAAGCATCTACCCAAAATGAATGTATGTCTGTCTGTCTATCAGTCTGTCTGTACTTCTTGTAAACAAACAGCTCCATTAAGTGATTTAAAGTTGAAACTATGCGTTGATGGGTTCACTGCAGCACACACATGGATACATACCTACATATATACATACATACATATATACTCGTACATACATACATATATACATACATACATACATAAATACATGCAGACATGTATTGCATTACAGCTAATGGCAAAGGCGTGAAAATACATTGGGAGCATTGAGCATTGCTAATCCGAAGTGAGCCAGCCACTCTCGAGAATTCTCAAGCGTAGCCGAAGCCGGATTTGTGTCAGCGCTCGGCTGCCCACTAATTGCGTGAGAGCCGACGGCCGACGGCTTGTACTAAGTAACAAATACATGTGGCTTGTTGTTGTGCCCCATTGTTGCCTCTACTACTACTACAACTAGTTTATAATTTAATTTACATTATTTTTCTTATCGCTCGTACGCTGCATGTGCGAGTGAGCGTGAGGTTGCCAGATGAGCGCAAAAGTTGGCGGCCGCTGTGGCAACTCCGAAGCCGAAGCCGAAGCTAAGCTTCATTAAGCAGAGATGGAGAGTCAGCGAACGGAGCGCATGATCGCCCAGTTGCTGTCCACACTCTAACAGATTTAGATATCGCGCTCTGTGCGAATGAGAAATAAAATAAATCAAATCAAGCAAGCAGACAACAAAAGCGAAAAGGCACACGCAAATAATAAGCTAGTATTCGTATATCGCGTATACGAAGCGTGAACACACAAATAGCGATTAAATAACCGTAAACAATTGCAGTTTAATATTAGCGTCAAACTAACGGAAATTTTGTGTAAGTGTGTGAGTGTGCGAATTGAAATGCTGTTATTACAATAATAATAAAAAATAAATTAAATTCAAATGCAAAACACAAGAGAGAGATGGAGAGAAAGCAACTAAAGAATACACAAGTAATACACAGTGTATAAGCAATGGAGAAAATAAAAGCAAAAGTAATGTAGACTCTTGGTGGAAAACCTGAAAATTGTTGCAATTTTAAGAAAAGCCATAAAATATGTGCGTAGCGGGCAAAAAGCAACAGCAACAGTGCGTATGAACATGTGTGTGTGTGTGTGTGTCTAATATAAACATGTTTGTATAAACACACAAACATGCAGCAGTTATATTTTCACAGTTGTGACTCTGAATTAATATCTAAAAAAGTGCAAATTATCAGCAAAAAAAAAAGGAAAAATAAAAACAAAAACAATGAAACTCCCACCAAAAAAATACGCCAAACTCGCGCAGCATCAGCTCAAAACAACAAATCTCTGCGACAGAGCGAGATAGTAGGCGTGCGAGCGAGAAAGACTGCCTGCATACCAATACACCAATACTGATATAGAGCCACGTACATTGCTTACCTCTCAGTTAATATTGTATTCAACTTCAACAACTGTTAAAGAATGCAAAGCGAGTTTGTTTGTTGCTATTGTTGTTGTTGTTGTTGGTGTCTGGCACATCTTTAAGGTCTCGGGAGATCGTCGTGTAAACTGGCCGCCCACCTGCCACCTGCACGTTGTGCCTAATTTATGCTGAGGTCTCACAAAAAAAAACCAAGCTCAAAAGCTCAGCCTGTTTGGCGAGCGCCTCTTCTATTCATGTTTGTTGTTGTTGTTGTTATTGTTGTCGATTTCTTCTTATTGTCGATTTCTTCTTATTGTCGATTTCTTCTTATTTGCGTATAGCGTACTTCATCGCCCGTCTCAACCTGTGCCATGCGCAAAACAAAAAACTAAAACATATCCCCATACGCCAATAGCTCAAGAAAAAACAACAAAAACAACAACAAAAAAGAGCCAAAAACGACAACAAAAACAAATACATTGAATATCAGCAAAAGACATAAAAATTCAACCGGTTGGTTGAGTTTCAAAGCCGCTGCCGCAACCTCAGCAACAGCAGCGCAGCAGAAATAATTTGTAAAAAATAATAATAAAAAACTACAGCAAAAAAGAAAGATATACGTTTTTAATAATAGGGTAAATAAAAAAAAAAAAACCACACGAGAGTGTGCCGCCAATCTTCGCTGCTTTTTTAGCATAGTTTCTTTTCTACAAATCCGTTTAGATTATTATTTTTTTCCCAATTGGTGTTTGATAAAAAAAGCAACAAATAATTCATTTCTAAATGGAATAATACCGGATTTCTGCAAAGTACATGTAGATATGTATGCTTTATACGCAATTATTTATAACTTTATCATTTTAATTATATTAATAGAATAGTTTTATCAAGCTGTGCATACTAACTATTCCACGCTTTAAGACAGCTTTAATCAATGCTGCATAATATGGCAACGCTTAAAAGCTGACAAGCAACGGATTATTAAGCATTTGATTGTTTTACAAATTGTATTGTTGCTAAGCCGTCGGCGTTTTAAAACTTTCAGTACGTGCTGCTAATTCTTCCATGGAAAAACATCAGTTAATATAGCACTTGTTATATAGTTTAAGTAGAAAAATTATATTCTTTGCATCATTTCCCAGCAAACTTTCAAATAGCAAAATTTACAAAAATTTAACTTTCCAAAAAAAAATAAATAAATTTTTGGTATATATACTTTCATCTACTTAACGTAACTATGTTAATTGCAAGTCACTGGCCTAAACAAATAATTATATAAATGAGAAATGAATCATATATGATATACATATCTATAATTATATATATTTAGCTGCTTCTTAGGCCTCATGACGCATCTGCGTCGAGGCCCTGAAACTAAAATTGAATCTCATGGCTGAATTGTATCTTCATCTGTCCAAACTGTTTGGGGTGTCGCAAGGAAGTCGAGTATTGGATTAAATCTTTAGAGTCCACGTGCTAATTGAATTTATAAGTTGTTGTTGTTGTTTTTGTTGTTGTCGCCTTTTTGGACACACGTTTATATTGAATTTGTTCGTAGACTATCTGCCACTATTTACATACATGTGTACAAATTGAAATCATGCGTTTTGGCCAACAACCACAAGCTCAACTCAATTGTGTTCTGGGCCGCTAAGCAGAGCACTCTTCTCCGCTCGGCTAATCCGCATGTAATTGAAATGTTGCTCAAAATCACATGCCAACGCCAATTAGCACAACAGCAATTGCAAATATGCGTTGAATATTCAGTTTTTCAGATTTATGGCTTAATCGTTTTGTGGTTTTTTCGTGCAGCTTTGACCGGCAGCTGAATTCAATGCAAAATGTTGTTGTTTTTGTTGTTGTTGTCGCTCGTTTTATTGGTTTATGACAATGCTAATAAAACGCTAAATATTTTCGAGGCGTGATGCATAAAAAACAGCAGCATCAAACATTGGTCGCCACACAAAATGAAGATGGCCAAAAGCGTTTGCAGTTGTTCTTCTTCTTGTTGTTGTTGTTGTTCTTGTGGTTCAAGGATAAGCATCCGCCAACCAATTGAGCAACAACAAAACAGAATCAAACTACCGCTGACTTTAACTTCCGTCTTAATCAAAGCAAAACAAAAACAATAACAGCAGCTGTTTTTTTTTAACCAACTACAGGTTTTCTGTCTGTCTGTTCAATTTTTTTTATTTTGTTTCTGCATTTTTTTTTTTTTTTTTATAAATGCTGCGCAACTTCTTTAAAGAAAATCTCTTGTCATTGTTCTGATTTTTTTGTTAAATATTTTAAGAAATTTGAGTGCTGTTTGTGGTTGTTTGTGTTTGGCTATTGCGTCAAACTAAATCAAATCACTTGAGTTATTTTCATGCATATGGCGTTTATTGTGGCTGCTGCTTGGGAATTTTTGCTCAAATCTATCCATATCCATATCCATATCCACAAACATATTCATACAATGTATATTCATATCTCAGCACGTCGCGACGTTTGAGTCGAAGCGTTAATTTAATCAAAATCATTGCGACAACACGACAAAACAGCAACGTCAATGAATGCCACAACAACAACAGCAACAACAGCAGCTATAGTGAAGACTACAGTCAGTGGCAAAAGCCAGAAGAATGTCTCCAGTCTACATTGAATTGGGTTTTTTTGTAGTTTTTGTTTTATTCTGTTCGTTCTATATTGAGGCCCTTTACAAAAGATTTACATACTTACATGTTTCTAGGTAAAAGTTGTTGCTTGAATGAAATTTTATATATTCTTGACATTCGGCAAAAATCAAATAGACTTGTAGACAGTTTCTTAAGAGATCGGCTTTTTCAAGAGTTTCCAAAATTCTTGCAAGAACTGTTCGACCATTTTACATATGTATTTAAATTTTTAATTATTTTTGTGTTTGTTTACTTTCCTTTTAGCAAAATTTTAAAATATTTGTAAATATTATTTTAAGCTTATCTTAGAATTTATTTAACCTGTTTTAAAAATGGTGTATTAAATAATACTGTCCATATTTAAGAAAATTGTATTTACTGGTTGTAAAATGCATCTAATTAAAGTAACTAATTGGAACCATATTTTTCAATACTTCTGAAAAGGACTTGACTTAATTCCGAGTAAGCTTTATTAAATATATAAAGTTGGGAGAGTAATTGACAGCCCCAATTTATATATAGATCAATATGTCTTCATTCACTCCATTCAAACTTTCTGAAAGTTCATAGTACTTGCTAGTTATATCCTCACATTATAGATATTCAAAAATTCTTATATAATCATTTTTATTTATAGAACCAAGAGACAAAGTTCAGCAGATCAGCTAAAGTAATTTCATCAGATCTTGTAAAAAATCCGTATTTATTCATATCCGCTGGCCAGTCGGATCCATTCAAGAGTCCAGTCAAAAATGTCTATATATATATATATATATATATATATAAATATTTATTCGTATTCGTATCCGTTAGCCAGGCGGATGTAATATCCGCCCTTTATCATTATATCTTATTGCGCCACAAAATTGGTCTGAAATAAAGGCAACAACAATGCAGATAAGAAGACAGACGCAGACAGACAACAACAAGAACAACAAACGCATCACTTAAAACGCAATTAAAAGCAAATAAAAACAAAATATTAAATTAAAACACTTAATCACTTTAAAATAATATATATATATATATATATATATATATATATATATATATATGTATATATGTATCTTATAGATTTCACATGCAAAAAGTTTATTTTGAATATGTTGATTCTGTTGCATACTTAGCTGCGCTGCTGTGGCATCTAATTAATAGCTGACTTAATATATTTTACTATAGTATTAATAATACTACTATTAATTATTAATAATTTCTGTTTCTGATTGGGAAACAAAAACCTTGAAGCGCTGCTCTTAACCTCATGTGTAATTGTAGGGAAAGAATGCGGTTACATTTGATGCAATTTGTATGTAAATAATGAATTTATTATGAGCATGAAAACTGCTGCTGATACTAGCTGGCAATGTGAATGAGCTTATCTCGGCTTTTGGAATTTTGCGCTTTTGATCGTGGTTCAGAGTCGAAGTGAGATATCCCGTCAAGTGCATATGTCTCTTAAAAGTTGCGACGTCATTGTCCTATCAGGCTGACTGCACAAAATTATTTTAGATATGCAAAAACCACTCGGTTCAATTTGTCAACCAAATGTATAATTAAAATACAATAAATTACAGCGAATTGTTGTTTAGTGCAGTAAGATTCCGAGAATTTTAGAAAACCAGAATTGGCGATTGACTCTTATTTTAACCTGACACAATAGTAATAAAAAATGATAATAAAAAAATAAATCAAGTTTCAGCACTTTTTGCATTACTATTTTTTTGCTAATCAAATTGCAATTTTTCTAATAAAACGTTCGTGGCAATCGAAATCAATATAAACAATAAACAATAAGCTAATTGTTATAACACAATCCATGATTGGCATTCTATAATGTGTGTGTTTGTTTTATTATCATATATAGAATCACAATCGAAATCATGCGGTAGTCTGAAGACACATTGAAATAATGCCACTGAAGTTTAAACATTTATTGGACAACTATTTTTGGACATGAATATGGATTTTGATTTTCCGGACTTTTGTAAGTATGCCTTAATATATAAGACAATCTATATCTAAAGTTTAGAAATAAATTTGAGTCGACGAGTATTAATTTAAATTTAAACAAAATGCCCATAACTTAAGATTAATCTTCCTAAAGTAAAATAGAGAAACTTTATAATAGAAAACAATTAAATCAAATAGAGAAGTTATTTTAAAGGCACATTTTAAATGCTTATCTAGCTTTGACGAATATTTCATCAAATCAAATTGAGTAGTCTTGTGGCTTGGCAGATACATGACCATAAAATTAGAATAGTCCCTGGCAAGGTTATCAAAAAAAGTGAATAAATTGTCCTTCGGCTGGTCTCTAAAATATGCGCCACTGCACCAAACTGCCAAAAAAACAACTAACAACAACATATTAGAATGCTCTAGTCTCGAAAGTTCGACTAAAAGATACCCTGGATTCAGCTTTCAAATATATTGAAACGAATAAAACACTCAAAATAGAAACTTTTAAAGTGAATAAACACCACATGAACTTAGGCTGTTTAAGGACAGTATATTAAATGCTCAATTGGAAGGCCATTTATAGCTAATTTTGGCTTTTATAGCTATCAGAATTTATTTGTATCGATAAGCGCATATCGGATGGAGTTATCGATAATTGTAACCCAATTTGCCAACGATATACAAGAAGTTTATAGCTCTTATAGTCTTTGCGCGTATATATTTTCGAGATTATATACATATATACATTATATGGGTTAAAAGTTGCCTTTTGCACAACTTCATTATAACCTTTTTGTCCATTGTCAATGGGCAAATAAAATAAATTGATGTAGCAGTCGGCGTTTGTTATGCTTAACAAAATTTGTCTTATACCCGCCAAATAGACAAATACGAGTGCAGCACACAAATGCCTATAGATACATATATAAATAAATATATATATATATATTGCATATATACACATTTCTAAATAATGTCGCCTGGTTGCTGAGGCGAGGAGCTAATACATTGTTTGATCAATAAAACTGGCTCAGGACACAGGACAAAGGCAGAAACTCAAATATTTGCACACTGATTGAATTTCGCTGCTGGCAGTGCACAAAAATTTCACAACGAATTTGACGTTTGAGCGCGTGCTAAAAAACAAAGAATATTCTTAATAAAATAAACTAATGAAAACAAAGACTTGACTTGGCAGCTTGAAAACAGCTTGTGAATAATGTCAATGCATTTGTAAAAACATTTGAGCAAAGCACTTGCAAAAACAAAGTTAGTTTTTAGTTGATTTTATTTTTCTTTATTATTATTAATTGGGTTTCGTTTTCGTTTTTGCTTTCAATTACTTGACGAGCTTCTTCTGCCTTTAAGTAGTTAATATTATTATATTTTGTGTATGTTTTTGTTTTATTTTTTTGTTTTTTTGTATAAATATAACAATTGGAAAAGCGCATTTTCACTGCTCAGCCAGTTGTGAAAAGTGCATCAACCGCATGTGCGCTCACATGTGCGTTAGATAATTGTTGTTGTTGTTGTTGTTATTGTTATTGTTATTGTTGTTTCTTTATCGAATCTCATTTACCAACGTTTGGTGTTAACAATTTACGATGCTGTTGCAGCTAGCAGCTACTAACTTGGCTCTTAGTGCTAACCGTGTGCGCTTGGCCGAAAGGCGCGTTCAAATCATTTAGTTAAAGGCTAACAATTTTCAAGTTATCAACATAAAAAAGTGATTAAATAAACGTATTATGGATTATCCCAAAACCCTAAATGGTAATTGTGTGCGACGGTGTGTGTGATTGTGTGTATCTACTTTGTTTTTGCATAAACTGCTAAAGCTGTCATTAAAATTTAGTTGGCACATAAATCCAACTGAGTCGCTTTTATCGATCAAACACTTGAAATATTTGCTGCTTATCAGTCGGATGTTTTTAGTTTCCCTAGCTTTCTAGTTCATTAGAAATGTACATTTATCGTAGACATATATGTATGTATCCCATATATATATATATATATATATATAATGAATGTACATTGTATTGACGCCCCCTAAAAAATATGAACTACAATCTGTGCGTCTGATTGATGTTTATTTAAATATATATTTCAAATTGCAGCCATAAAACTAACTAAGCTATTTGAATAAGATGTAGAAAAAACATGTTATAATCCAATCATCGTTCTAAATTATTTAATGTCGATTTTAATCCACAAATAAACACACAAAAACTAAAAACAAATTATTTAAAATATATTTTTAAAATTCAATATTTTTGATTTTGAACGATAACTTAAATTTTATTTATTTTTTTAATGTTTGACTAATTTCAGTCTCCACAGAAAAAAAAAAAATCAAAAATATAAATAAATTATATTAAATGTAAAACAGATTTTTTATACTATAAATAAATAGCAGTTATTTACATATAATAATATTATTAAATTAAATTAAGTATAAATTCCAATATATATGAATTTTAAATTTAAATTAAAAGCAAATATAACAAACATTAATTTTGTACAATTTCTGGGCATGTTCAATAAAGTAGCTCAAATTAATCGAACTTGTCTCTTAGTTAAAGCTTTAGACTTTAAGCTAACTTGGATTAAAGAGCAATATGCGCTAAAATCTTCAGCTCATTGAGTGTTTGTTTTAGAAATTTGCACTCAAATGAAAATAGAAAACTGTTCTGGTTTTTAGCATAAAATTCGAAATATACGAAAATAATTTTCTTAAAATTAATTATTTTGTCAATAAGATATTTCTGAATAATAGTAAAAATTTATAAATATTAAAAATGTAAACGCTTCTTTTTAGAAAAACTCCTTTAAAATTTGCTCTCTTGAATGCTGCTATAGAAGTCTGTCTTAGAGTTTGAATAGTTCAGTGTGAAGTCGCCGTAAAATCATTTTAATTTTTTTGATATTACATTAAATTAATGTATACGCTATGTAAATGTGAAATATTAAAATGTTAATTTTTAACATTAACTAATTTACATATAGAATATAAAAACTAATGTGAGAACACCCTTTAAATTAGACATACCATTTCTAAATATTAAATAAAATCTAACTGGAACTTAGAAATTAGAAAGAAAATCTTTAGAAAGATTCAACCATCCCAAAAGCTTTCTAAATAATTAGGTGGCAATATTCTAAGATTCAGGTTGATTTTTTTCGGAGTTGTGAGCACTTGCTAATATTTAATTGTTATCTTCTGTGAAGATTATTGGTATATAGATAACATTGGATTACTATCGGTCATATTTTTGTTTTTCGTAGTGAAATTTTCTTTGATTAAATCCAGTCTGCAAGTGTATGCCTAAGATAACTGATATTATTTGCTTAATTTATATATATTTTATTTTAATTTAAAATGGTTTCCTTTTGTTGCAGCTCGCCCCGATTTTATGGATGGCATTGACAATGAAGCATTGGATTTGTTTATGCAAGCCGCCTGCGTTGGGAATCTCGATGAGGCGCCACAACCGCACAGCCACAGCCACAATCACAACCACAATCCCAATGAGGAGCTGGCCAATGTTGTTGGCATCTCGAAGCTGGAAGCTCCGCACACGCCGCCCATGAATCTCCTGGATGCAGAACTGGCAACGGGTCGTGGTAGTGCGATGGCCATGCCACTAGCACATTTGCCCGAGAGTCCGCCCGATTCGGGATCGGAGCCCGCCTACAGTCCGCTGGGGGAAACGCATGCACTAAACGGACGGGAGATCATCTATACTGGGTTGGGCAACATGCAACAACAGCAGCAACAACAACAACAAATGTTGCAAGCGGATTTGCAGTTTACTTCACCACCCCCGCCGCTGGTGCAGCAGCAACATCATTTTGTTGCCCCCGCGCACGATGTGAGGGTGAAGCATGAAACGGGTATCGGCAACAGTTTGCTCTGCCAGCAACAGCAACAGCAGCAGCAGCAACTCAACTGCGAGCAACAATTGATGCCGTTGCAGCACCAACAACTTCAGAACTTGCCGCAGGATCCGCTGCCCTTTCCGCACTATGACAACGGACATGTTTTGTATGGCAGTGGCAGCTACCAAAATCTATCCAGCATGTCCACCTGTATGCTGACCTCGCCACTGGGATTGGGTGATCGGGTTCAGGTAATTGGCACCAGTCAATTATCGCTGACCAGCTCAACGCCAACGACTCCGATGCATTCGTTGTCGCGCAAGCGGAAGATGTCCACTCAGCTGGATTGTCCGGAATTTGGGCCGATGGCCAAGCATGATCCGGGCTTGCAGATGAGTCCGTTGCGCAGTTCACATCATGCCATTGCCATTGCACCGAGTAGCAGCAGTCCCAGTGAACACGATTTGAGCAAGACACCCGCCCACTCACACTGTTCCGCCTCCGTTTCACCGGCGCTGTCCGCCATCAATTCGCAGACGGAGAATAGCCTCGATGGGCCGGCGAGCAATGCGGCTGCCGGCTGTGGCTCCGGCTCTGGCTCGGGCAGCGAGGCCGGTGATCCGACATTGACGCAGTGCATCCGCTTCAGTCCATTCCAGCCGGAGAACTGGCACAAGCTGTGCGACCAAAACCTGCACGAGCTATCCGTCATCTACTATCGCGTCGATGCGGACAAGGGCTTCAATTTCAGCGTCTCGGATGATGCGTATGTGTGCCAGAAGAAGAACCATTTTCAGGTCACTTGCCATGCCCGTCTGCAGGGCGATGCCAAATTTGTTAAGACACCGTCCGGCCTGGAGAAAATCAAATCCTTCCACTTGCATTTCTACGGTGTCAAATTCGAGGCGCCCAATCAAACGATACGCGTGGAGCAAAGTCAATCCGATCGCTCCAAGAAGCCATTCTATCCCGTACCGTAAGTATACACATCTAGCTTATATATATATATATATATATATATTTCTATGCTCGCTTTTAGTATCGATCTCCAGAGCCATATTGTCAGCAAAATAACCGTGGGTCGTCTGCACTTCTCGGAGACAACGAACAATAATATGCGCAAGAAGGGACGCCCAAATCCGGAGCAGCGTTTCTTTCAGCTTGTTGTCGGTCTCCACGTGCACACGACATCTGGCCACTTTCCCGTCGTTAGCCATGGCAGCGAGCGGATCATAGTGCGCGCCTCGAATCCCGGCCAATTTGAGTCCGATGTGGATCTGGTCTGGCAGCGTGGCATTACGCAGGAGTCCATCTTCCATGCGGGTCGCGTGGGCATCAACACAGATCGCCCAGACGAGAGTCTTGTCGTACATGGCAATCTCAAGGTATCCGGCCACATTGTCCAGCCCAGCGATAGTCGCGCCAAACAGGAGATCGCCGAATTGGATACTTCGGTTCAGTTGCGCAATATGCAAAAGATACGCATCGTCCGTTATCGCTATGAGCCGGAATATGCCGTGCATTCCGGTCTGAGGCGGGAGAGCGATACAAGGGAAATCGTTGACACCGGCGTCATAGCGCAGGAGGTGCGCGAGGTTATACCGGATGCGGTCCAAGAGGCTGGCAGCGTTGTACTGCCCAATGGAAATGTTATTGAGAACTTTTTGCTGGTCAATAAGGTAAAAACAAAATCAGATTACTTAAAAATTTATTTGCTTAAATATAACTGCCAAAAAATTTAGCATATGGTCACTCTAATTGCGCACATTTTTATTACCCACAATATTTCCCCCAAAGATTACTGAAGGTACTGTTTTAAAAAACCCGCCCCATATTTAAAGAATTTGTGTGATCGTTTATGGTCACACTTACTTACAGCCCTGGTCGAAGGACTTTTTTTGAGTAACTGCCTGTGTTGAACACGTTCACACTATTGAATAATATTTCATGGTCACACCTTTTTAACGCTGCTCTTAAAAACTGCCAACTTTGAATTTATGTGTTTTTAATAATCTCCTGTTTGTATTCTATCTGGGGAGCCTACGCTCGAGAAATTAACTCATAAAACACACAAACACTTTAACAATTGTTAAGCTTAAGCAAACAAATTTTTAAACACAAGAAACAGTGAAACACAACCTATAAACACAATTTGATTACACCATTTTTAACTTAGGATCGTATACTAATGGAGAACATTGGGGCCGTTAAGGAGCTGTGCAAGGTCACCGGGTCGCTGGAGTCGCGCATTGAGAGTCTGGAACGGGCCAACACCAATCACAATAACCACCAACTGCGTGCCAAGGATCTGCTCGAGCCACGCTGCCTTCTGCCGCCGCGGCCCCAACAGAAGCCCAACAATCGCAGCAACGATGGCTACGAGATCTGCTCCAGTCGCCTAATGCAAATCATTATCTTCATGCTGATCATTATTATGGCAGCCTGGTAAGCACTGCTTAAATGTGAAAAATTATATTAAAAAAAGCAAAAATTAATCTACTAAAAGAAAATCCAAGTATCTTTCGTCGGTTAACAATATTTTCAATAATTCTTCATTTAATTAAACATTTCGTATTTCAGGAATAGTTTTTGTTATTTCAATTTTACATCTTTTAGTTGCTTTTAACTAAGACCGCCTTTAGATTGCCTAAGTTTATTTAGGCATTTATTTATTAAGAGAATATACAAATAGCTTTCGACGGCCATATCAATTATGGCGAAATTTCGTGACTGAATTCAACATTTCTTATTTCAAAAACTGACTTTGTGACTTTTTTTATTAATGTAAAATATTCTTGCTTTAAAAATATTGCTGTTGATCTCTTAAAACAAAGATATGTGATATAAATAACTATTAAATGCAAACTAAAAAACGTTTCACAAATATAAATTCAAATCTATTCAAAATCGATTATAGCTTGGCAGCCGTTTCCACGCTGTATTTTGTGGAGCACAACAAGCAGCAACAGCATCTGGATGGCTTTCAGATGTTTGGCGACAGTCGCCTCTTTCGACCGGATGCGTCGGCGACGCGTCTCAGCGACGAGGATCGCCTAAATTTTCAGCACAGCTGGCAGACGCTGTTCAAGAACAAAACGCACGGATCGTGGCCCAGCTTAATCTTTGCGGCGAGCACCACACGACCCACGGTGCGGCATATTGAGGGGGCCGATGAACTGCAGCAGGAGGAGGAGGAACTGACGGCTGTGATGAACAATCCGCAGGGGAATCTGGCGCTGCCCAAGCAGCCACACACACGGATCACAACAACTGCGCCGCGAAATAACAGCAACAACACCAACCACAACAAGACAATTGTCAGCAAGAACAAGTCCAAGTGGCCAGTCAGCCAGGAGGCACTGCGTCCGGTGGCGTCACAAAAGCTTCTCCAAAGTGTGCGCACAGTGAGTCGAATTCTGGCTGCATCAAGCAACGATACGGACAGCTCCTCCTCGGAGAAGCCAGCGGGAATTGCGCCACTCTCCCAGGACTTTGAGAACAACTCCATCGATGTGGATGCACAGCAGCAGCAACAGCAACTCCGACAGCAACAGCAACAACAACCATTGAAGCCATCATCCAAGCTGGATGAGCAGATTGTGGTGCTGGGCACGATTCCCAGCACCATTGTGGATAACGCACCGGTTGCATCTGCTGGTCAGGCCATACGCAAGCTCAACGCGGGCGATGCAGCCATTTATAATGTGTACAAAACCGTTTCGCCACCCACAGCCAATTTGGCATTGACCACCAATAAGGTCAGCACCGAGCAGAGTCATCCGCAGAGCACACTCTCCCTGGCAATGGACGTGCCGCCGCCGGCTGTGTTGCGCAACAGCAGCGGTGGCAAGGATAGCGTCGATGCCCTGGATCTACAGAATCTGAGCAACACCAATGAATCGGAGTCGGTGGATAATCCCGTAACGGCACTCTTCGGCTTCGAGTATCCCAGTCTGCGGGACTCCAATGTGGGCAGAAGATCGGCCAATCAACGCAGTCTGGATTGGATTAGGCATAAGAGTTTGAGGACGCCGCTCTTTGGCCAGCCGCCCGAGTGCAATGGCGACGAAACAGTCAGCGACAATTGTCAGGTGGGTGTTTAGACTTAAATAAATTAATTTAGAGAGTACAGGGTATGGACAAGTCGGGCAGTCTCGAGCAATCCCTTTCTCATTTGTTACTAAAAATTATCTTTACATTCTTTTGAAGTCCACCTGCTTTGTGGAGCTGCAACCGGCTGCAGTTGCTGTCGATAATGTGGATGCCAATGTGAAGCATCAGCACGTTGAGGATGAGCTGCCGTCCGCCGAGCAGGAGCAGGATGCCGATATATTGATAATACAGCCCGTTGCTGCTGTCAGCAACGATAGCAGCAGCAGCAGCAGCAATATGGCCCCTGCATCCCGTGTCTACCATGGCAAGAGCTCCCACAACACTGTGGCGCGCACCAAGCAATTCTCCACCGAAACGGATGGCTCATCCTCGTCCGCTGCGAACAGCGATCAGGATGATGCGCTCTACACGGTGCTCAGCGTGGCACCAGCAGCCACTGCATCACTGGCAGCGGGGCATGTTGAGCTGCCAATTGCTGCTCCAGTTGCAACAATGGTGACACCGTTGCCGCCACAGCCAGATTGCTGGAGCATCTCTAGCTGTGTGCTGGCTGGTCAAAACAATTACACCATCGATGTGGAGCAATTCTGTCCGAGCTCGGGCAGTTCCCTGAATGTGAGCTATGCGGTGCCCGTTTCCCGTTATCTGCAAGCAGTCAGCTTGGAGCTGCACTTCAGGTTGGTGCCACAAATCTAGAAGATGCCTCAAAACAAATGTTTGATCGACTTTTTTTGTGTTTGCTTCAGCTCCAGTAAGCCGCTGCAGTGGTCCATTTGCAGCGATGAGGATAAGTCGAAGGCGCAGTTGAACGAGGACTCGGATGAGGCGCCACCAAGCACCTGGGTCAAGGTGCTCAAGCAGTTGGGCAACAACAAGCTAATCCTCGCCGTGGACATACCCAATCGTGGCAACTTTCTGCGCGACTTTATGCTGCGCGCCAGTCCCGATCTGGAACAAGTACGAGCATAACTATTAAATATGCTATTTATATATTAATATATTTCCTGTGCTTGCAGCAAAAACTATGCGATGACAACGCCCATGTGGCGAACCCTATACTCCAGTACAACTTTAGCATCGTAAGAGATTGTGATTAGTTAACAATTTAATTTATGGCACGGATCGAAACGCATCTTATTGCAACAACAAAAATAAAGCAACAAAAACAAAACAAAACAAAAAAAACAAAAACAAAAACAAAATGCATCAACATTTATCGCAAATTTTAAATAAAAATATTTAGTAAAATTAACTTTTTTTGTTTTTTTTTTTAACTTAAATCAACATTTATTAGCTAATTTCAAGGCTACACGGCAAAGGGCTGATCCTTGCCATCCTCATGGTATTTAATGTATGTCTCGCCGTGCGTAAAGTCCTTGCTGCCCTCGAGGCGACCACGTGGCGGCGCCTTCTCATAGTCAAAGCCCTTCGCTGACTTGCCAAACAGCTGATTGGCCATCTCGATGTCCTCGCGGTATTTGCCGACCACAACTTTCTTGCCCGTAATCGGATCGGTTATGTCACCGAGTGGATAGACGACTTTTTCCACATTGTGTGTGATGAGGCGGGTCATGCGCTCGGGCAGCTCACGTATCAGCACCACATCGCCCGTTTTGCACAGCTTTTTTGGATCGTGGGCAAAGAAGAACGTATCCTTTTTAAAGTACTGCAATAAATATATGCATTTAAATTCCATGCTTATCAGAAAAGGCAAACAATGCAAATGCAAACCATGTTCAGGTTTTTGTCCAGCTCCATGCGACGTATGCGTATTTTGGAGGCATTCTGTTTTATGCAGGGCATGCATTGGCCCATCAGCAACAAACCCCGTGCTGCCATTTTATTTACAACTAGTCAAAAACAAGATAAATTCACAAATCTTTGCAAGACTGGTTAAATTGTAGTTTGATCACAATCAGTGTGACCGCATGCATCAAAACGGGTTCCCTAAAAATACCACAATCACATTTTGTATAATTGTCCAACTTAAATTTACAACTCATATGGTTCGTAAATTGAATTCTTTTTTCTGCTTAATTATTGTCAAACAAATAACAAATAGATGCGTTGAAAACCAAAATAATAAGCAACTAAAAACACTAATTTGGTTTTCTCAATGAATTGCGCAGCAAGTGTGCACACACTTGCCAATAACTGATAATCAGCTGTTGTGCAGCTGTTGTGTACACACCTTGTCTCCGATAAGAAACAGTTTTTGTATTGTGTGCTATTCTTTTCAAATTAAATTAAATTCTTTCATTGGCTTTTATAATTTCAACAACGCGCACAGCTAACTGCATGTAAAAAAACAATAGCCGTGCACAGGCAACGCACGCTTACGTCACCATGGTAAGCAAACAAAGAAGCCATAAAAAATAGCCATGGAGATGAGCGGTCCAATGATAATGGCACTTTCAACTGTAAACTGTAAACTAAACTCAACGCCTTTATCACTTCGATCAATTCCGCTCAACGTTTATCTCTAACAGCATAAAAACCACATTTCTAAAGCTTTTTCCATGCTTTCCGTAGAGCTACGAAGACGAAGACTACCCCGTCGACTCATTCCCAAAAGATTTTGGCTATGGCGCCTACGATCAGGATGGTTTGGAACTGGAGCCAAATGCATCGAGCAATAGCGAAACAAAACCGCGCATTTTATTGATGGGTCTGCGACGGTCAGGCAAGAGCTCCATACAGAAAGTCGTCTTCCATAAGATGTCACCGAATGAGACGCTGTTCCTCGAATCGACGAGCAAAATTGTTAAGGATGACATCAACAATTCCAGTTTTGTACAGTTTCAAATTTGGGATTTCCCAGGACAAATTGATTTCATTGAGCCCACATTCGATTCGGATATGATATTCGGTGGCTGTGGCGCGCTCGTCTTCGTCATTGATGCCAAGGACGACTACAATGAAGCGCTGACCAAGTTCAAGAATACGGTCATCAAGGCATATAAAGTAAATCCACGCATTAAATTCGAGGTCTTCATACACAAGGTGAGTGTTTAGATATGAAACTCTTATCGCCATTATTGCATTTATGCAGCTGTTATTTTTCCCATAGGTTGATGGCATCAGCGATGATTCTAAAATGGAATCGCAACGTGATATACACCAGCGCTCATCGGATGACCTCAGCGAGGCGGGCCTCGATCAGATACATCTAAGTTTTCACCTGACTTCGATATATGATCACTCAATATTCGAGGCATTCTCAAAAGTTGTGCAGAAACTGATACCACAGCTGCCGACGCTTGAGAATCTGTTAAACATTTTCATACCAGTGAGTTGAACATTTCTTAGCATATTTAACATATATTAATTTTTTTTTTTTACAATTGTTAACAGAACTCTGGCATTGAGAAAGCATTTCTCTTTGATGTCGTATCGAAAATCTATATAGCAACGGATTCATCACCAGTTGACATGCAAGCCTACGAACTATGCTGTGACATGATTGATATGGTCATCGATCTCTCCAGCATCTATAGGTAGGTAATGGGATATTAATAGGAATTTTAAATGTTAATATCATCTGTTTATCGCCCACAGCTCCGAGGAAACTGCATTTGACAGTGGCAGTTCTAGTCTGATTAAACTGAACAACAATACGATACTCTATATGCGAGAGGTGAACAAGTTTTTGGCTCTGGTCTGCATACTACGCGAAGAGAATTTCAATCGGCAGGGCGTCATTGATTATAATTTTATTTGCTTTCGCGATGCCATCAGCGAGGTGTTTGAACTGCGTCTGAAGCGCCAGAAGCAGCTGGAGAATGCCGAGCAGGATGAAGATGAGTTGGGCGAGGATCAGGGCATTACAATTGGCCGCTTGAATCATGAGAACGATACGGCTGTGGTGTCGAGAGCTGCAAAAATGACATGAGCATTATTCCGGTGACCTTAAGTTCTGTGTGCTGAGCTATCGCTTAATTTCTTCCCATATACTTACACTTGTACACACGAGCAACAACAATACTGATAACAACACTAATTTGTCACTTATACATTTTTTTTATTTTATCCAATTTTTATGTTTCTTCTATATAACTATCTTTGTTCTATATTGTTAATTGATTTGTTTGGCCTCTTCGCTGCTCATTTCAACGCCAGAAAACAACTTCCCAGCGTTTAAAATAACTACAACAATAATATGTATATTTTTAAATAAAATTATATTAAATTGAACATTTACGGTGTGATATTTATACATTGTACTGGGGAGTTTTAAATATCTACAACTTCGCGCCCCATATTCAAATAGATAGTTTTTTTTATCGATATTACTACTGATCGATCCGACGATATCTTTTTTAGAAGCAAATATATCGATGTACAAAGTAGTACAACCATAGCTGATGCAATTTCTCAAATAGTAGACGAGCACAGAACAGAGTATAAATTTTGAACGCCTAATATCGATATATAAAATAAGAGAACACTTCGAATATATTCGGCAACAATCGCTCTGGCAATAATCGTTACATCGATGTTTTTTTTTTGTTATAGCACTTACATCTCTAAAACAAATAAAACAGACTGGTCCGACGGCGACACTTTGAATGTGTGTGCGTGCTGGTCAAACAGTAGTGAAAAATGAGCTGCTGAGAGCAGTAGAATTAATAGTTAATGCGCCAGTTGCCGAAAATTGCTGATTTTTATCTACTCAGAAATAGTGCTAATTAAACTACAAGTTGTTGCTGAGAGTTTTCCTCAAATACGATCGACGGGTGGTGCAGTTAATAATAAAAAAAAGAAAACAAAAAACCAGTTAAGTCTGTGTCGGGTGAAAGAAAGAAATTTCGCTTAAGTGTTGAATTGAATGTGTGTGTGTTTGTGCAACAACAACAACTACAACAGAAGCGATAGCAGAAACAACAACAAAAACCTGGTCTCGTATGTCCGCTTTCCTTGCTCATTACGGTGCTTTTCTGTGCCCAAAGTGCAGGCAAGTGCAGCCTGGAATCAGTAGCGGTTGGTGCCGTTGACATTGACAGGTGCGTAGACAATTTTCTACTTTCGTTGCTTCAACTTTTCTGCTTGTATTGATTGTTCAAATCTGGCGCCGCATCCCATTTAACAATAGATCTATTTATGCATACAACAAATTTCGAACGAATAGAAATAAAGTGAAAGGTGGTGGCACATCTTCGTCAGCCTTTTGTCTGATTCATAACAAAAGCAAGCACACACATCTAATTGTAATCTACTAACATTTTGTTACTACTAAACTCAATTGTGTATTAATGCAGAAATAACTACTACTACAACAATAGAAGACTGAGAGACAGAGAGAAAAGTGTGTGTGAAAGAGATGCACGCACTGCTGTAAGGGCGAGGACAAGGGCAACAGCGACAATCGATAAAAATATTTAATGCACTTTTCTCGTCAATTTACAGCTGTGCTGTGTGTGTGGAACAGTGTCAACCTAATGCAGCAAACTGGATAATTAATTAATATCACCTGTATGCAAGTGTTGTCAACCACCCACAATGCTTATGTCATGGCCGGATGCTTATACATACATGCATAGAAATAAATATATGTATATGTATTTTACCAACAAGCATTGTATGGTAACGATTTTTCATAACAACCCCCAAAAATATCCCATAGCTAAATATGTACTTGTTTTTTTTTATAGCAATTTCCTACCTCAAGCGGTTTCTGACATGCAATTTCTAGCATTGAGGTTATGTTGCACTGGGTTTTGCCGGGTGGTTTTTCTAGGGGTTGCTGTTGCCATTATTGATTCACTGTTCAACTGGATTTCGCATTGAAAAATGAATCATTTGTAGCATATTTAACTTTCCATAAAATGCTAATAAGTGTGATTATTTGCTAATTTACAATTTCCCCTGAAATACCTGGCCACTAAGCGTTAAGTGTGTTAATTTGTTGTTGTTGTTGTTAATGTGTTGACAACACGTGCGACGGCGCCGCATACAATTTTCATTTTCTTTTAACAAACAAATTCTCAGCTTTGGGAGGGCGTGCCCCAAAGCACAGGCAATGATTACTTGGCCAGGTGGCCTAAAAGAAATCTCCAGAAAAAAATAGTAAAAACAACCATTTGTAGGCAAATTAAATTGCTAACAAACCGTGAAGTTGGTTAGTGGGTTTGTTGCTTTAACCAAAAAGAAATGTGTATATGGTTTTAATATGTATTTGTCTTCTCTTTTTATCTCGACTGTTATCTGTTGAACACAAACATTCGCCGTTAGTCTTGGCAGGCGCTTTGAAAATTGTTTTTTTTTATCGATTGCATTCTCACTTCCGCACAAAACAATCCAATCAGACAGACACAATTGCTTTTTTGCTACACTTTTTCTCTCATCCTCCACTGCCCGAGCTTCTTTTTTTCTATGATCGTATTTTTGCCAGCCATCCTCCATTTGTTGGCCGTGGTTGTTTTTGTTGCATTTATGTACACTTTACTTGCAATTGTATCTGTTCTTGTTGGCTGCGCCTTGCTGCGCCTGCCTCAAAGCGGAAGCGACGTCATTTATGTAAATTGTTTGCGTGACATTACTATACAGAAACCATATTATGAACCGGTACACGCACGCCCCTCTAGAATTAAGTCCAACACCATTGTGAATAACAGATCCTCCCCACTCCCTCTCTCTCACTCTTCTTTCAATCGTTGCCATGGCGGCTGCGCTCTGTAAGCTTCTATGATGGCAGTAATCAGTAATTTGCCATAAAAAAAACAACAGTAAAACTTAAAATTTGCATATAGCATATGGAGCGCTGTAACGTTAACCGAATGTTATTGCTGTTATGTTAATAGTTTATTTTATTTCAAGAATTGAGAGTTGCTAACACTGCTGAAAATGTTATGGCTGCTGTTGGCAGCTGAATAGGTATAAATATAAAATGATTATTTTGAAATATAATATTAAAAAATTATAACACATTATATTTGTTATTTTTGCTATATTTACCTAAAATGCATAATTGATGGCAAGCATATGTTGTATGCACTTAAAACATAAAATCTATTTATGTACATTTCGTTTCCCACATTTTTGTGTGCGCCATCTGACGAAACTGTTTTGTGTTTTTTTGTTTGTTGCTTTGACTTTTAATGACCTTAACAAAAATTTCATATTCTTTCATCTTGCGCTCATTAACCATAGATTCAAATTGGTTTAGCTTTGTTTTATTTTTTTCCGTGCTCTCTATATAGCTTGTAGATTTATTTTGTGAACTCGTTGAATTTGTTGTTTGCTTAAATTACCTGCCCCGTGCTCGCCAAGTTCAGCGAGGTGAAACGGTTAAATGTTTTCAAAACTGCCTGAAGTCTTTTGTAAACACACATATATAGACATTTGTATAATAATGTGTGTGTGCTCCACATTATAAGCCTTCATCTGCTGAAACAGGGTGCTTAGGCTGCATCGAATCTCGGTTCAACGCACTTGAGATGCACACCAATTTAAATTACAAATTTAAGTATGCACATTGATCAGAGTCACATTTTTGTTGTTTCATATTTTTTACTGGCTATCCTCACATGTCAGCAAATAATGAACAAAATGCCGCTCAACGTACAAAAAACGTGATGTGTGACAAGAGCTGAAAACAAATAAATCTAAATAAAAATATATCAGCGGATCAACGCACCATAATATCTAAAAGATACATATAGAGCGACGTATGTTTGTGGCGTAATTACTTTTTTTTCTTTTGGCAAACTAGTCCAAAAAATAAGCAGAAAACTGAATCATACATTGAATTTTATTTAGCCAATAATATGAATAACAAAATATATGTATGAACATATGTGTGAATGACCTACGTGTCTATAGTATATGTCCAGACCTAGCAAATAGCACGTAAAAATTGGTATAGAGTGAGAATTCGACTTGAAAATATCCTAAATCAAGAAAGAACCTTTGCCAAGTAGACACATTGATAAATCACTTCTATTGTTCTAAGATATATACTCAATTTATTAATATATTAATCCATTAATGAAAAAACACACTTGATCTACAGAAGTATCTCTCGTTTTCAACCATACCTGTTCTACACATTGAAATATTTACAGGGTATAAAAATGGCACACAATACTGCGAACGTCATCAACACCTCACTTTATTTCCACAAATGTTTTAGTTCGCTTGTAAGTATTTTCATTTATAAAATACGTTTACGTCGGTCAGCGTCCCAATAAGCTAGTCATTTTTCCGCTTGCCTGAAAGCGATTTAAGCGAGAAATCACTTGAAATTAATTTTCACCGTTAGCAGTTCCATACGGTTCGTCCAAATATTGACCTAGTCAACGTATTGTGAATCATGATGATGATATCGAACTTTTTTAAAGTTCAGTCGATCAGCGGCGAGCGCAGAGTGCCACAAAGTTTGCACAGAGCTTTTGTGTCACTAAAGCTTTTGCATAAAGCTTTTAAAGAGTACACAAACTAAGAGAGAGACCATGCAAATTATTTTCAGTTCTCTTTATAGATTTTGCTTTTAGCATTGGGTTGACTTTTTTGACGTTAAAAACTATTGAAAAGAGATACCTAACCTTAAGGCTTGAAGGCTTTCAATTGTACAACAGTAAATTGAACTAGCAAACCTTTGTACAATAAATAATAAGCTATACAAAAGATATGTATATATATTGTAACATTTATATAAACCTTTCAGATCGCCTATTCAAAGTGCATTAACAATTTCAGCTTAACTCGTCAATTAAAGCAAACAAATTGCAATTAAGTTGCACAGCTGTTAATGCAAATTTCGCGTAAACAGTTTTTCAATTACTTTTAAATGCTGCCACTGTGTGTGTAAACAATACAACAAATTCATTTTACTGACGCTCTAAAGTTTTGTTTTGCAATTGACAATAAAAACATCTTATATAGTATAGTAGTACTTATATGGCTTGGATTATACAATAATTGAGTGTATATTATTTTGCAAGCACCTCTCGCATCCATGATAAAGCCTGATTGATAATAATAATGCTGACTCTATACGCAACATGAAATAACCTTGATTTGTTATTCTAATACCTTCCCTCTTTTGTTTTTTTTTATTATTATTATTATTGTCGTACGAGACAGCTAACTAGAAAAACACACCGCACTATTCTATAAACTAAATACTTACCTACATATACATACACATATATATAAATATATATATACATCATGCATAAGTATTTGCGATAACACAATACGCAAGCGATGCGGAATTCTCTCTGCCAAATTCTTATTTGCATATGTATGGGTGGTCTATATATGTATCGGTTCGGCATAGTATTTGTTGTTATTATAAAATCAGCTCGTGGCAAGACAACAACAAAGCAACGCATTTGTTCGAGTGCAAAACCATTAAAGAAAATAATACAAACAGCTCGAAAGATGAATGAAAATGCGTTCGTCTATTTTTGCTTTCTTTCGAGAATTACATATTTTTCCTTATACCCAAAAAAAGTTACTCTAAGAGTTGATAATAAGATATGTAAATAGTTTCTAGCTTGTTTTGCATTTGAAAAAAAAAACGCTAGCTAAGCAAATACTCAACTTTAACCAACCTAGTTTATATATTTTCTGAGAAAAAAAAAGTGTCTCTAGATCTGTTGAAGAAATTTGATTGTATTTAATGATACTGAATACGTTTTTTATGTTGCTTTTTGCAAGCTTTAATATATTATGCATCTCTCAAGATCACGTCTACAAACCTTAAAAACCAGCTTAAATATAACTGTAACTACAGAACTGAAAATACACACTTATAGTACATGGAGATAACTCCCTCTACTTATCTGTAGAGTTTCACACTTCCTTGTTGCAATGCAGTCAAAATGAGTCATTGCAAAGCAAATGCACATTATGCATTATAGTTTAATAGATAAACATATTGTTGTTCACCACACGATATCTGAAAAATATATGTATTTATTATTATTGTTGGTGCATTCGAAGAAAAAAATAACCCACGCGCTGTTAAAGTTGTTGTTTACGTTTCTTGTTGTTTACACCAAACGCAGATATAGAAATTAAGCGCCTTGTATACAGTTAGTAAGCACTTGTATGCATGTATGTGTATGTATGTATATTTATGTATTCTTTGCCCACAATTTACGCGAGTCGAGTCGGGCCCACAAATTACAACCAATCGGGGGCGAGTAAGCATACAACAAAAACAACAACAACAGCTGCAATACATGTAAAATTACATTTGTTTGTGTGTGCTTAGAACCGGCTGCTTTGCGTATGCGGAAATGGTTTTACTCTTGTTGTTGTTATTCTTAGTTTGTTTTGTTTTGTTTTGTTGTTTACGCGCAGTGCAGTGCAAATTACAAGTGATATTAGGCACATACACATGCACACAGCCTAGATAAACAGCTATACACGTGTCTGCAATCGGCGTAATTCATTTTGTTATTCAAATACGTCATTGCTGTAGAGATAATTAGAAAAACAAATGACAATTTCGTGATTAATTGACTATTTCAAATTACATAACAGATATGTTGGTTATTGCTTATGACTGACAAATATCATATCCTTATTTTTTATTTAACTATTCTAGTATTTGTTTATTGTGGGAACAAAATTTAATTTATTTTATTTATTTATTTATTAAAATATATTGGGCAGAAATTTGTAAACCAATTTTATTAAATTTAAAAAAAATAGTTGATTAAAAAGGTTATTATTCATATTTAAATTTATTTATTAAAAAACAAATTTTAAATTTATATCGCTGGAAATAACGATTCTTCAAAATATCGATTTTTTTTTAAATTGTCTGGTGACCTCTTTTTATAATTAAAATTATCTGACGGATTTGAAATATATTAGAGAATAGTCAAAAAATACTGACCTATTTCTATGCTCATTGTGCATCATTTGAAATAGTTCGATATTGACTTTCAGGCTCTTTCAAGCCAAAATTAATAGTTAATTGGTGAGGCCACGTTATAGAGAGCCGATACATTTCTGATTATAAAAACCCCAACTGCGTAGTATTTTTGCAAAATAGTTTATGCGGCTACCGTTGCATTAGTGTTGGTGTGAAAGGTGCGGATACTGGTGCCACACGCGTCACACTCAAAGCTTAACTAATTCGACCTTGATGCGTGTTGTTTTTTGTTTTTTTTTTCTTTATTCGCCGGGTTATCTATTATGCTCAGCTAGAAATAGCCGGTTGTGTGGCAAATTGATACATATGCATATACTATACTATACATATGTTAGTATGTGCATATATATATGTATATGTGTATCATAGTTTGCGGGAGCAGCAGACACACACACACACACACACACACTCACCGTTACAAAAATATATTCGCTCGTGTTGTCGTTAATTAAAAGGGGCTCGTCTCAAGTTCCCTCTCTTGATTTTCTTTTTTTTTTTTGTTGACGCTGAATATTAATAAAATAAACTGGCTAGATTTCTCAGTTAAAAGTTTGATTTAATTTAATATAATGAACTTTAAGATTATGCATATAGTATTTTATACAAGGCGGATATTTAAAATACACCGAGATTAAATGCAAATAATTCTGCAAAGTCATTAAATAAAACATCCAAATCAGAGACGATCAAGGTGAAAACAAAGTTGAAAGCGAAACCACAAACCAAAGCGAAGCAAACAAGAACAAAACGATCAAAGTTTACTGAAGAGCAATACTTATAGATACACTGCTAGAATTACACTTACCGCAAAAAAGAAAAAGTATAAATAAAAATATGTATTGCAAGACTTGCGATAATGTTGCAGGTGCAGTCTTTGTGAAACTATTGCCAGTCGGCAACGCCTTAAAATTTGTTGATTTCTATAAATTGCGAACATTTTTCACAACTATTTACCCATATTAGCTAAATTTGGAGTAAACAAAATGTTCAGTCAGTCATTGTTTTAAATTTCATGTGTTGTTTTTACTGCTTGAATTCGTAAAAAAATTTGTTTGGCTTTAGTTTTTCAAAATTTGGTGATGTGATTACCAAACAGTTTCCAAGTGTTACCAGCGTTTCAAAGAACTGCACAGAGAGTGCAGCCCGCAAAGAATCGTACGTAAGAAAAGAAAAAAGAAAACAAAGTTCCACTCTTGAGCAAAAGAGCTTTAAAGTTCCCCCTATTTGGCGATAGTTCGCTTTAGTTTTGAAATCTGGCCACATCTTGCAATTATCGTTCAGTACACTTTAAAAGAAGAGAAAAAGCGTGCGGGCGATCGGATGACGAAACAGTGTGCAAGCGAATCAGCTGATAAAAGTAACAGAACTGTGTGCAAGCGAAGCAGCTGATAAATGAGCTCCGGCTTAGGGGGGTTTCAGTACGCTGATAACTTGCGGTACACTCTACCAAACGTTATCTCTGCACTCTCTCTTCTGTTTCTCGCTCACACTCCCTGCTCTTATCACACGCTTGTCACACACTGAAATCTTATCAAGTGGAAACAACGGTTTTTCCTTTTTTTGTGGCCAGTTATTTCTTAATTTCTTCAATTTCATTGTGTATTTTTGCGTCGCGACATTCGATTTATCATTAATTGGAAATTTAAACTGTATTTTAACGTGGATTTTAAATCTTTATTTGTATTTAATTAATTTAATCCTTGGGTAAGCTGTGATAACCTTTACTTTGAACTAAAAAAAAACTCTGAAAGCGGTTCTAACCTCACTTTTGAATCAAGCGGCACAATGAATGTCTTTGTTTACAACAAAACAATCTATAATAATGTTGCACCACTAATAATATACTTGCAAAAGTTAATCAATTATTATATTTATAGATATGATCTGTTGTTAGATTGATTTTCCAGTTGAAATGTCAGTTTTGAATGCGAGCATTTTGATCGTTGACTCACTTCTAGCTCACAACTATTTATGACCAAATTGAGTTTAAACAAAAAAAAAAAAAGAGAAGAAAGATTAGATAAAGTTGTATCAAAAGCGGAATCTAATCAAGAGTGTTCGACTAGCAGCTACCCTATAGACTTGAGGTTTCTTAGTTGTTTTTCTATCGATTTTAAAGTACCAGAATATATCTCCATTCATTTTTTATTTAAAAACCGCCATATCTAAATTTTATCGAATCAAATTGTTGTCCTACATTTGCACAACGTCGCTATACCATTTGTACAGGGTATAATTATGGTTTCTTGGTGTTACATTTGTACATACGCACACACCTAAATATAAATATAAATAAACTATCTTATGGGAACGGAACTAATAAACAGCTAACACCACATCATAATGCTCCAAAATTTCGAACTATTCAAAAAACGAGTACCACAATCTTCTTCTACGCACACAGATAAAAACCTAAAACATTTGTATATCTATATATAAAAATAAAAAGAGAACTGATCGGCGGAAAAGAAAGAACGGAGAGATGCCACTCTTTGCCCGTAAATCCACAAAGAACTCTTCGGATCACAGCGACATCAGCCAGGACAGCAAGGGACGCTCCTCGCTGACATCCACAATGATGCACAACAACAACAACAACAACAATGGTCATCATCAGAATAACAACAATGAGCTGGACAAGAAGCCGCCGTTAATCTTTCACTGTCAGCTGGCACACGGCAGTCCGACGGGTCTAATTACCGGTTTCGCCAGTGTTCGTGAGCTGTATAAGAAAATTGCCGAATGCTTTGATATATCCGAGGAGGATATACTCTTCTGCACCCTCAACTCGCACAAGGTGGACATGACACGACTGCTGGGCGGTCAGATTGGCTTGGATGATTTCATCTTTGCGCATCGCAAGGGTCGCGCCAAGGAGATTGAGATTGTTAAGACACAGGATGCCCTCGGGTTGACCATCACCGACAATGGAGCTGGGTATGCGTTCATCAAACGTATCAAGGATGACTCCATCATTGATCGCATCGAGCACATTTCGGTGGGGGATCACATCGAGAAGCTGAATGGTGTCAATATGGTGGGCAAGCGGCATTACGAAGTGGCACGCATGCTCAAGGACATTGCCACGGGCGATACGTTTACGTTGCGCCTAGTGGAGCCGGTGCGCAGCGGTTTCCAGGGCATCGGGCCGCGCAGCCAGTCGCGTGCCTCAAGCTCCGGCGGCGGTATCGGTGGCGCCAATGGCGGACGCAACTATGGCAGCGGCAAGGAGACGCTACGCTTCAAGGCGAATGGTAATGCCCAGATTGAGGCCAAATTCGACGAGGCGACGACGGCGGGCGTTGAGGCAATTAACAATCTGCTGGAATCCTTTATGGGCATCAACGATACGGAGTTGGCGTCCCAGATCTGGGATCTGGGCAACAACAAGTCCAATTCCATGGACTTTGCCGAGGCCATCGACAGTTCGGATCTGGAATCTTTCGGATTCACCGATGATTTCATCATCGAACTCTGGGGTGCTATAACCGATGCGCGTCGCAAAAGCAATTAGAAACTATTCAATCCTAATCCAAAATTGTTGCATTTTTCGAGTTCGTTCGAGTTCTTAGACAAGTAATAAAACGCTTAACTAATGCAAACAAGAAAAAAAAACTATGCAAAAAAAAAAGAATCATAATTCATCATTTATTTTATTATTATTTTGTTAATTGCTAGAGCTTAGTTATAACATATTTATACACATACACATATATTTACATACATACAAAAATTTACATATATTTATTTGTATGCCTGCATTTGCCAATTAATTTGTATTTGTTATAATTATGTCTATTTTATATATATATGCATTCAAATTGACAACAACCGTAGTAAGTAGAAAAGAACAACAACAACATACAAAGAAAAGTTCATATGCAATATTATTTTGGTACAATTTTTGTTCAATGTACATATTTATGCATTTCTTTCTTTAGTTATTATTTACTATATAAATGTATGAATAAATCTAAATTATTGATATTGTATTTTGTGTGTTGAGTTCGTTTATTTTGCATTTGTTTATTTGTGGTAAGTTATTGTGCATTTTAGGCATACTATTAGCTAGATTTTGCTCAGTGTATACATGTAGTATTTATCATTTTGATGATTTTTGGCAATCAACAACAATTTGTACAAACCAAAAGATTCCACTGGCAAAAACTGTGACAAATTCATTTGGCATATATTTCAACTTGTTTTTGGTTTTTTTTTTTTTGCTTTTTTCGTATATGTAGATGGCCATGAGCACGTGCGTTTTCGACTCTTGCGCTTAAATATGTTGATGAATTCTAGTCATACATAAATAAATAAATAAATTCGTACGTAAATATGTCAAGCGCATATAGAAAGACGTTTCCTGTCTCTCGGCGAGAAAGCTTTCAAGAGTTTCAGCTCTCTTACGAATGAGTGCTGCAAACTCAAAAATCATGCGACCGTCTGCAGCTGACAATGAAATTGTTATTCTGGCGTAGACATCACAACAATTGTAAACACACACACATGCATATATATATATATATATACAAAATGCAACAGCAGTCGCGTAAACAACAGCTGCTACTGCCGCCGTCGCAGCGTCGAGTAGCGTACAGCTGATAAGCACAGTTATTAACTTATTATGCTTGTGTGTGAAACACATAAGATATAGTGAGCGTGAGGAAGAGGGAGAGGTATAACGCTCGAACAGCTGCTCGCTCCAGTCACAGACATAGCAACCAATTTAAAGAATATCAAGTTTTACATGTATATCTTACTGGTTTTACAGGTTTCTTGAAGCAGTCAAACAGGCAGAGACCCCAAAGCTTTTACTCTTAAGTCAGACGCGCACCGTGCTCTCTCGCTCTCTTTTGGATTTCCTACGCTCTCCCAAATTCATACACACACAGAGGCAGGTGCTTAATTAAATTAGCTTTGGCGCATTTGAATTACTAAAGAGACGAGGCAGTCGCTCGAGCGCTCAGTTGTGTTAACGCTGTCGACCCGACAGCAAGCAGCAAGCGCAGAAACTGAGAAGTTGAACCGAAAGAAAAATAACCCTATCAGAAAACAAAAAGAGATTTCATTGAGTTTAACTGAAAAGATAATTTACCAACAACACAAAGAAAACAAACTCAAGTGTCACACTGAAGCAGAAATAGAGCGGGGCAGATTTGTCTTGCTAGTTTTTCGTGAAAGAAAACCCAAGACGGAAAAGCAAGCAACAAGGTAGAAAAGAGCGACGGTCACATAAAATTTCCATTATACTAGAAACGTCTGCAATTCAATGTGATTTTTCTTGGCAAGCAATATTTTAAGACTTTGTTCCTGTGTTCGTTTGTTTGTTTTGTGTAGCGTTATTGCATTATTTAATGAGTGTGTTTTTTGGACTTTGATCGTGACTCAACACAATTCACTAAGGCTGCTGGCTCAAACGAGCAATAAATATTAATAAAAATAAACATTTAAATTTTGAGCATATACGTCAATTGTTGTAGTGTTTGGTGTTGTTTCGAACATTTCATTTAATTTTTTTGTTGCTGTGCAGATTTTTTTCCACTGCTACCTCGTATTATATGTCATTGTGCGAAATGCAAACTTGCTGCCTTCCTTCCCCCACCAGTATATCTCTTTCCCTCTTACGGGGATTGCATAAAAAAACGACAACAAACGAGGAGAGCTTTTTTATGCGTTTGTTATGCTTTAGGCTTTTCGCGCGTTGCGTTTGTTTGCAGGTGAAAGTAACGCGTGATAGATGGCGTGTTGTCTGTCTTACTTGCTTGCAACAAGCGCCGCTTTGGATTGGACTTTGCGTTATATAAATAGTCATAACTGGAATAGCAGACACAAATTGATAAAACAAAACAAAAAACAATAATTGAGTATGGAGAACCTTGTCTTATCTCGACTACACAAAGTACAAGACTTGGAACTAAACAGGAAATATTTCAACCATTTTCGTATGGCGATAAGCAAACACCAATAAGCATCAAATACTTTGATAAAATTTAACAAATAATTATATGTATGTACATTGACCTTTATGCTTGGCTGCAAGATTATTTATTATGAGTTTTAGAACAGGTAATGCGAACAGGCCTGTTAAAAACGTTAAATAAAATTTTATTCATATTCAGTTGTATATTTTAAGTGTGTGCCGTCGATTAAATCGCGTGATCTTTTCCAGTGGCAATGCGAAATGAGTAATAAGTTCATGTTTCAACTTGTGCGTGTGTTTCTGTGTTCGATTTAACTTATCATTTCGTTTATTACACAAAGGCACACACACACAAGCAGAGTGAACACGCCACTGACTAACTTTTGATGGCTGTGTGGAAAATGAACTATCTTCTCTTTATCGATAACAGTTGTATATGTTTGCACAATACTGAAAGAAAGCTCAACAGTTGCAGTTACATTTTGCGTAGAGTTTGTCTACCTTTGGTGTGTGCCTTGAACTTAATGTAAACTAGTCTTGAATATCATTTTTTTTCACGTAAAGTTCATGGCATGCGCTTATTATTCTTAAATCAAATGTTGAGCAATTCACAGTTAATTGCTGTGTCCGCTTATATACTATTTCAAGTACAACAAGTTTCGTTAGTATACCAAATATTGCATAACATGCAATTACATATTTCAAACAACTCTCGAACATGACTTAAGCAAACACAAGCATATGTATCCAAAAAATCCCCCCTGCTTTGCATTATTTGTGTGCTTCTAGGCAACCGAAAAACAATCATTCTTTGTAATTTGTTGGTGTGCTTGCATTCGCGAATGCAATCACCTTGACTTTCTGCACAGAAGCTTCTCAAGCGAAAGCGCTTGGCAACAAGAAAAATCCAATTTTATTTACATGTATGTATGTATGTATGTTGTTTGTTGTGTTTTTCTTTTTCGTTTTGCGGATTTTCTTAATGCACGTGTCGCTCTTCTTAAATGAAAAAAGGAAAAAGAAATAGAAAAGAAAAGAAAAAACATTGACGGTCTCTTGTTTGATGTCGCAAATGGATATTTTTAAACACCGAAAACTATATTATATTTTACAATGGCACTAAAGCAAATTAATTTATGACAGCCTCTGTGTTTTTGCCTTTTACAGCTTGCCAAAGGGTAGAATCCGTTAAAAGAGCGACGACTAAATATCAAGTGCAATAAAAATGACTGCTTACTAATTGCACTCGCAGCACACTGCAACAAATCGAAGATCAATTTACGACACACACACATATATATATATACGCATTGTGTGTGTGTGAATATTCAATTCAAGCCGTTATCGATAGGCTATATCTTGCGTGTGTATATCGATTAACTAGTTGCGCTTAAGATGAACAGTTTGGCACGCGTGTTTAGCAACCTGTCCGACTTCTACAATGACATCAATGCGGCCACTCTGACCGGCGCCATCGATGTGATCGTCGTGGAGCAAAAGGATGGCGAATTCCAATGTTCGCCCTTCCATGTGCGCTTCGGCAAGCTGGGCGTGCTGCGCAGCCGCGAGAAGGTGGTAAGTGTACACAAAGGATACACGGTGAGAAAAAGATCGCCTTTTCTTTAATTGGAATTGTTTTGTTTTTTTTTTGCTGGACAGGTGGACATTGAAATAAATGGAGCACCCGTTGATATACAAATGAAACTGGGTGACTCTGGCGAGGCATTCTTTGTGGAGGAATGCCCCGAAGATGATGGCGTAGAGCTGCCCGCCAATTTGGCCACATCACCCATACCAAAGAGTTTCCTCCAGTCGCTGAACAACAATGCCAACGACACAATGGAGGACATTAGCGGCGTCATAGCCGACAAGTAGGTTATTCCTCACCACACAAACGTGCATTTGTTGTAGATGCTCCATGCTAGCTATACACAAATCATAAATCATATGGCATCAAATATCATGTTTACATATTTTTAGAAGCGCTAGCGATGAATTGCAAATCCCGTTGCCAATGCCCCGTCGCAACTCCATTGATCTGTCGAAGGAGGAGCCCAAGGAGATTGCCAACGAGGGCAGCAAGTTCGAGAATCAGGCCTCGGACTACACACACCGCAGGTAGTAAAATGCTTCGCCTAGAAATCAATACATATTTTGATATTTTAAAGTCATAAAATATATATATATAAAATATTGAGTATAAAAATCATTCATTTGATTGATTACAAATTCGAATCTGCTGAAAAATGGTTACCTTTTCTGCTCCAGGCACACGGATTTCTTGCTGGAGAGACGCAATTTGAATGAGAAACGCAAGGAGTTTACCACACAAAAGATGCGCCAGGAATGGGCCGAGCACAAGGAGCTATTTCTGGACAAAAAGCAATCGGAGACGTTGGACAAATTGCCCGAGTCAAAGCCGGACGAAATGGCGGCAGTAGACACAAAACTAGAACCAGAACTGGCCAATCAATCCCAATCGGATCCCATTGAAATGTCCATAAAGCCCCAGATGCCCGAGATGTTGTTGACGACACCTACGGGTCCAGTGGCTGCAGCGACTTCAATCACCGAGACCAACAAGGACGATGCCAAAAACAAGACCAAGAAGCGACGCAAGAAGTCGCAAATGAAGAAGAAGAACTCGCAGCGTAAAACATCCTCGAGCAGCTCCGCGGGCAGTGCCGCCGGCTTCGATGCCGGCAATGCGGATACCGTCTCACTCAGCTCGGTGAAGGTGAGCAACATTGATGAGACCGATATGGTTGCCAGCGTTTCCGTCAACACAAATTCGTCATCGAACGAGGAGCAGGCAGCATCGTCGGCACCACTCGTCACGGCTGCCAGCGAGCTGACACATGTGGCAACAACGCCCACAAATGTGCCACGTCACGATCTGGACATACACTTCTTTAGCGACACCGAGATCACCACACCGACGAGCATGGGCGCGGCGGGCGGTGGCCGCGGAGGAGTTGGTGGCCATCGACCATCAACGCCCATCCAGAGCGACAGCGAGCTGGAGACGACGATGCGTGGCCAGTGCCATGGCAATGCCGATGATGAGAACACCGCCCTGTGGAAGTGGGGTGAACTGCCCACGGCGGAACAGGAAAAGCTTGTCGCCGAGGAGCGTCGCACATCGATGCTGAGCAGCATGTTTAGCTTTATGAAGCGGGCGAATCGTTTGCGCAAGGAACGTGATGCTGGCGACATTTATCTATCCGACCTAGATACGGGCAGCATAGATCCCGAAATGGTTGCCCTCTACTTCCCCAGTCCCAAGGCCAAGGAGTCGAAGCAAACGCAGAGCGGCGATGAGGATCGCGAAAGTGGCAACGGCACCAGTCTGCCCCATTCACCCAGCTCCCTGGAGGAGAACCCAAAGAGCCAGGACTCTGATTTCGATGAGGGTGGCAAACAGATGCCGCCGATGCCAGAGAACAAGAAGTGAGTACTAGCTGTCAATCAGCCAAACCAGAGTTTTCAAGAGCATGTCACTCACACTCGATTTTTATTTAATTAGATATTTGGATTTTGTGGCCATGTCCACATGCGGCATGCAGGAGAATGGTGCGCCGCCCACTGATGAAATGTTCGATCGCCATCTGATCACCTATCCCGATGTAAGTAAGATCATCAGCATAATTTTCCATTTTGCCTGCAAAACTATCGATAGTTCTCTGGCCAAACCTCAAATTAGGGGTATGCGTTGTTTGAGTAACTATCGATAGGTTTGTGCGTATGTGTGTGCATTCGATACCATTGCACCCCACAACAACACTGCGATACACAGCACTGCACTTACTATTAACAACCACATTATTCATGCATTGCCTGCCGCCGTTCCCCTCGCTGTTGCCCGACACAGGTGTGCAAAGATCCACATATGTTCGCATCGCCAAATCTAGTTGTACGCCTGAATGGCAAATACTTCACTTGGAACGCTGCATGTCCCATTGTTATGACAATGATTATATTCCAGAAACAACTAACCGATGTAAGTGTTGACTAATGTCACAATTTTATTGACCGTTAGTCGCAACGCAGCTGACTGCAAGTCTTGAGTAAACTTTGTGTTGATATTTCGACAGGATGCCATCGAGCAGCTGATAACGCCAATGCCTCCAGTATCTGGCTTTGATAAACCGGAGGCTATTCTCCAAACAATGCAGGACAATGCTGGTCAGACCAAGCGCTCCTGGTGGAGCTGGCGACGATCTCAGGAGGCAGTGCCCAATCAGGACAGCAACAACAAAGGCATTTACATCCGCAAGAATCCAATGCTTAAAGATGAGAAGGGTTAGCGCTGACAACCTTTTCCTTTGTTCTCCTTTGTTAATACTTGTTCATTTTTAGATGGTGACCAGGCTGCTGTTAGCACACAAACATCGCGTCCCAATACGCCGGACACAAGCGATCCTACGCTCAGCAAAAGTGATTCGATGGTGAATGCCGAGAATACCTCCGCTCTCGTGGACAATCTTGAGGAGCTGACCATGAACTCCAACAAGAGCGATGAACCCAAAGAGCGCTACAAGAAATCGCTGCGCCTTAGCTCGGCGGCCATTGTAAGTAATACCTTCAAATAAGGAATACCCTAATCCTTACTGACCACCTGCTATTTGCGTAGAAAAAACTTAATCTGAAGGAGGGCATGAATGAGATTGAGTTCAGTGTGACGACCGCTTATCAGGGCACAACGCGCTGCAAGTGCTACTTGTTCCGCTGGAAGCACAACGATAAGGTTGTCATTTCGGATATAGATGGCACCATCACCAAGTCGGATGTTTTGGGTCACATTCTGCCGATGGTCGGCAAGGATTGGGCCCAATTGGGCGTCGCACAGCTCTTCTCCAAAATTGAACAAAATGGCTATAAGCTGCTCTATCTATCGGCACGTGCCATTGGCCAGTCACGAGTGACACGCGAATATTTACGCTCAATCCGGCAGGGCAATGTGAGGCTACCAGATGGGCCATTGCTGCTGAATCCGACATCGCTGATCTCGGCATTCCATCGCGAGGTTATTGAAAAGAAACCGGAACAATTTAAGATCGCTTGTCTGTCGGACATCCGTGATCTATTCCCCGAAAAGGAACCTTTCTACGCCGGCTACGGCAATCGCATTAATGTAAGCGGAATACATTTGATATTTCTTATATCTTATAAATATTTATTGTTACTTCCCGCATTGCTTTGCAGGATGTGTGGGCATATCGCGCCGTCGGCATACCTATCATGCGCATCTTCACCATCAACACCAAGGGCGAGCTGAAGCATGAGCTGACCCAAACATTCCAGTCATCGTAAGTAGCCCAAAATCTGAATCTGAATCTTTTCTTTCTACATATTTGGTGTTTGGTGTCTTCACAATTACTAAGGCTTCAAGTTTAAAGTTTTCATGTGCTTCAAGCTTGTCTGAAGCTGCCACTCATGCCACATACGAAATCGCAAAAAAATAATACAAATAAATATCGTTAATTGGCCCAAGTCGTTATTAACCTCATTATGTAAAGGCTAGCTGTAAGTCTAGGTCACATTCTATGTACACATAAGTATATATTTATATATATATATATATATGTGTGTGTGTGTGTGCGTGTCTGTAGGAACTAACTTCATTATTATTCACACAATAAACCAATCAATCGCAATGAGAGTGCACAAATTCAACTGAAGCATTTTGGTTGTCACATTTATATATTGATACAGTGGCTACATCAATCAGTCGCTTGAGGTCGATGAATACTTTCCGCTGCTGCTGCACACTGATGAATACGAATATCGCACCGAAGTATTCGATCACGATGAATTGGAGGATGAGCTGCAGTTTAGCGATGATTATGATGTGGATGTTGATGTTGATGTTGAGCTCCACAATAATGACAATGATGAGGATGACTCTGAATCAGATTTTGTCGATGATGATGATGTTGATGTTGATGCTGATGTTGATGCTGATGTTGATGCTGATGTTGATGTTAATGTTGATGTTGATGTTGATCGTGATATGAGCCTCATAATGACTCACCATGGGGCCAAAAATGAAATAATATTATCCTCACCACCCAAATGGCTAAATGGCAACAACTAAGCAAAAGCAAAATCAAAGCAAAAAAAAAATACCAACGAAATCCAAATGGGTGTGAAATTTCAATTGTGATACAATAATTGTTGTAGTGTTAAGTTCAAAAATACTATAGTTTCTAGTTTTTGGGAGCACGCTTCGATAGCCTGAACTTCCACTATAAAAAAAAATATGATTTGATATAGTCCTAAGCGAGCCGGCTTTGAAAGCTATAGCTCCGACAAAATATACGTTATTCTAAGAGCTGACAATGACAAGTCCGTATTGTATATATATTTATATATAAAGTAAACGTTTTTTGATTTATAAGGAATTATACTAATTTATCTATATACATCTATATATATATTTCTACACAAATAAAATGTGTGCATACTCTTGCTGTTATACAATGTTTTAACTCTGGCGTGGCATGTGGCAGTTGTTGTGAGGTTATGTTGCACTCTTGTGAGGTTATGTGTTGATAGTTTGAGGTTAGGTTGCATTTTAAGAATGTGTTGCATACGCTTGGGCGCTTAGGGCCAATGCAAACCGTTTAATATTGTTGCATAACTCTTGTCGTTTTGCTTATACATAAATATACTTTGTTTATTAATTATTTACCATGAATGCATTTGCAGGTACTGCAGCATGACCTACATTGTGGATCAGCTGTTTCCGCCCGTCAAGCATGACGAAGTGGACGTCGAGTTCTCCAATTTCAATTACTGGCGCGATCCCATACTCGATTTGCCCGAACTGGACACGGCGCTGGTGCCGCCCAATAAAACAGAATCGGCCTCACTTCGACCCATTCCAGAGAAATGAATAATCAATAATCGCAACAAACAAACAACAAACATAAACATAAACATAAACATACATAAATACATACTAAACATACAAATAATCAGCTATTAGAGTGAAGCTTTCTATCGTGTTATATATTTCGCAAAACAATCTTTTCATTTCCCAAACTTCAAATCCTATTTTGAGAAAAGAAAAACAATACAACTTTGTCTAGATGATCTATTCAAAATTTACGTACAATACATTATGCCTATGTATACAAGGATTAAAGTACATTTTAAGTTACGTCAAACAACAACCAGGGAAGTGATTTAGCCTACTTTTGCATTATATATTTAGTTAATTCGCTTTTGATTTCTTTTATATATATATATTATTTGAAAATGAGAATTTATCAATGCAAAGGATTTATTGCAAATTATTTTTGTATCTCTGATAATAAAATTGTGAAGTGTTTGAAACTGAAAATTCCTGAGCTACGACTACAGACATACTATTATTATTATTATTATTATTATTATTATTATTATGAAAATGCATCTTGTGATTTTTAATTTATGATTATAATTATTATGATTTTGTGATGATCAGTTAAATGATATAACTACATACATACATACATACATACATACAAATGCTTATAATTTAGTCAATGCTGGGCCTAATTCATTGCTTAATTGACTTTGCTTAGCCCAAATACATATATACAAATATGATGTTTCAAATAAAAATCAAATGCTTTAAACCATTTCTATAAATCTAAACGTAATTGAAAACTTTGTTTTTGTTACGAAAACAAAAAAAAAAAAAACTGCCAGTAGACGACAATGGATAAACAGAGAAGTTCGGAGAAATCAGGCGACGGCCAAATCAAAACTCAAATTGCAGTGGAAAATTTTTTTGTATATTGCTGGTGTTCTTCCATAGATACAAATACAGAAGCAATTGTTGCTTTTGTTCTCGTTGTTGCTCGTTGTCGTCTAGCATGCATACATAAATGTGAGAACATTCGAGTAGAAAAAAGTGTGTGTGATTATGGACAACAATAAACGATATCGCACGCTTGTGGAATGGGAGGGGAGTTGAGTGGCCAGAGGAATGGGGCTACTGAACTGAACAGCAGACACAACACATATGGGGCATGGATGCACGTATTGTGTTTGTATTTGTCAACGTAATTTTGCCAATTCAATTAATGCTCATTTAAATCATAGCAGCCCAGGCCAGCCAGCAACAACTGCAGCATCATCATCATCATCATCATGGTGATCATCATTAGCATTGGAGCATACAAAAGCGGGCCAGAGACACTGGGGAGAGGGTGCCACGGCTGAAGTGACCACACAAGTGAACTATTAAGTTTTGTATGCGAATGAAAATTAAATATCATTCAAATTACTTGTCAACAGGAACATCTGTATTGTTAAAAGCCAAGAATTGCTTTCTTTTGAGTAATAAATTGAGACGAACCGACAAACTTCACGGAACTGTTTTTTTTTTTTGCGTTAAAGTACTTAATTTTTAATTAAATACATATTTCTTGAGCATAATTTATACGTTTTCATATGTTTTAAATTTCTTGTTCTATATACGTTTCATATTTTTTGAATGACAAATTTCATGAGCTGTTTAAATCGACACAAGAATATTTAAGTATATGTTTTTTCGATTGAAGTTCGTTTATTTGTTTAATGAACTACACATTTCTCAAGCATACTGTATACATTTAAATATTTTTTATATTTACTTCGTGAAAGCGATGAAGAACCCTCACAGCACATTTTCGCAGGTTGAGTCGCCTTAACTAGGAAAAGATGTAGTATCCTAGGGATGCATGTTTTGAAGGGTTGATGGGCTCAGAAGGGGCATAATAGTTCTAACAGGTCGCAGTGCATATATCCGAAAAGTAATAATATTAATAATATTTACTTTGACGAAAAAATTCCAACTGCTGTTTGAAACGACTTAAGATTAATTATTTTTTGTCATTGAACATTGGTTTCTGTTTTAAATGAGTTACACATTTCTTGAGCAAATATAAATTATAAACCAAATGGTCGAATCCTTAAACTTTCTTGTTGGCTTTTTAGGTTTACCAAAACCAATAAAATGAACCTACTCAAAAAAAAAGCGAATTATTGAAACACAAAAACTAAAATGTAATAAATATTTTATATTTATTCCTTAGCTTTCGATAATAATTTAATATTATATTTTAGCTTTATTTATTCAATAAAAATTTACAGATTAATAAGAAACTCAACTCCAGCGATAGTCTTGTGCAATACTCAGGAACATATATTGCTTCCTGCTGTAATTTGAAGAAACTCACTCATAATCCCATAAAATACTCACACGAATACACACACACACATTCACACACACACACACGCACATTCACACACACACGCACATTCACACACACACACACATTCACACACACAACATAAACAGAGTCACAAATGACATTAAGCATAGAAAATTTTCCATCTGTTGAGCTGTGCTTTATGCTCGAACAAAACGAGATTTAGCCGATTATGATTAGTAATACATACATACATACATATATGTACGTATGACATATGTACAAATGTATGTATATATATGATTGGTACTACATATGTACATCGTTCACATACATATATAAATATTTGCAATGATTATGCTTAGGCCAGCTGATTTGGCATAATTTCGACAATTTGCTCAAATGCAATAACAAATAAATGATTTGAGCGAGAAAAAGTGTAGCGTAAAATATATACTTACTATAAATCAGGGGCAAGATTAACATTAATCTGTGATTTTGTTTAGAATTTTGTGGTAATCAACATAAAAAAAATTAGCGACTTTAAAGCCGACTTAAATTTTCCATATCAAATTTAAATTGCATGACAGCGAGCTTCAATTGAGCACCACTCAAAATGAAGCCGACATCGTTGTTGTCCCCTCTTCCAAGCTTCGGTTCTTCGTTCGGGGCCCCATATGGAAGGTATAAAAGCCAGCGCACACTGGCAGTCAATCATTAGTTATCTCTGGGAAAGCAATCAAGCAAATAGTCCGATTTCATTTCATCCAAATAAAAGGAAAAAAAACAACCGAATCCTGCAAATATGAAGAACTCCGTTGCCATTCTCCTCTGCGCCTTGATTGGCCTGGTAAGTTTGGCCGTGAGCCTTTAGCCCTTTCGTTGGAGGACTAAACATTAATTCACACTCCGCATAGGCTTCCGCTGCTGAGTACAAGTTGCGCACCGCTGAGGATCTGCAGAAGGTGCGCAAGGAGTGCGCCGTCGCCAACAAGGTGACCGAGGTACTGATTACAAAATACAAGGCCTTTGAGTATCCCGATGACGAGATCACCCGCAACTACATCAAGTGCATTTTCAACAAGTTCGATCTGTTCGAGGACACCAAGGGCTTCAATGTTGACAATCTGGTCGCACAGCTGGGCCAGGGACGCGAGGACAAGACCACACTGAAGGCCGACGTTGAGAAGTGTGCCGATAAGAATGAGCAGAAGTCAAATGTCAGCGCCTGGGCCTATCGAGGCTTCAAGTGCTTCCTCAGCAAGAATCTGCCCCTCGTCCAGGCTGCCATCCTGAAGAAGAACTAAGCGCCCCAAAGCGCCATCTAAAAATTAGATTAGTAGAGCAATCGTGCTAATCATCAAGCATCGCACATTTTTCGGATTCAGCATTAAATGTTTGGATCATAAATTTCTTTGGATTCTGCACTTTGCTTAAAATTCAAATAAAAATCGTATAATAGCGAGCTTAAAAGCCAAGTTGAATTTTTTATTTCATTATTCTTTTTTTTTTTACACACACACATGCTTTATTTATGGTTGTACTATATAATAATGCTTATCATATACTCTGCAAACAGTCCAAGCTGAGTAGGTTTCCTTTGTCGCCGCTTTCTTTCTCACTCTCTCTCTCTTTTCTTGATAGCGTTCCCTACCTTGTCCCACCCAAAGGAAAGGCATAGAAAAGTTGTTGTAATTCGTTTATATTTCATCATCTTTTCGATATAATCAATTTTCTTGTGTATTTTATTATGTATATTTTTTTTCGCATACATAAACAAGATGTAAATCTTGGTTCTTTTTGGATGTTTTTTTTTTATTATTTTGTGGGAATTTTCATCTTTTCCATACCAGCTCTTTTATCATAATTTTTTTTATTTTCTTTTTTGTCATCTTCTTTTTTATTTTGCCATCTCTAAAACTTCTTTTCTTTGCTTTTTTATTTTTTTTTATTTTATGCTGCTTTTGTTTGTCTTCTTTTTTGTTTTGTTTTGTTTTGTTTTGCTTTTTTTACAAACTCTTTTCCTCTTCTTTTTTTAGTTAGGCAGTTTATATATAAATGTATATATATATTATTTATTTGAGAAAAATTAAAAAGTGTGATAAAGGGGTGTTTGTGGTGTTGGGTGCTTCAAAAAACATTATAGCCAAGTTACGTTTTTTTTTTCTTTTTTCCTTGTTGATTTTCATTTTATTGGTTTTCATCTTTTTTGCGCCTGTTTTAGAAATTTTTTTCGTTGCTGCTGTTCATTTTTTTTTATTATTATTACTTGCATGTATAATATATTTAATTTTTTTTTGGTGGCGTACTCTTGCATTTTCTTTTTTTTTGCATTTATTACAAAGAAGTTTTGGCAATAAAATGTTTTTTGAAATTATATATTAAAAAAATCTGAAATCAAATATTGATTGGATTAAAGAATTGTGTTAAAAATCAAACTAAATAGTTGTTGGTATTCAAGTGCCCCCAATCCACGAGTATGTTAAGGATACAAATTCCCAGCAGATTAACAGACGGAAAAGGCGCAAGGTGCACACAAATTACAAGAACGGATTGCAAATGGAGACAAACACAAATGTGTCTATGTATGGGTTAAGAGGTACATGGTACATATTAGTGCACTTTCTAATGCAAAGATCTGGATGCATTTGCTTTTTTTTTTTTTTTTTTTTTTTTTAAGCGGACAACATATAAAATATTGATATACAGCTTTATAATGAATATGGAAAAGTAATCAAATCGTTGACGAATTGAGCACTTTTCCTATCACAAATGCATAATCTCTGAGACAATTGAGAGTTTTTGATCAGTCAACTTACCTTACTATAATTTAAGCAAAAACAATTATCAATACGGCGCATAGTAATTGGCGCGTCCGCGGTAACCTCTTCTGAAACGAAACACAGACCGAAATTAGCACATATCATATTAGTTGGCTGGGTTAAATGCCATGTGCCTTACATTGCGCGCCGAGCGCCACGGAAAGTGGAGTGACAGCAGGAGCGGGAGACGCGTGCCCCTCGGCCCCGGAAGCTGCCGCGTGCGAACCGATTTGTGGTGGAGAGTCCAGGCCGGTTTGTCCGCTTCGACATGACCTGCAAGAAGATAACAAGTATTATTAGTATCTTAAAAAAAAAAACCATAAAAATAAAAGGGACACACCTTAATTTGACGTCCTCGGAAGAGCGTTTCGTTCATGGCCAGTGCAGTCTCAACATATTCCTTCGAACCAAATTCAATATAGGCAAAACCCTTGGGATGCCCATCAGCCTTGTTGCATAGAATGGTAACACGATTGATTGTGCCGCATCCATGGAAATGTGCCTCCAGCTCCTCGGCGGATGCACCATAGTCCACGTTGCCCACATAGACGGACCTCGTGTCTATCTCCTGTTTCTCTTCAAGTGAAAGCGGCACGGTTGCCAAACCGGTTGTTGAACCGCCAGCCATTTGTTTGTCGACCTCGGACTGCATTTGTTTGATCTTTTCAGCCTCTTCCTCCATTTCTTTGACGCGTGCCTTGATGGCCTCTAGTTCTGGATCGATCTGCATGCTGCCTTCCTCCTTAAGTGTTTAGTAAAATCAGCAAATATATTGATTTCAGTTAATTCAAACTTGCATTCAATTCGAAATGCTAAAAAATGCGATATGTGGTTTAAGCTGGACAATGACTAAATGAAGTGAATAAAGACGCTTCGAAAATGGCGGCCGCTTTGTTTCGCGAGCTTTTCCATAAAGCTTTTTCTGCGAATTTCGGTGCTTTTGGCATGTAAGGCCAAATGAAAACTGGTTTAATGTCGACCAACACTCACCTCTGTTTCAGTCACAATTTCAGCCTCCTGTTCACCGTTTGTCTCATCCAGCGACTCCAAGAGCTGGTCTTCGTTTAAAGTAATATCTTCATCTGCCATTTTACTAGTTTTTCTTTTATGTTGTTTTTGAACTTTGGTGCTTTGTTTATGTTTACGAAGCCAAACTTTGTCGCGTAAAAGCTTACAGTGGTAGTTATCGAACTCTGATAGTTATCGTTATCGCAATTCACTGCAAAGAGGCGGATGTGGTGAAAGAGCGAATTTGGATTAATAAAGAATGCCCTGATTAAACGTACGTGCCAAATTCTTTTTACTTGGCGCTATTTTCTGCCTGCTGAAAATTATTTATTGCATTCAACTTTGATGTATAACATAAATTATGTGTACACGTTTGCATCTTTAGAATTACACTAAAACAACCACTTACGTCAAAATACAAGGCGCTGCTGCTGCTGACGTTTCTGCGTTCGCTCAAAATGGCCGCTGCCTAATGTTAATCCACACACGCTACTCCCGACGGCAACTATATATTAAAATTGATTTCGATGATTTTTTCGCTCAAGCCTTTACGGTTTAACTTGCTCCCACTTTTGAACAAAAACGGCAGCAATTAAATTTAATATTATTTCTGTATTTACAACAGTCTGACACTTTTTCACAGAAACAATTTTGTCAACGCAAAAAAACCCGCAGCGAATATAGATTCGCCTCGTTTTTAGCGACGGAACTTTCAAAATATCGTTTACTGCGATAATTAATTATCGATATCAAACAAGTATGGTAGATGCAAAATAGTATTCACTTTCCATTTACCATGAGCGATTCTGACTCGGAGTACGAGGAAACCGAATATTTGGTGTACGCCGACTTTAAAAATCATCTGGCGCCCCATCAACTGAAGCACGAGGATGCTGCCATCCGCATAATTGCCATTGAGAGCGAAACACCCATGGCCGAAATAAATGGAAACATATTCAAAGGTGCGCCATGAATATTAATTAGAGCAGCCGAAAATTACGATAAACAATTATATGCATTGTTGCAGGATCTTATGATATGGCATTGGGCACCAATGTGTTCTTTGAGAAAGACACCAACAGCGTATTCGGAGATCCACTTTATGAGCCAGTTTGTCGACAACAATATAAATACGTTAATAAATCCGATAAAGTCATCAGTTTCGAGCGTGTCTACATTGAAAACCTGCCACAAGATATTAAAGTAGAAGAGGAACATCAGCCAGAGGAAGCTAAATCACAATCACTTAAGCTCAATATCAGCTACAGGGACGCAATTAACAAATTTGGCAAAGAGCAGTAAACTGTATGTGCGAAACTAGAGCTGGGCACGTGACACGCAACGAAGTTGATTAATTTCTCTTTGAACATGCTTTATTCATATTGCATTTAGCTATGCATTAATTTGTATGGCTTTCAATTACAAAACCATTAAAGATCTGTATAACCTAACCTAACATTCTTTTGGCATATCCTTTTTGCATGTCACTTGCTCAGTTATACTACTAAATCAAATATTGTCCAGATTTCCTTACAGTTTTTGTATCCCTTTGTAGCATAATGGAGAACGTGCTCGAGTCCCCGCAACCACCTATTAGCCTAAGGCAATTTCTAGACGAATATAAAAACCAGCTAAACAGTTCAAATGAGAACACAGACAATATTCCCTTTTATTTTGCTGAGAATTCACCGGTATCGCCGGATGTGGAAGCCAGCTGCTCGTTGCAATTGCTGGCTACGTCGGACGATAACCTGATCAACGTATTTGAACCGGGGAATGAGATGCGACGACACACCAGGCCAAAGCCACAAGCAGATGACAATGTGCCCAAGACCTACACGGCAATAAAGGAGCATAAGGATTATAAACCTGGCAATCCGTTTGCACGCACACAATACAGTTACCGTTTGATTTCCGAATCGCTGACCAGCGGTGATCTAAAACCAATGTGGTCCCTCCAGCAATTCGATCTGGCGATAACAGTGCGCTTCTATCGACCGCCACGTGCTTCGCATCGGAACTACAAACTGGAGCGTCCAATGTTTGCTGAGGAATTCGTGTGCCTGGGCAGCAACTATCTGACCGAGCTGCGTGACAAAATCTCCTGCATTTGCAACGGCAAACGGTTTGTGGATATTAGCGAGGATCCGGAGGCGCCGCTGCCTGTGCTTGATACAAATCCCGGCTATTTCTTTATCAATGACACATTCTACAATGATACACGCAATCCAAATAATTGCGACTACTCAAAAACGGTGCTCCAATGGGCGCGCACAGCAAGTGGTTTCCAGGACGAAGGACTCAAGGTTGCAGCGATGGAAAGTACACGGTTTCTGGATCTCACCGTACGACTGGGCGCACCATTGCAATATCTGCATCATGGCAATTGCGAGCATCTGTTTGTGTTCTCCCAGGTGGAGGTCGTCTGGCCTCATATCCTGTGCAGCAGCTCGTATCCCTATCTACGCGCCTTCAACCCTTTCAATGGACGAGCGTGCTTCATTTGCGGTATACGCAGCTATCATTTCATTGTGGAGCAGTCCCGCAGGCAGTTGCACGATCCGGCATATTTGTGTCGCAGCTGTCACTACAGCTATAACTATGTGGATGGCAAAAAGGTGGGGCAGTTTAGGGCTTATCGTATATATGATAATTCAGAGCGGTCCGATGATGAGGTGGCAAAACAGCTGCAGGAGATATTGGACATAAGTGATAACGGCAATAACGATAGCCATTAATTATATATATTTTAATTTAATTTCGTTTTGATAAAATATATGCAAACATAAATGATTCATACTGTTCGTTAAATAAAACGTTGCCAATACACAATGTAACAATATATAGTTAAACATATGCTGCTCAATTTCAATTCAAGTACTATATGCACACATATAGTATATAGTCTATTAGCAGGAGTTAGTTAGGAATCAAATGGAAATTTAACACAAATATCGTTAGCTCCATTGAGCTGCGGTCTTAACAGTATTATATGTATGAGTTACATTGATTTTTTTATAAATACCTTTTAGGGAGCTTCACACACATATTCATATTCATATATATTTAAATTAGTTTCAATATCAATTAGGCGCACAGACTTGACCAGGACCCAAGGGCAAACGATTTAATAAGATTAATTTTGGCCAATATTAACATATGTGTATTCTATATATGAACACAAATATACTTAGATAATACAGAGTAAAAACATACATATTACCATATGTATAGTATGCTATTGTATATATACTGTAAAGTATCAATTTTCACTTGTGCGTGTATAAATCGCTTTTCTGTGTGTGTGTGTGTTTATGTGTGTATGAAAATGCTTTGAAACACTTTATGGCCTTCTAGAATTAGACGCGTATCGTGATTGCTTTAATTACTGGAATCAACACGCCGTGTCCGCATTAATAAATCAGAGCACATTACGACTTGGTATAAAAGTTAAGGAAAGACAAAATAATTCTAGAAGCTCAACAGATTCTGATACTAATTCTCGGTTAGTTACATTTTCTCCGTACAAATATTAATTAAGGAAAAAGTATATTAAATTAAACAACGTACAGATTTCAATAAGTCAATACAAATATAAAAAAGTCGTGCGTGTTGAAAAGATGCGCAAGACACGCGCAAATCTCTTTCAAGATTCAGGCAATTGAATTAAAAGTAGTTATGTATAACTGGTGGTTCTCCAGCTGCCTTTTAACCTCTTTGGTTGTTCACTTTGATTAAAGCTAATACCAGCCGAAGGTAATGCCTAGCTTTGAAATACCAATTCACGCTCAACGCTTAGATACTCTAGCATTTGGGCCGGCACCGGTAGTTTGGCTAGCTCAGCGACGGGCATTTGACGCTGCAGGACCCGTCGGCACAGATCCTGCAACTTGGGCATGTTCAAATATCGGCTGAGCGGATACTTGAGAATGACTGGAAACGGTGGCTGCATCTCGTTGGGCACTTTTACAAAGCACACAAAATTGTCGTTCGTACACCGATGTAGTATGTCGTCAATCATCTGGACAATCGAACCATATTTCAATTCCTCAAAGTGCCAAAATTGATCCCGATATTCCAAACGATAATGCAGCGTTACGTTCATAATGCGAAAGCTGAGCGTAAATTGGGAACCGCTCGTCTCCGAGTCCCTTACCAAAAACGATCCCGTTGGCTTGTCACTCAGCTGACGCTGGGAATCGCGACGCGAAATCTCGCCCCAATACCAAACTTGACTGCAAAAAAAAAAAACACAAAGATAAAAGCATTCGTCACGCACATGATTCATCAATGGGAGAATGCTAAAACACATACTTGAGCATTTCCGAGCATGTCGTGTACATGACCACATTGGGTGATTCCTGTCGCTCCAGCCACTTTTTACTTATGAATCGCATGTAGTCATGTGTAAATGGTAGTGTCGGCTCGCTGGCAATGGGCGGCGATAGAAACTCGTACATTGCATCTGTGGTGCCGCCATCGCAGTCACAGTCATCGCCCATGGAGTGCCAGTTGCGCAGGGCACTCAGGCCCAGGCCCATCTTCTTGCCAAGACGGGTGAAGACATTTTTCTTTTCCTTGCGCTTGCGCATAACGCCGCCAATAGTGCTGTTGTTGCTGCTGCTGCTGCAGTTGTTGCCAACGGATGCAGCTGTGCTGCAACTTGCCTCCATGGGCTCATTGTTATTGTTTGTATGCAGCTGCACAGCGTGCGAGCTAGCGGCAACTGTTAAACTCGAACTGGCTGAATCGGACTTCTTGCGTCTGGTCAATGAATGAAACCAGCTACGCTTTTCTTTAGTAGCTGCCTTTGTTGCTACTGCTCCAGCGGCTGCACAGGATTTGAAAATAACCCATTAGTAAATTAAATGAAGTTAAACTCAATTTGGATTAGATTCCCCACCCAAATTCCTTCTATTATCTTTTACTGAAAATGAAACAAAAACGAGGTACTTACTCTGCTCCATGTTGCCGAGTGCTAGCAATCCCTGGCTGGATGGGTTTTGGCTCCTGGCTCGATTGGCGATTCCCGCTGCTGCACTCCCACTCGTATTGGCATCAACAGCACCTTGGCCTTGGTTTTGGGTGCGTGAGTTTGTGTTGTTCTCGCCGTTACTCATGTTGACTAATTTCGCGTGCGAGTTATTTGGGATTAACTGTGCCCAATAATTATCACATTCTTGGTCTATATAGGTAATCCGATGACTAAACTTAAATTTAATGTGATAAGAAACTTTTTGTTTTCGTTTTCGTTTGGAGTAGTATACAAGAAGTGGAAGGGCTTTCTGTGCGAGGAATGTTCAATGTATCGATACTTTGGGTGAGTAAAAATACACTAGTTGCGTGTGCTGGTGCAAAGATACCCCTTAAATCCGGTAATCTCACATTTGTTTATATGGAATGCTTGTAAACATTTTATTTATATTCCAAATATTGTATATCCCCATTCGCCATCTGTCTAATACTCAACTTTCTTATATATGAAAGATGTGTAGCTGTTTTCAAAAGTTAAAATTCTGTATAGAGCCAGCCCGCACATTATACCCTTTTCGATGCTTTTAATGGTAAAGGTTCGAACTTACTCGATAACTTCTTGTATCGATAAGCCGCCGATAGCACAGTGCATATACACATATGTTCATAGTTTGTTTTGAACAAGAATAAAACAATATAAGAATGGACAATTTGCCCATAAAAGTGGATCTATCCAACTTTTTCACCGACGCTCGCAGCTGTTCTTTAGTATTGGTTGATGCCACATGGCTGAATGTCAAGGATCTACAGAATCACATTCAAAAGTTGTTCCAACTGGTAAATTTGTTTTTAAACTTTGGAATTGAATTGCATTTTAAAGAGGATTATTTGAATCACATAGAAAAATATAAGTTTGTTGACCAACGATGGATATTATCTGCCACCAAAGGAATCCATAAAGGTACTCGTAGCCGTCGAATCGGTCAAGGTATTTCAACTAAATTTTGATGAAGAGCAAGTGGACCGCAGCCTTCAAAATGTGGCTGAAATAAGCAGAAAACGCAAAAATCGTTCCGTCGAAACGGAAATAGAGCATATAAGCTCCACACCCAATTTTCCCAAGCGATCGAAGTGCAAAACTGTTTCGCAAGATGAAGCAACATTTATGGAGCCTCAATCCAAGCTAGACAAGTCGAATAGTGTTTGTGGAAAAGGTCCCAAAGGAAATAAATCCAAGAGAAAAAATAATGAGCTTCAGGAGGAATCTAGAGGGCCAAAAGTGAGCAGCACACAGCTCCATGAAGAAATTCTTACGTCAAATCAGTCAATGCGCTTGCAAACAACCAAAACAGATGCTGGAATTCAGAGTTGTGTTAATGCAACGAATAGCTCCAATAAACACATAATCTATCAGGATGATGAAATGGAAACGAAGACAACAAATGCGACAGCAAATGCGACAGCAATGGAGACGAGCTGTCCAGCTACAAAAGAGGATCCACAAGTTGAGTTTCGTTGTCCGCTAATGGAGCTAAACAGTAATTTGGTGCGCACATTTAAACTGCCACGCATATCAGAACCGATTAAAATTTTAGAAGATATTGTTATAACAGCGCCTGTAAGGCAAATCTCTGCAGAAGCAATCAAAGATGTGTCAGTGAAGGAAACAGAAACATCGACTGCAGTTGCAGCTGAAGTTGAAGTTGAAGCGGATCAGAAACAATCAACGCAAGTTGCTTCACCCCGTCAAGTAAAAGAGGATTCCACTATGCTGGAGGAGCAGTCAATTGCCGAAGAACCAACGCCTGTTGCTGAGCAGAGTCTGTTGACATCCGACTCAGAAGATGATATTATGGTGCTGGATGACACGAATTTGGATGATTCCAATGATGCGGATGTCCAACCAGTACCAGTGCAGAAAGATGAGTCATTGGATATAATTGCAGATATGTTGCAGAATGCGGCACCATTAACGAACCTACCAAATGTGGGTGAAACTCTGATCTTCAAGCTATCCAAATCGAGGGGTCAACACCAGACAAAGCGCTCAAATCCTTCTCTCACCGATTACATTGCTGGCACCTGCTCCTATGTCAATCGTCGCACAAAGCTAATAACAATTCATATAATTGGTAATTACTTACACTATAATATAATAAAAATATATATCTTATGAATTATTGTATTAATTCCTATATTTCAGCTTGTGCCAGAGGTATTAATCATATACTGCGACAATATGCCAACAATTATGATGGTTCTTACGATTCGATCCCAATCTTGAATGTGAACCTGAAAGAACTGACCGATGCCAAGGTAATCGTGTCCGAGGTGGATTAACAATAAAGGATTAACATAAAGGCGTCTACATTTTCATGTGTTTATTTATTTTTCATAATTTGTTGATATAAACGATCAAATAACATAAATGGACGAGCTGCAAGGCACTCGTCGAGCGAATGTTGTTCAGACTGTATGCTTCTTGATTTGCTGCAATAGATCATCGGCCTCTTCGGCGGTCTTCACGCGCAGTAACATGGACAATGGCTTGGCCTCCTCGGGCGTGGGCAGGCAGACCATCATAACATTGTTTTTGCCCATGCGCTGGCAGGGCAATCCCTCGCTGAGTATAAGATTAACCAAGATGTTGCCCAGATTGGTATCGGCACGCACCAGCAGCTGTGTCTTCTTTGTATCCTTGACGGGCTTCAAATACAGCGTGCCCACACCGCGATCAGTGTAGTCTGCACCCTTTTTCACAAACACCTTGCAGCGTTTCGAGAATATGGCATCGTCCTCAACCACCTGCGGGTATTTGAATATAAATTTTAAATTACGTGATATACGTCAAGAAATGGCTTTTCTTCTACCTGCTTGAACTGCACCACCGGTGGACTATCCTCTTCTTCTTCCTTTTCGGCGGCTTGAATTTCGGCAGCCGTCGGCGGTTTGACATTACCAAACGAAAATGTTGATGCAGCACTTGCAAAGGAGAAACCGCTGGAGGCGGGCGACTTGGTCTCGCCGGCGGCGGTGTCCGCCTTTCCGAAACCCGTAAAACCCGATGTGCTCGGCTTATCATCCGTGCCCTTTAGGCCAAAGATGAAACCATTTGTTTTTGGCGACGAGGTGGCCGCAGCTGCACCACTATTATTGACACCGAAGAAGAAGCTCGGCTTTGGCAGCTGATCCTTATTGCTGTCCGATTTAGCACCCAGACTGAAAATGCTGGCTCCCGAAGCTGTGCTCGATGTTGCCTCCGTTTTGGTCGGTGATACGTTTGCCGTTTGTACAGGACCAAGGGAAAAGAGTGGCGTTGTAATGGTCGATGTGGTGCCACTAGTGGTGGCGGTGGAATTTGGTTTCTTATCAAAGATCAGAGACGGTGAAGCGGTGTCGCTAGAACTGGTCGTGGAAATGGGAGTGCTTGGCTTAAGGAACGAGAAACCGCCGGGTGCAGCACTCAAGGACGATGAAGCTTTTTCGGTGGTGTTGGTGGTGGTGCTTGAAATGCCAAAGGAGAAGCCCACAGCGGGTGCAGCTTTTTCCGTGGCACTTGCAGCCGTGCTGCTGGGTTTACCAAACATGAAGCCAGCAGCAGGTGAAGAAGATGCACTTTTATCGGAAGCGGAAGTGCTGGGTATGCTAAAGGAGAAGCCCGCAGCAGGCGCAGAAAGTGCAGTTTTTTCGCCCGTAGTGCTGGCTGTGCCAAGTTTGAAGCTGGCAGCTGGTGGAGCAGTTGAAGATGTTGGAACTGTGACGGTGGACGCAAACATTGTAGTGGTGCTGGGCTTGCGATCATACTTCTCTTGCAGCTTCTTCAAGAATTTGTCGTAGCTGTCGAATACGGGCGTCAGTATGCAATATTGATTCTTGTCCACGCTCTCTTGCAGGAATTTGACAATGGCCATATTCAATGCGCCCACCTCATCGGGATACTCGGCCGAATAGCGTGATAGATTACTATTTGTCGCTGACTGATCCACGGATACCACCGACGACTTAAACATAGGAACGTACGTCTTGGGTGACTTTGCGGTACTATTGCCACCAGCTGATGCTGAAGTATTGCCAAATATTGATGTGCTTGTCGTTGTGGTTGTTGTTGCTGTCGATGATGCTGTTCCAGCATTGGCATTGTTTGTCTTGAAATCATTCCGGAAATTTGCGTCCAACGAGAACATTTTCGCTGGCGGCGTACGTTTCACATCCGTGCTGCTGCTGGGCTTCGCAAAGCAGTCAGCATCCGTTGCCGGGGCAGTCACTGCCGGTAGTTTGGATAGAAATGCAAAGGGCGAACCGGCTGCGTTGCCGGCAGTTGCGCTGGCAGTTGCCGGCTTGCCAAAACCTAAATGTCAACATAATACAAATAATATAATATAACTCCCGGCGAAAAATTGCGCACTCACCTGAAAATCCACTAAAAACACTTTTACGCGGAGTGTCGACGACATCGCCCTCTTTGGTTGCGCCGGTTGCCGGCTGGCGCCTTGTGGCCTTCTTGATAACGCGTGCTCTTAATTCTTCTGGCGGCGCCGTTTTGAATGTGCCTCGCTCTTCGGGCTCGTCTTCTTGCTCCCAGTTCTCGTGGTCCAAATGCGATGTCGCTTGTCGCTTGCCAGCCATTGCTTTTTAATGTATATTACTTAAATTATTCAAATATAAATATTTTTTATATTTATGTTTTCGAGGAGCAAAAGTGTGCTTGGTTTGTTCAGTAAGCAGTGAACATGAACAAGTTCGCGGAACGATGAAAATGAGCTTGTTCACGGATTTGAATTGTGGCTGGTATTTTCAGGATAAAAATCACAATAATAACTTAATATATTGATTCTGCAAAAATATATCACAAACGACTGCATGAGTTCCTTCTGTATAATGAACAACAATATAATTTGCAGCCCTGAAGCATGTACCCATGACGTTGGCTGTACAATTTTTGTAGTTTTTTTTTTTTGGTCATTTTTAGCACTTTCCTAAAAGTAAACTATGGGCAACACTAGACAACAGTGTACGCGACGACGACGCCAGCAGAACACCAAAAAAATTGCAATATTAATAATATTTAATTTAAATCCGGCTCGGAGGCGCGTCAAAAGTGAAAAGTGAAAAACCAAGAGTAATTATGCATCAATGTCCAGATAGCATACACAATTTTTAGCAATGTGATAAAACAGTTGCGGACTGTAAATATGCGCGGCGCATTTCTCTACTACTGTAACATTAATTGCGCTTCGACTGCGACTCAAATTTTGCTGCAAAGATGAGGCGATCAGGTGGCGCGCCTAAAAAGTGTACAACAAACACGAAAAAAAAGTGGTGTGCGTAAATCAAATGTGCAACGGCAGCGTGTGTAAAAGTGTAGTGTACAATATCAAAAAGGAATAACGTGAAAATCGCAGTAAAAGGAAGAGAGTAACAAAGAGTACACCAATACAGACGTACATGCCAACAACAGCACCAACACCAACAACACCAGCACCAATCCCAGCTCACTCACGCACACACACACACTCACACATACGCACACAGAAACACGAATTAAGGCATCGTAAACGTTGTCGCTTGTTATCCTGCTTGCTTATTCCTGTTGCCTCGTCGTGTGATCCTTTGTCGCTGGTCTCAAAGCAGCAGCTGTCCGGGTCGTGTTTCTGTTATCCATTTGCACTCTCGTCCCTCGTCGTCATTTATTATACGCTGTCCTTGAAGCTCGTCGTGCTCTTAAGTGTGTGCAAAAACCACAAACCATAAGAAAAACAAAAACAACAACAAAAGGAGAAAAAAGTGTGCCCAGTAGAAAGTAAAGCATCAATACAACAATATCAAAATGCCGCCAGCATTAATTGGCATCTCTGAGTTTGTGGAGGAGACGCGCGATGATTACAATTCGCCCACCACATCCACATTTGCGTCCCGCATGCCGGATTGCCGTCAAACGATTAGCATATTGGAAGAGGTAAGCAAAACCACTCATTCTCTCTCTCTCGTTCTGTCGCTCTCTCTTTCTCCCTCACGTGTGGAAAAGTTCAAGGTAGCTAATCAATGATCCAGCGCTTTAAATTGCATGCACACACACACACATCTACATTTACTTTTCTTTATTTACTCTCCCACAAAATAACAAATTTGTTTTTTCCATAGTGGTCCTATGGAAAGCAAATGCATTGCATTGGCACTGAGCCAAGTGAACCCAACATTCGTTTCTCTCCCGCCTCTCCCACCTCTTTTTCTCCCTCTCTCTCTCTCTTTTACTTTGCAATTGTTCTACGATGACGTCGTCGTCGGTGGCGGGAATTGCAGGTGGTTTCTTCCTCCTCCATCAAAAGTCATAAATAATGAAAGTGCACATTCTGAAATCAATGCAGCTGGCGAAACCCGTCCCCCCTCCACCCAGGGACTCACTTGGCCGCCCCTTCAAAATGCAAGCGAGCAATGCAATGTTTTATTTTTAGTCACTGCAGCTGCTTTTGTTACAACCTATAAAAAACTAAAATACACACATTGCTATGCACATTGCCGCTGCTGCTGATAAGGGCAAGTGCGGGCGGAAAAAGCGTATGATTAAGCAGACATTGCCATATGCACCGAATATGTAGCTTGCACACGATCACAGTTTATCAATCGCGTTGCCACAATGCGTTAATTTTATATACATATTTATATATATGTTGATATATGTAGATATAGATAGGCCCACCCATATTCCTCTATATGCTGTGTTCCCTAAGAACATTTTTCTTCGAACTTTTCTTGTCTGCGCTCCAATTCTTTAGCTAAAATTAGCCGTCAGCTGTCATCCGAGTCACAGTGGCCTCCAGCCACAAATATTATTTTGGTCTGAATTCTAAATAGCGCTTGGATTACATAAACATAAGCTTCTGTTTACAATATGAGTAATAATCTACAGAGCTCATAGTTTTTTGTTGCGGTTTGCGGGTCTGAAACACAATTTCATCTTTCGCTATTGTTTTTTTTTTTTTTTTTTTTTTTTTTTTTTTTTTTTAGTATTTAGTGCATTCAGTTTCATTCTCTTAATTTGATACCAGTGTGCAGCAAATTAAATTTAATTTTTTGCCTTTTTAATACACGTCACTCAGCTCGATACGATTGGTTTTTCGTGTTAGTTCCTGACAAATGTTTGACAGCAAATTAAATGTTTCATATTTTATTTCGCTGATGCGCCTCAAAAGTCCAAATCAATAAATGAATGAACTGAACCCAAAATGACACACCTTTCATTTGTGTCTTTGTCTTTTTGGCACACTCCTATAAATAGCCCAAATTACAAAAACACATTCACATATATGACCCTATATATATATATATATATATATATATATATATATATATATATTTATATATATGTATACATATATGAAACAAGAATTAAATCCTCACACACAATAAGTGTATTATTTACAGCGCTGCTTTTGCACAAAGCCCACATTGCTATATAATATAAACACATTGCGGTTTTCGGCTAAAAGTAACTTGACCAGACGGCGGCTTCTCGCCTCTTTTTTTTATTATTAAGAACTTCATCTTTTGTTATCACGACACAACGGAATAAAGATAAAAAAATGAGGGATAGATGAAGAAAAAAAAAACAAAAACTCGCTTGGTCGCTAGAAAGAGAAACGGAAACCAGTTGTTGGGTTGACCAACTTAATTTGTTATTGTTCTAAGCAATTTGCGTTCCAAATATTTGCGCCAACAACTCATGCCACAAATGTTTATGAACCATTCACAACCACATACATACCTATACGTATATACTGTGACTAATCTTTATTAGCAAGGTTCTAAAGTTCTTCTTATCGTGCTGCCCACTTACTATTTTAGGTGTTATACCATCACAAAATAAGAGATTACATCGTAAATTGTTTAGCCGTTGCTATGTTTGTAAATTGACGTACTATCGCCTTGTTTATCTAATCTTAGATATAGGTTTTTAATAGATGTTTGTACATGTTCAATACATATACCCATAACATATCAATTCTTGACAAGAGTTTCGTGTCCATAACTCTAAAAAGTTGTAGGGTTTTACAATTTTCAAACTTATTTCAAATTCGTAGAACAAGCAAGCACTGATTGCCTGCATTCAACAGTGTGTCTAATTCAATAAAATGAATTAATTTTAATTGAAAAGTCAAGAGGTTAAACGAGTTATGCTAGTGCATGAGAAAAGTGTCAAGGGATCAAAGGGGAAATCTCTCAGAAATGCATAGAATTAACTTTCAACTTCAAAATTGAAGAACAAAAAATACAATCTTGCTTGTGAAGTGAACTCAAATCAGTCTTTATACTTATCAAAGTTACTATCTATATTCCTTGCAGCGACTGGAATTCGATCGCGATGGTCTGACCAAACTCAAGAAGGCCGTTAAAGCCATACATAACTCTGGCATTAGTAAGTATATAGTCAACTATTTTGATTGGCTTATTTATAAACCACTTTACCATAAATAGATCATGTGGAAAATGAAATGATTATGGTGCGGGGACTGGAGCGTCTGGGGACCAAGGTCATTGATCAGGATGAGCCCGACATTGGAGCAGCGTTTCTCAAGTTCTCTGTAGTCACCAAAGAGCTCAGTGCGCTGATGAAAACACTGGTCAGTAATTAAATAATAACATATACATATGAAATATTAAATTTAAGTTAATTGCCAAGTTCATGTTATTTATCACTGCTGATAAGCATTGTGCATTGTGAACCCATCCGCAAGCAATGCTGTTTCATCTAATCTGCATAAAGTAGATGATAAAATTGCAATTAAAAATAAAACACACTCAATTAAACTAACCCTGAACTTATCTGGTGTTGTCCCACTTTCATTGGCAGATGCAAAATATCAACAACATTGTCATGTTTCCGGTGGATTCGATGCTAAAGAGCGAACTGCGCGGCGTCAAAGGCGATATGAAGCGTCCATTCGATAAGGCGGCCAAAGAGTACGAGGCCAAATTTATCAAAATTGAGAAGGAGAAAAAGGCGCAGGCCAAGGAGGCGGGCATGGTGCGAACAGAGATCGATGCCGCTGTCGTTGCCGATGAAATGGAAAAGGAGCGTCGCCTATATCAGCTGCATACCTGCGAGTATCTGCTCAAATACAAAGAGATCAAAACAAAAACTGGCATTGAGCTGCTGCAGCATTTCATCGAGTATTATCACGCGCTGAATAAGTAAGTTTTTAGCCGCAGCCTAAGCTGAGCTGAATGCTAATTAGTACACCCTGTGCCAGTCTCATATTTGTTCAAATTGGGCATATTTAAGCTGTCGAAATGTATGCAGTATGTATGATAACTCCCAGCATATATTAGGTATAAATTTGCATTGATTTGGTTGAGATCGCAACAGCTAAAGCCTTTACAAACTCTTTATCATTTATAGTTCAATTAAGATTTTTCTAAGCTCTGTCAGCTTTGTGTGTATGCGTTTGTATCTGTATTAATTCTGCATTAAAACTTTTCTGATACATTTCCAAGTAATAAGTTATATATTTGGCAAAAATAATCGCCTAATAAATTAAATTATTTATATTAATTCAGCACTAAAACTTGAAACCTTCTGATACATTTCGATAAAATTGAATTTTAAACTTGTTGTTTGTAAATGTTCAAAGTCCCACTCCAATAGACTTGAAAAAATGAGATCATACCATTTAAAGCTGGGCACAGGGTATCTGCTAGCCACTGTAATTGCCTCTTGTGCACATTGCCCTATTTGCTGTTGTTTACTGTTTATTGTGTACGCATTTATATAACTGAAGTCCATTGGCATTGCAGTTACTTCAAAGATGGACTGCAAACGATCGAACACTTTGGCACGTACATTGGCGATCTGAGCGACAAGCTGCACGTGATCAAGCAGAAGCAGGACGAGGACAGGCGCAGTTTGCTGGATCTGCGAACATTGCTGCGCAGCACACCGGACTTTGAGCGGGTGGACAATGCGTCCACGTCGGAGAATCGCAGTGGTGGTGGTGGCGGTGGTTTTGGTGGTTCGGGTGCCGGCTACTCGTTGCATCAGCTGCAGGGCGACAAGCATCACGGGGTCACGCGTCAGGGTCATTTGCTCAAGAAGAGCGAGGGCAAGGTGCGACGCGTGTGGCAGAAGCGTCGTTGCCGCGTCACCAGCGACGGATTTCTGGACATTTGTCATGCGGACGAATCAAAGCCACCGACGCGAGTTAATCTGCTCACCTGCCAAATTAAACCGGTGCCAGATGATAAGCGTGGCTTCGATCTAATCAGCTGTAAGTGATTCCAAAGCACACACATAATTCCAATCGCCACAAGATTAACATTTAAATCTTTATCCTCCATTAGACAATCGACCGTATCATTTTCAAGCTGAGGACGAGGCGGATCAGAAGGCTTGGATGGCTGTTCTGGTCAACTGTAAGGAGAAGGCACTGACCAAGGCCTTCCAGCATGCCAATCCCCAGATGAGCCCCAGCCTGGTGGAGCTGCAGAAGACGGTGATTCGCTATGTGCAACTGCTGCCGGGCAATGATAGATGCTGCGATTGTGGCTCACGTAACGATGTCACCTGGATTAGCCTCAACTTTGGCATCCTCGTCTGCATCCAATGCTCGGGTGTGCATCGTGATCTCGGTGTGCATCACTCGCGCATCCAGAGCCTAACGCTGGACAATCTGACCACTGCGAATCTGTTGATTGCACGTGCCATGGGCAACAGCACACTGAATGACATTATGGAGGCCAAGCTGGGCAGGGGCAAGCTCAGTCATGAGAGCAGCATGTAAGCTCAACTGCTGGACTCTCGTCTATGCATTCGTATTCAATAATTCTATTGCAATTTACAGGGATGAGCGGTATGATTTCATACGCGCCAAATATGTGGCCAAGCGCTATGTGATGCGCACCTGTGCCGATGACAATGATCTGCGCTGCGATCTGGAGCAGGCAATTGTCCATGCGGACATGAGCCAACTGCTGCAGGTGTGGGCAGAGGGTGCCGATCTCACCTGCTGTTTGCCCAGCTCCGATGCGGGCGAAACTGCCCTCCATTTGGCCGTGCTGCGTGAAAGCGGCTCCACGCTGCACATTGTTGATTTTCTCATACAGAATATGCCGCCCAATGGCTTGAATCGAGCCACCAATCCGCCCGGCCTGCTGGATGTTACCGGCAAAAATACATCGCTGCATCTCTGTGCACTGCACGATCGTCGCAGTGCATGAAACTGCTCCTGCGCTCCGGCGCCGACTACGAGCTACGAAATTCACAGAACAAAACAGCGCTGGACATTGCCAAAGAGATGGGTCACAACAGCTGCAAGGAGCTGGTAAGCTCAATTTTTAATGAAAATATTTAGAGGATTTCATTTATGTTTGTGTTTGTTTGCTGTGCAGATTGAATGTGCCATAAAGCGGGAGAAGAGCGCCTTTGATCACATCAACACCGATTGGAATCTGCCCAACGAGGATGGCTCCACAGATTTCAGTGACGATGAGACTGTCATCGATGAGCGCGTGAGTACAACTTAAACTTACCATATATTATTCAATATTGACATCACCTGATATTTACTCCAATCCAAATAGAAGTCTCGCTCACGTCCACCCAGCTTTGCTGGTGGCGATTCGCCAGTGTTGCGGTCACGATCCTCCACTTGCGATTCCATACAGTCCAGTTCTAGTCCAATTGCCAATTGTCCAAGTCGCCAGTTTACGCTGCCCAGCTATACGCAATCCGCTGGCACCTCACCCAAACAGCACACGAATGTTGGCCAGTATTTGGGCAGTGGCAACAACTTGGGCATTGTCAGCGCCAGCAACAGCGGCAATAATGTTGGCGTTGGCGCTGGTGGTGTCGGTGGTGGTGGTGGTGGCTCTAGTCCCAGTTCCGCTTGTAGCCAAAATGTGCGTGCAACTCGCAACAGTTTGAATATGCAAAGCGAGCTGGCGCATGTGACGGGCGCCCGCAAATCCACGTCAACAGCCAACATGAACTCGTTAAAGAAGCGCGCTGCTCCTGCACCGCCGCCCGGCACTTTGAGTGGCGCACCCACAAGTATATTCTACGGCACTTTGCCGCATCCGCCCAGGCACTCGCAGAACATGGATGCGAACGACATACGCACCATCAATCACAAGAATCAATCAATGGACGTGGCATATGGCACGTTGCCCCACATGCGCAGCGTGGAGAGCTCACCGCGAGCTACTGGAGCTGGTGGTGGTGGTGGTAGTGGCAGTGGTGCTGTTGCTGGAAATGGCAGCAATAGCAGCCTTATGCCAATGACCACATTCGGCCATAAGCGGTCACCCAGCGGCGAGTCACTGAATCGTAATGTTCACTTGGCTGGTGCAAAGCTGGTGCTGCCGCCCACTGGAGAGCTGCCCATGCTCAAGCATGTGGACAAATCTGCGCTAGTGAGACCCAAAATACCACCGCCCGGTCCGCCGGCAGGTAAGCAACTGATTTTAAAACTAAACTAAAAAATATAACTAATTATTTTCGCATTCCGCACAGAGCGCGAGATACCAAATGGTCAGTCAAACGAGAGCATCAGCTCCATGGATGAGGGTCCGATTGCGCCTCCACGCAAGGTAAGTTGTTCGCTCGCATCCTTATTTGGGCGCTACAACCAACCCAGCAGCGAAAAGATCGACCCCATTACAAATGCGATTCGTAATCTGCACTTTGTTGGCGGAGTAGCTTTGAATCTGTATTTATAACACAGCCCGGTATACTTTTCCATAAACATGGCCACGCTAGTAGTAGAGAACCCACTCCACATGCTGCATTATCCTTTAATGCAGAAAGTATGCGTTGCCGAAACCTTTTTCACGCGATTTACAGGCTCGCATACCTTGTGTGATGAGATGTCGTAAACGAAATACTATTCGACTCCAGGACTTCAAGATAGTTTATAGTCTATTTCAAATTTGTGATTTCTTATATGAAGAGCTATAAGTAAATTATTGATGATTAATTCTAGGATATCAAACAATTTTAAATAGAAACATGGAAATATATTTAATTATTCCCTCCACAATTTGTAGAACCGCTAACAAAAAAGTAGTTTACAGCGCGTCAGTCAAATTAAAAGCGATTGTTCAGCAAATAAGAAACAAATACAAATTAGAAATATGTAACAAGAAATTGGCGCACAGATTTGATTGTTGCTGAAGTCAGGTTTGGGCTTAACTTGGTATCTCCAGCACACAACTCTGCATACAAGAGTGGTACCAGGCAATGAAGATGCATTCGGTAATGGGGAGTCATTCACTAGTTCGCTGCTGGGCAAGCCAAAGTAAAAAAGGATGCTCGCGTCGTAGTTGATGAGAACTTGCAATGTTTTCAATGTATCCTGTGTATCTCCTGTAATTCACAAATTTTCAGCGCAAGCAACAAAACATGTTGAGATTAGAGCATTCCAGCGAGGAAACGGTAAATTGCAGAGCCAAACAAACTAAACAATCAAATAAAACAAACAAAATTTTGCCGTTCTTGTTGTTGTTTCGTTCTTCTGTTCTGTTTAAGTATTTGTTTTTTGTTTTTGTTTTTTTTTTATACTATATGTGCCCTGTGCATTATCGCAAAAGCTCTCCTAACTCCATGCGCGCATTACTCAAACCAAACAAAAAACAACTCAAACAATTTCGTCTGTTCTTCTGTGTTTCCTAATATTTGTTGCACTAACTCTAAACAACAAAACCTTTGCAATTGCTTTTTGATCCTAACTGATATATAATGCCTGCCATTTTATAGCTTATCAATCAATCCACCAATTTCACCGACTACGAGTCCTGGCACACGGATATGGACTCCTCTGGCGGCGGTCTGGATCATTCCGCCGAGTCGAATGTCTCGTCTAGCGATAATGACAGGCTAAACTCATCACCCGACAATCCATTGAAGAATCCCAGCGTTGTTGGCACCGGTGCAAAATTGCACTATGTGAGTAAAATGATATATGGAAATATTTGCAATATTTTCAATTAATTGTGATCATTTAGAATGGACAACGGCGCTGTCGCGCGCTGTACGATTGTGTGGCGGACAATGATGATGAGCTGGAATTTAAGGAGGGTGAAATACTAATTGTGCTGAATGAGCGCACAGACGACGAGAACTGGATGGAGGGAATCATTGAGGGGCATCCGGGGAGACGAGGCATGTTTCCCGTTAGTTTTGTGCATATGCTGCCAGATTAAGTGGGTGAATCTATTTGTGTCTGTGTGTTTTTGGCTGAAAGTATGTGTGTGAGCGAGCGAGTGTGTGTGTGTGTGTATGTTTTTTGAAAAACCGTTTATTATTTATTACATTTTTTTATTCACAAAAATTACTACTGAATGTATTTATTTATTTATTTTTTTGTTTTATTTTGTGTAAGCACACACAAAGCTATAAAAGTGTCACAAGCGGATGCAAGTAAAGTAAATCATATAATTGATATTTATTTCTTTTAAGAGCGCACCTATTGAAAGTATACTATTATACTTATGTAAACACTTATTGTGTATATTTCAATTGATATTGTATCCTTTCTAAAGCATATACTATAAGTAGGCGCCGCTTTGAATTGCTTTAACAACGGAATATGTCCTGCAAATGTGTTATAGCCTATAGTTTCTATCTATAACTAAACCAACCATACAAATAACTGACTCTACTTGTTAGCCGAAAAAACATCACGCTGTCCTCAAAAGCTACTCTCTCCTGTATTGCTGTAAAAATCAAATACATCATTCGTTTGCACGGGATCGGAAAATTATGAAATTATGTATTGATGTATGCTTAACAATACGCTGCCATATATAAATACATATACAAAACATATGTACTAACAAAACAAAAAAAAAAGCCGACCTGGTCTGGCTTCTTACTTTACATAAACTCGTACACAAATTATGTAATACTGTTGATGGATTTAAATGAAAGTTTATAAAACAACGTTAATTCAAAAGTTTACTCAGATTAAAGCTTAACTCAATTGCGAACGTAAAACTAAAGCCCAAATGCTATTACATATAAATAAATATATATATATATATTTAAAAATAATTACAAAACATACATATAAAACTCTAAAAATAAAAATATAAGTAAACATTTCAACCCCCTGTACCTAGAAATTGTTAGCAATTAAGCACACATTAAATATATATGCATATATGTATATCTTATTCCAAAGCGCTGTCTAGAGAGCAACATTAAGAATTCTGGACTTTTTTGACTTTGTTTTATACCACACACATCATCATTATGTATATGTAAACTGTAGATACTATTTTTTTTAGAGTAAACACCACCCTTTACATTTTGTATACACGTTTCAGTATTTATTTAGCAAAAACCTTAATATTACACTATAAAACATATTTGATATTATATTTAAGACAAATAAAAGAAGAACTCAACGCTTATTAAATATACATACATATAAGGTTGTGTTTTTACCAAAAACAAAACTGAACTTTTAATAATAATTATGGAAAACACCGGATTTGTACTACGTTCGAATCGAACTCATCATGCAGATCGAGCATGGTTGGTTGTAAGGCTGTGCATGCGAATTGCTTATCGCAAAAATATCGATTAATTAAATATCGCAAGCATTGACTTGATTGTGGTGGTGACTCGATTATAGATAATCGATTACCTGCATTAATCTGCAAGACATACATTGAGTTGTGTAGTGCAAATAAATATTTAACGCGTATATTGTGTCATTATCTTCCTCAGCTGAAATTTTAGTGCGCGCACATAGTAAGGAACGTGGACTTGAACAAAGAAAGTGCCTTTTGCCAAAGCTATACAATTTATTGCTGATGGCGACAGCGAGAAGTGTGCGAAACTAGCGAAAGACATTTCACATATCGATATCGTCGTACTTGTTTAGTACCAGCACGGGGTAAATTTATGCCAAAACAAGAGAAAATTTTTGATTGTTAAACAATTACAAATATTCTGTGCATGATAGCATTGCGACCGGCAGCTTTTTGGATCGAACGTCAGCGGGTCAGCAACAATCAAGGTCCAGCGCCAGCGCGGTGAGCATTAAAAGGCTCCAGCGTATTGGACACTACACACTCATTCTCATTCCAAGCAATGAGTGCTGCTAAGAAATATAGGCCTATGGATACGACTGAACTAAACGACACTGAGAATATTGCCGCCTGTTTGAAAAAGGGTGACAGCAGCAATCCAATAACGACGACGACGACGACAACAGCAACAACAACAAACCGAAGCGCCTTCGCCGCCCAAAATATGAATTCGGCAGCGTCCACAAATGGCGAACGATTGCCAAATTTTTCGATGCTGGGACCGCATCATGGCAATGATATACGTGCGGCATCAACTACCTCAAATCTTCTTAATCGCATGGGAGCCATACACAACACCAAGCCGGGTGATGTTAAAAAGATTGTTATTAAGAACTTCAAGGGTAAGTGGCGCAGCAGTTCAGCTGCGATAACAATAACGATAACGATATACAATATAATTATTAACAAATTGCATTTAAATACGCCATAGCTAAACCCACACTGCCCGATAACTATTCTGAGGACACTTACGTGAAGCTGGAAGAGGCCGTTCTCGCCATCCAATTGTCCAAGCCCATTAAATATTCCCTGGAAGAGCTCTACCAGGCCGTTGTGAATATGTGCAGCCATAAAATGGATGCACAATTATATGCCAAACTTAAGGAGCTGACGGAACAGCACGTTAAACGTAATATCAAACTGAAGGAGCTCACTGGTGGCAGCATGGACAAACTAGTAAGTGGATCAACTTCTGAATCTAATTTTACATAATTCATACGTATGTAAGCAATACGCTGAGTGCAAACACTTGACTCCGGAAATATATATACCAGATGAAGATAATTTAAAAATGTATAATGTTCAATTCTTTTCAGGTATTGCTGGAAAAAATCAACAATTGGTGGTTATCATTCTGCCAGCAAATGATCATGATACGTAGTATATTTTTATATATGGATCGCACCTATGTGCTGCAAAATTCACTTATACACTCGATATGGGACATGGGGCTGGACCTCTTTCGCATACACTTTGCCCAGAACAGCGTTGTACAGAAGCGCACTGTGGACGGCCTGCTTACGCTCATCGAGAAGGAACGCCAGGGCGCAACCGTGGATCGTGGTTTGCTTAAGAGCTTGGTGCGTATGCTGTGTGACCTGCAGATATATAGCAGCGCATTTGAGGAGAAGTTCCTTGATGCAACTAATCAACTGTACAAGGCTGAGAGTCAACGCAAAATGCAGGAGTTGGAGGTGCCCGAGTACTTACAGCATGTGAGCAAACGCCTCGCCGAGGAGAATGAGCGTCTCTTGCATTATCTAGACTCCAGCACAAAGTATGATATATCAAAATTCAAAAACCATGTTATATTTATTTGCTAAACTAACTTATGCTCTCTGTTGTGCAGACATCCTTTAATATATAATGTGGAAAAGGAACTGCTTGCCGAACATTTAACGACAATTCTGCAAAAGGGCCTTGACTCACTTCTAGAGGACAACAGACTGAACGATCTAACCCTTTTGTATGGCCTGCTTAGTCGCGTCAAAAACGGCACTTCCGAGCTCTGCGGCAATTTCAATGGTTACATCAAGGCAAGACAAAACAAACTATTCTAGTTAATCAAACATTTTTAATATTATCTTTAACGTTTTAGAAAAAGGGACGCACCATTGTCATCGATCCCGAGAAGGACAAGAGTATGGTGCAAGATCTGCTGGACTTCAAGGACAAAATGGATGTCATTGTGCGTAATTGCTTTGAGCACAATGAGAAATTCACAAATTCGCTGCGCGAAGCCTTCGAATTCTTCATTAATCAGCGCGCCAACAAACCGGCTGAACTAATTGGTATGTTGTCTTGCTATAAACAAATAACTAGCTGATTCTGACAGATATTTATACACATATTGTCAACAGCTAAATATGTGGATATGAAATTGCGCTCAGGCAACAAGGGCACCACCGACGAGGAGCTGGAAAAGACGTTGGATAAGATCATGGTTCTGTTTCGTTTTATACATGGCAAGGACGTCTTTGAAGCATTCTACAAAAAGGTTATAACTATCCTAGGTTTTATTATACACCTAGATTTATAATTCAATAATTTTTTGACAGGATCTGGCCAAGCGTTTGCTCGTGGGCAAATCTGCCTCGGTGGACTCGGAGAAGAGCATGTTGTCGAAATTGAAACAGGAATGCGGTGGCGGTTTCACATCTAAACTGGAGGGCATGTTCAAGGATATGGAACTGAGTCGTGATGTCAATTTGGCATTTCGAGGTCATGCGCTTAGCAACGATCGTGATGTGACCAATCTGGATTTAACCGTCAGCATACTGACCATGGGCTATTGGCCAACATACACGCCCACCGAGGTCACAATGCCGCCCCAATTTATCAATCCCCAACAAATATTCAACAAGTTCTATCTGGAGAAACACAGCGGGCGAAAGCTACAATGGCAGCCAACACTGGGCAATTGCGTATTGCGTGCAAGTTTCGATGCGGTGAGTTGACTGTCGAACAAACAGATCATCCAAATTCATTAATCAATTAACTTTTTGTTTGCATTTTGCATTCATTAGGGTCCCAAAGAGCTGTTGGTGTCACTCTTCCAAGGACTCGTGCTGCTGTTGTTCAACGACAAACCGATGTTGAGCTACGAGGAGATATTGGCTGCCACCAGCATTGAGGATGGTGAGCTGCGACGCACTCTGCAGTCGCTGGCCTGCGGACGTGCGCGTGTCATCACCAAGACACCGAAGGGACGCGACATTGAGGATAAGGATCAATTTGATTTCAATAATGAGTTCATCAATAAATTGTTTCGCATCAAAATTAATCAAATACAAATGAAGGAAACGGTAAGCAGGCATAGCAATCACATGAATAGCTAACTAAATTAGACACTTTCCCTTTTGTATAGAATGAGGAGCAGAAGGCGACGGAGGAACGTGTTTTTCAGGATCGTCAGTATCAAATTGATGCGGCCATTGTGCGCATTATGAAAATGCGTAAAACGCTTAGCCACAATTTGCTCATCACCGAGTTGTTCAACCAGCTAACGTTTCCCGTTAAAGTGCGTATTGCCAGCTAACTTATGTCAATATATACTAATCTGTAATATCGTTTAGCCTGCTGATCTGAAAAAGCGCATCGAGTCACTGATCGATCGGGATTATATGGAGCGGGACAAGGATAATCAAAATCAATACAACTATGTGGCATAAATACGCGGAAATTCAATTTTTTGGCCAACTAACTCAGAACACAAAATCATTAAAGTTATTTTTTATCTTGAAATCATACCGTACATCTGAACAAGTCCAACGAAAGATTTTTTTTTTGTATCTGTAAACATTGAGAAAACATGAATTTCATATTGTAGTTATAGTTCGAACACGATCCCACAGAGTTTTAAGTGGTGGCTAGTGTAGTTGCTGCAATTCGTTTTCTTTGTGTGTTATACTGTATTATCTAAAAAAAAATTAGTCGTTTAATTTAACAAAATGCTATGCGGCTTCAAAGGTCAAAAGAAAATGTTGCAACACGTGTGTTTTGTTGTTAACGATATAAACTATCTAGAACGTCAACAGCAACATTAAAATGAACTTCACAAACTACAGAATTCGTAATTTGTTAATTGGTCTGTTTTTATTTTATTATTGATGATGAGTACTTGTCCTTCGAATAACAATAGATGAAACATTTGCAGGCTAATATTAATAGAAATACTTAAATAAATAATAAACTAGTACTCGTATGTAAAACGGATACGCATAAACTAAATCGTTTTTATTTATGAAATTTTTCAATAAATAAAACAGAATTACTTGTAAATTTGTTGTCCATACTTTATTTTTAGTAAAATATCAATATATCAATATCCAGCCTGCTATCTTTTGACTTAAAGGAGAAGACACCAAAATATGATTTATTTTTGGGCTAATATTATCCCAGGAGAATTAAATAGCATTCAACTAAATAAGCTAGTAATCATAATTCTGCATCGGTATCCAAATCAGAACCGCATTTACTATCCTAAATTGTTTTTATTTGACATTTTTGGGTAAATAAACAAAATTAGTGTCCAGTTCTGATTTTTCAGGTAAATACGGCGTATTTGATTGAAATCTAATACTCAACTTTTGACCGACATACAACATCAAAATATGTGTAATTTCTCATATTGTACTGTGTGTTTTGTTGTCTTTTAACTATTTTGCTTAAAGTACAGAAATACACTTGTATATTTATATATATATGTTAGAAATTTTAGTTGCAAATTGTAGTGGCTATAGTTAGGAATATATATGTATCCTGGTTATAATCAATCTGCGATAAAAAATACTTTAGTATTTACAATTGAAATTACAAATAATTATAAAGAGTAGGTAAATTAGGATTATGGTTAGAAAAGATATGCATATATACAAAATACAAATTACACTTATGATTTAGGCGCAGCCGGAAACGTTTTTTAAAAACGTACTTTAACTGAACTCAGACGCAAACATCGACGCTAATTGGTATCACATTTTCCATCAATTTGCACACAATTGCTTATTGCACAATTAACAGTACTTGGAAAGTTATCAGCGGCTTATTAAAAATCTTATACAAAAATATTGCATTGCCAAAATCTGCGATTGCTTATAATTGCGACTCTAATTTTAGCCAAAACGAAAACGAACACAAAAACAAAGAACGAAATTCGACGAAAGACGCCTTACGCCTTACGCCTCCACGCTGTTAACGCTATATTGAGAGCTGTCGTAATCGGATACATTGTCCGATCCATAACCACCAAAGCCGGTTACCGAGGGACGGGCGCTCGTTTGCGGGTGTGCTCTCAGCACATCGGGTATATAGGCGGGTGCGGGGCCAGCTATTTCCACAATACTGGGGCGTCGCGTAGCCGCACAGCGCTTGATGGGCGACATGAAGATGAACAACGTGACCGTAATGGCCAACGTGATGATTAAAATTAAGAATTTAGCCATGCCTTCATCGCCACGGAAATAGCATATCATGGCCATCACCAGGACCAATATTAGTACCGAGAACTTGGTCATTGTGACAGCTGTGGAGTGGATTTTGCCACCCTTACGTGATATCATGTTCGAGGGTCCATATGCGAAATACAGATTGTAACGATCCACCATATGCTTGAGGCAAATGTATATCATGGCAAAGGGCATTATCAGTGGGCAGAATACGCTGTACACAATCGATATGGTAAAGACGAGCGTTGTCCAGGCGTAGTGTATGCCAAAGGGGAACTCGATCAATATCGATCTGCGGATGTACGGTGTCTCCGCCTTCGAGGTGGCCTTAAGCAGTGCCCAAATGTAGACAATCAGTTCGGGGAAACGCAACAGCTCCAAGGATGTACCAATAAACGCAGCGGTTATAATATAATTCACATAGAACGAGCCACGATCCGGCAAGAAAATGCATTGCCAGCGATACGTTTCATTCGTTAGTCCCCATTCGAGGAGCGCCTGGGCCGATGTCAGGCCCAACGAGGGCAATATCAGGATCATCAGCAGCAGATACCCAAAGCACTTGGTCATGATCGAATAGTTCTGCTTGGAGCGCGTATAGTGACCCATCCATTTGTCCGAAATCGAAACAATTACTGGCATCAGGGCGGACAGTGTCCACAGCATCAGCGTGGGCAAGAACTCAGAGATGAGTGGTGAAATTTTTGATTCAGTTTCCTTAAGCCACGGACGACTATTCAACAGATTGACGACCATGGCCGGTGTGGTCAGGAAGAAGAGCACAATGAAGAGCACAACGTTCACGCAAACGAATTTCAAATACCAATGGCTTTTGTTCACATTGAGATTCTCCCAGAAGATGTCATCTGGCGATGGGGCAAACATTATTTGCCACTGCCTGTATGTGCCGGGCGTAAAGTGGGTGACTATATTCTGTGCCTCCTGCACCGTGGACACGGTGAGGAATGCAATGTCCAAGGGTTCGTTCATTGTCGACGCACGCAAGCGTGCCACATCGCCGGATAATTTACGCTCCTCTCGCTGATAATATTCGTAGGCGTTCTCCTTCTTGCACGAGCACACCTCCGGCTTGGCCATCAACGTGTCCCGATCGCGATGATGCTCACAATATACACGTGCCTCGTGCGCCCGCTCAAACTCCCCATTGCGGACATACAGACGGGAAATGTTGTACGCAATGCTGACCGTCTCAATGGTCACATCCGGGAACAGTTCCTGCATATAGTTGCGTATAACGGTCTTGTTGCGGTCACTATAAGCAAACGAAAACGAAAACGAAAAAAGAAGCAATTTAAATTATCATTATTCCAAGCCAATTATCAATTGTCATTCTTAACAACCTATTGGATATATTGGATATCATGATGGTGCGCGTTGCTGCCTTTTTAAAGGCATTGCGTCCGGAGGAGCGTCGCATGATGAGCACCACTAGCGGTATATACAATATGGTAATTATGGTGTGCACCCACAGCCATGCCGAATTCCCACTCAGATTGGCCATTGTGGTGCGTCCAAATGATTGCCCATCGTAATTGGATCCGTGTAAAAAGTTAATGGGCAATATAATGGCCACCGAGATGATGGTGACCAGTGCCATAACAGCCATCAAATGCTGTTGGAACGACAAATAGTGCACCGCATCCGGGCCAGAGTGCAGCAAAATGGTCTCCTTGCGCAGCTTAAACGTCACACGTATCCAATTGAATATGCTCGGCTCGGTTTGAATGGGCGAAAGGGGCGTAGAGTCCGTATTTTGTGACTGATTTGACCCAACACTCGACCGGGGGTGCGTGGATGTGCCCGCTTGCGGTTCCACAACGCTTGCGGCACGCGAATAAAAGATTTCCGTCCAGCGCTTCTTGGTGCCATTGGTGTTGACCAAAGCCAAACGGTAATCGCTCGCCTGATGACGTAGCATCGTAAACAAGAGGATGAGTAACACCCATAAGATGGTGTTCAATATTAGCGTTTCGGGTATGCCATTGTAGGCACTGATCAATAATGTTGTCCGATTGCCAACCGAACAGTTGAGCGGGTTATCATTATCAAATGCGGCGAAATCCATTTTCCACTGACCACGGCCGGAAGTTGCGAGCAAGTGAACCACTGCAAATAATCGAAAGTGCAAAATTAATGCTAGATGACACACGTTGGATAAAATTCAATTCCATTTGTCTTCTCTTCTTCTTAACAGCCTAACAAAGTCGAACCGTGTGATACGTTGGCTATCTGTACATTTGCAATAGATAAGAAAGCAGCTGGCTACGAGTACATTACTGCCAGACCTGGCTACTGTAGATTGATACTCTCGCTGTGACAGAGTTCTATGTTTTTATCGCACGACATGGCTGTCCCTGACCAAAACTTAAAAGCTAATTAAATTGTTTGCAAGTGCAAAGAACTATAATATACCAAATACATAAGAACAATTTAGGAAAAATACCAGGGAATTTAATTAAAAATTTGAAAAATTAAATCGGTACTTGGGTATATAAATCATTCAATTACTATTAAAGAGAAAAAGAACAAGATTAATTGTCGCTTGTGAGGGTATATTATGTTCGGCAATTAAATGCCACTTTTTTAGGGAATGAGAAACCCTCAGAAGTTTGGATCAATTTAATTTGTTAGAGATCGGACGAAACCCTCAGAAGCGTGCATCAATTTAATTTCAATGCGGGAAACACAATTGCTTGATGATGTTGGTGTGACAAGGCCGTCCACTAGACAGATTTATCTTATTAGGTCGCTTTGGTGGCAGCAAGCAAAGTCCACGCAAATAAATGTAAAAATCGCCTATAAATGTCACACACAAATACTTACACACACGCACACACACACACAGAAGAGACTACGTTATCTTGGTTACGTTGGAAAGTACAAACAGATAATACGTTCAATCAGCTGTTTTGTTTTTCTTTTAGCTTAGCGGTTGACGGCAGTTAGCAGTAAATACCTTCATTTTTCTCTAAAAAAAAAGAAGACCGCAAGAGAGAAGCCAAATAACGATAGCCTGTATCCTATTCTTTATTATCGATTAGTTTTGTATTTTGAAGCTGTGGTCGCATGATGATTGCGTCTATTCATAAAGTATGACAAAATACTATGCAAAATAAATACGCGTATATGAACATGTATGAGTGCGCACAACAGCTACTTTCCTTCTGCTAAAACGCACTTGCAATCAATTTCTGATTAAATTATATTTGACATGCATTAGCTATGTACAAAATGGACTTGTTATATATTATATATAAGATAATTATTATTATTTTAAATGTGTGCATATGTGTGTGTGCTGAAACGAACGTGTTTCGACATTGCTGCTGCTTATTGTTGTTTGCCATGTGGAGCAGGGGTGCGGCAAGGGGTGGTTGAGTGGCCAAAAGTATCGCGTCACTTGCCACCTTTCCAATCCTATTCGTATCTTTTCTTTAATTGCTATGAATCATCCACATTTTAAAACGAATTTTTCCAAATACAACACATTTACTATAATTATGTGTTACGATAAAACTTAACTACACATGTACAAACACACACATATGCAATAATAATATGTTTGTGTGTTCACCTCTTGACAAATTTCTAATGTTTTTTTAAGTTTTGGGTATGAAACTACAAAATAATATTTGCCACATATGAACTGCTCTTTTGCGTACCGTGTCAACTTGATTTTATTTGATTTTTTCGATTGCAACTAATTTATTGAATTTAATGTTTATTTTTTTGTCTGCAAGTGCGTTCCACTGTTTTGCTTGTCCATCTGTAAACTAACATTTTGTTCACATGTTATTGTTAACAGCGGCAACCAATTGTTTTCTGGAAATCAGCTCTGTTTCAAGCTCTGCAAAAATTCAAAACATTTGAATGTGGTTTGATGTAAAATATAGTAAGCAATGGTGTAATTTCAAATTATGTGTATTAAATTTAAAACGACGTATACATTCCGAAATTGGTCATCTTTCAAATCGAATAACTGTTAATTGATTGCAAACGATATTTGTTACGGTGGTGCCATCTTCATTTTCTTTTGACCATGAACATACAATTCTGAGCCAAAAACTAGCGATGGGTGTCCGTGTGAATTATAGAATAGCTCCTTACTGATTTTTAGAGACGTTATATATTTGAATTGTACAATAATAAAAATGCTTTAAATGAAATCTGAAAATTTGAAATATGTGTATTTTTCATGCATAGATTGGCTTCAGCATCCTTCTCATCAAGCAATAAATGCACTCGATTAACGATAGTTTCGATTACCGACGCGATAGGACTATCGGATAATTTCCGCCGTCGACTAAAATCATAACATGTATAACACGAATGTTTAGCCCGCTACGGAATATGTGAGTAAAATTTCCTTTTCGTATTATTAATATTGGATTCGTTTATTTATAATTTACGCAGCCGCCTGAAATATTTCTTAAGGTATAAATGCCTACAAGTTCAGCAATTGATACACAAATGATGGCGAATAAAACATCAAGCGGCGTTTTGCAATTTAAAATTAAACTTTTGTCCGGCAACAATGTTGTGCTGGTCGATTGTGTTGGATACGATAGCCAGCTATTTGTGCCGCAGATAATCAAGGGAGTAATTACATTTCAAAACATCATACCCAGTAATCGCTGCTGCAATGCGGCCTGTGGCCAGGGGCAAAAAGGACAATTTATCCTTCCTGCCACTAAATTTGGCAATGTAAGAATTGTGCCTCCATTGGGATATAACTCCGGGGTAGATGTTAGTAACAAATCTGCACCATTGGCTAGAAGTACACCATCACGCGGATCGTCAGTGCGGGCCGAGAAGGAGAATGTATCAATGGTGCTGACGCCGGAGCAAACACGTTGCAGGCCAACTCAGATGATGACTTCACCCACATCCGCTACAATTAACTCAGATACTCAACCGTTTCTGGAGTCATCGTTCCATACGTGCAATCTGCCCATCTCTGAGTTGCCTGACGTCAGTCCGCTTCGCCCTGTTGCAAACACACCAGATTCGTCGCTTAGACGTCGGCTTGCATCTACGGCTAGTTCACCAGACTCGGCAACCACATCAGAACCGGCGCTATACAACTTTATGCACAAGGCCCCACCCTTGCGTACCTATTCACGCCGTAAAGGCGACACAACCACGCAGTCGACAGCATCCATTTCCTGGTCACCCTTGTCGAAGAAGAAGAGATTGGCGAAAGTGTCGTCTACAAAGCCGCCGAGTCCCCGTCTAAAAATGGAGGTGCGCCACCGTAAGCTAATCGTAGATCAGAAAAAGACGCTTAGCCAACCGGATGCTCCAACGTTATCAATTCCAATTATAAAAACCAAAATACAAGGCAAACTGGTATCGGCTAAAACGCGTCGTCAATTTGAGGCACTCAAACTGACCGCCTTCGATCTGCTCACTTCCCCGGGCATTAGCCGCCTTTCAAGTGAGCTATATCAGCAGTTCAAGGATGCGTGCGTGGATAGGTATTGTGAGACCCTGCCCAGCTATGTGGAGCTATCTTCTGTGGCGCCATTGCAGCAAGATCGTCAGGTGAAGACTTTGCTTGCGAAAAAGAAGCGTTTAGAAAGACAATTGACGAAATCAGAGCAAGCCCGATTGATAAAGGGAAGAAGAGTTTAAACGCCAACTGTCTGGGGAAAATTATTATTATTGTAATATCGATGCAATATTCATTTCTCATTTACATTTAGTAGTCATATATCCAAATATTAGAGAGTACAAATTCGAGAGGAATGGCCAACGGGCAGCAGTATTTAGAATTCTAATTTTTATATAATAATTGTAATACAATCTAATTTACACTAGTTGTAATTATGGTTTTTAGAACTACGAACTGATTTACAAAAGATAAATAAATGAAAAGAAGGAACACATTCTTGCAATATATATACATGCATACTTATATTTGACTACTACTTAAACTAAGCTAACGATCGGCCTAACTGATAACTTATATACATATATTGTGCTTGATGATTTTGGCTTTGTACGTCAACAAATGTTTGGCTAAGAGCTACGGCAACGGAAGCAGGCCTTAAAAGCACGCTTTATAGCGCGCATATTGTGAATGACTTGTTCCTGAAAGAAGTAGAATCGGATATAGAAAAATGAGCTTCTATATATAATAATGGTGACTCACCTGCATTAAATTGAAACACATGGCTATTAAGGCCATGCCCAGCAGTAGATAAACGGCACACAAAATGAAGCTCAACTCGACCTTGTCTTTATCGGCGGTTATCTGCCAAAAGACAAAGATTGAAATCAAACTGAAATTGGAGTTCAGGTGAGTGATCTACTTACCACACGATCACCCGGCACCAAATCACCAAATCCGATGCTGCTCAATGAGATGAAACAGAAATAGCTGCCATCCAGATAGTTCCAATCCTCCCAGCGTCCAAAAAGTATGGCACCCGATAGTATATAACTGATAAGCCTACATGAGTATGACAGAGTTGTGGAGGAGCTCGTCCCAATCTCACCTGACCATCACAAAGATACACACTGTTAGGGGCACCGTTATCTCGTCTGTGCTGCCGCGTATCTCTCGCTCAATATCCGAATCCGAATCACTATAAGGCACATCCAGCACACTGGACGCCGCCGCCGAACTCTTGCTGTAATCAGTACTGCTGCTGCTGATGCTGCTGCTGTTGTTCGAGCTGCTCGAGCAACTAGTGCTGCTGCTGCCCCGCGCGCTTTCCATTTTGTGCTGCTCCAGCTGAGTAGAAAATATGGCATAAGCTAAAGCGCGTCATATATGTAGATCACAATATACTCACTGCTCTGGCCAACTGACGCAGTTTGCGACGCTCGCGTATTATACGCCTCTTGGCCACGCCCGGACAAATGCGACAGAGACAGACTTTGGAGTAGATCCACTTGAATGATTTGGCCAGCACATCGCCTGTAAATATGGCAGATGTACTCAAATTATAATCATTGTCATAAAATTGTATAGCGAAAATAATTATACTTGAAAGAATTATATTAAAATATTTACAATGGCAATATAAAGAAATTATGGAAATGAGAGATACTAAAATGTTTATCAATCATTTCATTAGACTTCTAGCTTTAAACAAAAGAACATTGTAAATTTGACAGACGTAATCAAATAATGAGCATTGAATGTATCACATTGACTTGAATCTAAAAAGCATATAATGCAAGAAATTACTCTTGAACACTAGCAAAATCTTCTGAATATTTCTTTCTTTTTGTTCCCCAAATATATAGTTACGGCATACCTATGTTGGATAGATAGAGCAGAAATAGTGGCATGCCAATAATGGCATATAGTATGGTCACCAGCTTTCCCCAATCGGAGCTAGGCGTTATGTTGCCATAGCCAATGGTCGTGATGACGGTCAGCGAGTAGAGAAATGCGCCCGAGAAGCTCCACTGATGATCCACATCGGGTCCGCGGAGCTGTTTCTTCACCACAGCTCGCTGATAATCCAGCAGCACAGCGTTGACACTGCAATGAGAGACCATATTAATATATATGCTAATTGTTTGTATCATATTACTCACTGTTTTCTGTACGCGTGCCGATCGAAGAAACTAATATTCTCAGCTGTCAGCTCCCAGATGCGACTCAGGCAATCCCCACTCACATTGTGCTCAATGAAGCGATGCGGTTTGACTGTCTTCAGTTTCTCGTATTCGAATATTTCGATGGCCTGGAAGATGAAGGCGCCGCCGATCGTATAGAATGTGACTAGGAGTATGATGCCAACATTGCTAAACATGAAAGCCGTAAAGTGTCGGCAGTGATCCTTGAAGCGCTCAAATGCCGGCCTCTCTTTGCGCCGAAAGGAGCTGCGCCGCGAAGACATGGCTCGATCCCGGTCTCAATATCGATCGCATCCAAATCCACATCCACATTCAACGTGCCCCAATTAGCAGACTCTCGTTGCGGCCTCTCCTGTTGTTGGCGTAATGAGAACGGCTTCGAACGTGGTCTGGACATGCTTCGATCTGATTTGCCTGCCCATTGATTTGGATTGGCCTCGTTTCTGCAAACTGTTGAAGCCAATAAATATTAAGACTGTAAGTGCCTTCTGCCAAAACAACACATATATAAATATATATATAAATATACATTTATGTTGTATATTTTTATATATCGGCGAATAAATACAAAGTGTCAGATAAACAAAAGGCTCGCTTCATTATCAAAGCACCCAGTTGGCAGTAAATCTTTGAACCGGATAAACTATTCACGACTATGTATTATTTTTAAATATATATCTTTGCTTTTTATAGCAGCCATTCTCCATCACTGAGGGCTGGGCATGTTTATGGCCATAGTTGCTCAACAAATAGTGTTATTTTAATGAACTTTTTCTTTATAGCGAGTTCGACTCGTAAATACTTTAGAAGCTTGTACATTTTTACAAAATTTGATTCAGCTGAAATACTTTAAAATGAAAAATGTGGCTTATATTATTTGTTTTGTGTTCCTAGTGCTTTGATTATCTAGTTTTGTATAATTCTTTGGGCGAACTGTGTCACTTGGAGCATAACTCATTTTTAATAGTGATAATTCTTGCAGTAGTTCATTTGCCATGACATTTTAATGATATTTTCAAAGAAATTAATTTCTAAAAATTCATCCAACATCAGCAGCCGCTGAAATCTATGGATTTGAGTTGTTTTATAAACGAACTACATACATGATTTTGAATTATTTCATTTCATTTTTTGGGCCTACACGTTTGGCAACTGGTCTGTGAAGCGTCTCGACCAAATGGCCATGAGATGTGGCTTCTGCGGCTGCTGCGTCTGTGGGTGGCATTTCGGGATTGCTCTGGTTGTGGATGATGAAGACGATGATGATGGCGATGATGTTGCTGATGATGACACTTGTCGCCTACTTTCGCCTACTAATGCCATAGCCACAGCGTCAAATTGGAGACATCCCAACCATAAAGCTGCGATATTGTCTGTGGCACTGTGGCGAAACAGTTGCCAAATGTTTTCTATTTCTTTCTGTATGCCCTTTAATAATGGGCACAACAATGGGTATAATGTATTGGCAGACAGACAACATCGATCAAATAAAGAACAGTCCATAAGAGTCGTCAGTGTAGGGTATCACACAGTCAATCAATGTCGCGTTCAACACACTTACTTTTTTTCATTTAGTGGGTGTGAGATATGTTGATGCTTATTTTTATAAACTTCTACAACACGCAACAGTCATTTGTCTAATTTGTGAGTATAATTTTTTTTTTTTTGCCATGCCAAAATCTAAAGAAACTCGTGGCTAAATGAGAGGGAGGGAGATGGGCAGATAGATAGAGAGAGAGAGAGAGAGGAGTCTATTCTTAATTTATAAGCCCCACAGTAAGAACATGAAATCCAAGCGGGGCGGGCAGGCAGCAGGCATCCTAACATAGATAAGTACTTTACATTTACTAATAATGCAAAATCGGGGGTCAGAGGGGAGCGTAAATTGACGGTCGGTCATAATTTAAATACAATTTGCAGTTCTTGTCTACTTTATTTACAAGCACAAACAGTCTAAACATAAACGTAGATAATCAAAAACCAAACAAAGTCTGGCCAAATCCAAAACAAAAAACATGTTTTCAAAAGACAACAAAAAAAAAAGAAAAGAAAAGCAAATTACGAGAAATAAGAGAGAGAAAGAAGAAGCAAAATTGAAATGTGTGCGGCAAAATCAAATGGGGAGAAAAATAAAAAGAAATGTCTATGTCAACTTTATGTTTATATTTTTAATGCAATTAGCTGTTCGTTAAATTTCAAAATAATCCGTTGAGTGTTTTGTTTTTCAACTAACCTGGACTAAAACGATTAAAACAGAAATTTTATGTAATTCTTTTCAAAACTAAATGGCTATTAATATACCAATTTTTTAATTACAATTTTAATGGACTCGTTTCTGGAATTTGTTCGCTTATGTTTTTTGTACAACCCAAACTAATAATAACATTGAAAAAGCAAACAAAATACTAATTGACCGACCATATGAAATGAAAGGGAAAAATATTATATATGGGCCGCCTGTTATATTCTACAGATTAAGGCGAATCAATACCATTAAGAAAAAAGATCAAAAGCAAATAAAAAGTAAAGGAATTTTCTGTATGATTGCTGAAAATGTGTTTTGTATTAATTTGTGTGTAAATTCTTTCTGAGAAGTGGCTGCTCTTTTAACTATTGCTTAAAAACTTAATTGCCTCACAGATTATGCTGCGATTGTTTATGGCTAAGTAATGCTCCCTCCCCAAAAAAAAAAAACAAAAACAAAAACAAAAATGATAATAGCAGAGCGGAGTAGATGTGTCTGAAGGTATTTATGTTTATGCTGGCCGCGAATAAAAACTCGCTTCATAATACAAACAAAATCATCGGCACTTGCATAATTAATTTTTCCATCATACTATATGGTACATAATTGCCCAAGTCAAAAATGTACAGAAAAATATTATAGAATGTTAAGTGCCAAAAGCTACAGGAAAAAAATATTTTTAAATTCATACAACAGAAAGACAGAAATGTTTGAATGCAAATGAAAACACACGCAAATCGTAATGCTTAAACGAAGAAAGTGTGCGGTAAATCCTCTCTCTCTCTCTGTTTCTTTGTGTGTGTGTGTGTGTGTGTGTGTTTGGGTGCAAAGCAAATGACATGGATAATAATTATTTACAGCAATATATGTACTTGGCTACCAAATGTTGTTCATTCCGTTTGACAGACAGACGAACCGACATTGATGTGAGGCAAACCACAAGAAAAACCAAAAAAATATTTCTCGTGCATTGACCGGCATATCGAGTTGCCAAAATACATACATACACATGTATATATATATATATATATATATATACATAGACTATGTGTGAATGTATGTTATTGTTGTTCTTATTGGTATTTATACAGATTGCAGACTCATTTATCATTGACAATCGATAACTATTTGTTATATGTGTGTTTATGGATGCTAGTATTTGTTGTTGCTGCTGTCGGCTATGTTTATGTGTGCAATGTTGTTATTGCTGTTTTGTGTTATTTCTTTTGCCAGATGCCAGATTCACGCCGCACCGGCTGTGACGTCACTAACGCGTTGTCGTCATTGCTTTTGTTGCGATTCAGTTCAACTTGTTTCGTTGCGTTTCGATTTTATTTCTTAGCAGCTGATTTCCATGCACATCTATTTTAAACTACAAACATGTACATATAAACATATATGCATGTTATTTTATCATTCACTCATGCTGCTCTATTTAATTATTGGCACCTGCAACACAGTATTTTATTTTTAAACGTACATTACTTAATTCACTTCACTAGGCGATGCCGATTTCTAATGCCGACTCTGCCGCATTTGTTGGAGAAACTAGAAAAATGCGCGCCGCCGCTCCCAGTGAAACGCTCACCACAACGTTCTGTTACCCACTGGCGGCCACATATTTATAGACGGCAAATACAAATGCTAATCTTGACGCTTCACCTGTGACGTCGCAATTGGCTCAGCGATCATCTCATCAGAGAAAGGGGTGAGAGAGAAAGCGGAGCAAATGAGCGCAAATGTGAGCGCAGCGCACGTTGAACATCTCTCGTTCTCTCGCTCATACACATTTCTTACCGTTAGTTAAAACATGCTACTCGATTCTGTTAAACCGATTTGAGAGGAATAAAACCGTTAAGCGATTTGAAATGCGAAGTGAATCAGTTACAGTTACGGCGAATTTAAATATAAATCTGTAAATTGGGATATTATCTAGTCCTTTTAAGATGATGAATTTCTCAATATATCCATTTATTTCTTCTACGACTTACTAATAAATATACACATACATACATAATTACATACATATATATATCTATATGTACATATAAAATTCGTAATAAATGCATCTAATTGTTCTTCGAGCGTAGTCCTTGGCTCATCAGCGGGCTAACATCCTTGGGCTCACGTCCACGTGTCTCGGGCAGATAGCGCCAGGTGAGCACCAGGCAAAAGATGCAGACACACATGCAGGGCATGAAAGCAAATGAGCCCCAGACAGTCTGCAGCAGAGGGAAGCACATGCCAATGAGAAAGTTGCCCGTCCAGGAGAAGAGGCTGCCCATGGACATGGCCACTGGACGCGGCGCATCCTCCAGCAACTCCGAGCCTATGAAGTAAGCAATCGGTCCCAGTCCCAGCTGAAAGCCCAGGATGAAACTTAAGATGAAAGCGATGCTCACATAGGTCAGAGCACTGGCCTCCGATTTGAGCAGAAAGTACAACGATAAGGACATGCCGGCCAATGACAGGCTGCACAGGATACAGGAGCAGAACATAAGCGGTCGACGGTTAAATTTGCGCAGGAGCACCGGTCCAAGCAGCGAGCAAGCGAGATTGAAGCCACCCATGCCCAGATTAAGCCAAGTGGCCGAGTCGGACGTGAAGCCAGCATTGGTGAGTATGGATAGCGAATAGAAGAAGATCTGTAAAGATGCATGCATGCAAATAACAGTGCATTAGTCGAGAGTGCTCGAATATGAGATACCATGTGTGAATATGAGATACCACGAAAAAAAAGAAGAAAAGAAGGTTAGAAAATTATAAAAATAAAATCTGTGAATCGCTAGCTCTTATAGCAATGGAGATTTCAAATACAGATGGGCATTCAGACGGAACTCATTTCAAATAAAGGTAATTTTCCAATGTAATACTTACAGCATTGATGCCGCTTAGCTGCTGAGTGGCTTGAAAAGTGCAAACCAGCAGCAATGGCAGGAAGAGCTCCTTGTTCCGGAGCACTTGACAAATGGTGCTAGGTTTGCTCTCCATGTTCAGCGCTTGCTCCAGATCGTTGAGTTCCTGCTGCACACCGGCCTGCCTGCCGCGCAGTTGACGCAATGCACGAGCACTGCTCGCCGCATTACCTTTGACCAGAAAGAGCCAGCGCGGACTCTCCGGATAGCACATGAGGGGCAGCATGCAGAGGAGCACCAGCAGCGCATAAAAGCTCAGGGCATACGGCCAGTTCTCGTCGGTGCCCAGCAGCTGGGGTAAGCTGACAATTTGGGCGAGCAGGATGCCAGCAGTGACGCCAATGCAGGTGAAGACGCCAACGCTGCCACTCAAGCGGACCGGTGCCAGCTCCAGCAAATACATCGGATGGGCAGTAAATATCAAAGCGGCAGCAATGCCACCAAAGAAACGAGCGCACATCAGCATCTCCAGAGATTTGGCTGCACGACACCAGGTGAATAGCAGGCCACAAAGCAATAGAATCACACTGCTAATCATCAGGGTGCCCTTGCTACAAGAATTAATAGGAACAAAATATTATCTTCAGATTTACAACCAATTTAAAATATTTGAGGCAAAAATTGTATTTGCTCACCGCCCATATTTGTTGGTGCAGCAGGCGCTGATGCAGGAGCCGCAAATGCCGCCAATCAGAAAGATGGACACAATGCATGTCCACAACAGATTCAACTGGTTCTCGTCGCTATTGGTGTCATACTCACCCGACAGCACTTCGTCACACCAGCTGCGTATGATCTCGGCGGGTGCATTGAGAACACCAATAAAATAACCCACTGGCACCGTGGTGCCCACTGTGGTTGTCACACATATGAGCAGCAGCAGCCAAGTCCAGCCCTCGCCCTCATCATTCACGTGCTGCAAATGGGCAAATATGCAATAGTGATTTACATATGCAAAACAAATGATTTAAAACACAAACTGAGAGTGGATAACCGCCTCTTAAATCGTATATACCATAATATCAGCCATATTCCGTAACTGATTCTTCCGACTGCCTTGTATGTCTATCGATCGATGCTTGTCAGTCCACACGCCTTTACTCCAAATATCAAATTGTCGAGTTGTCTTAGCAGCGACAACGCGTCAAAGTTGCGACAATGCTTTTTAATACCCTGCACCCATTGTAAGCTGGCGAATGCAAGCATACCCAACTTGTTGAATGAGCGAAATGAAACACTATTATTACATTTGTTTTTATTATTTTACTCTTTTACGATAAATGACATTTTAAGCAATGTTCTATGCGATTCTCAGGATTTATACTCTTTGGTTTTCTCATTCACTCTTTCTATTGGGAGAAAGGGTGGAACTTTCAGCCGCTCCATTTTCATCACTCTCTATCTCTCTCTTAATTGCTCACTCCCCAATTATCTCTCTCTCTCTCTCTCTTAATTGCTGTATACCTTATTATCGCCTTCTATCACATATCTACTCTTAATATCGAACGCTTGCTCATATTCTCTTCTTTATCACTCTCTCCTACTTATTCGTTGTCTCTCTTCTTTTAGCTTTTCATCTCTCAGTCTTCTATTTCCATCCTCTATCTCTCTTAACTGCGATGTTTTCCTCTCTTTCTCTCTCTTAACTACTATCTCTCTCTCTCTTAACTACTATCTCTCTCTCTCTCTCTCTCTTAACTGGTATCTCTCCCTCTCTCGCTTAACTGGTATCTCCCCTCTCTTAACTGCTATCTCTCCCTCTCTCTCTTAACTGCCATATCTCTCTTTCTCTTAACTCCTATCTCTCTCTCTCTCTTAACTGCTATCTCTCTCTCTCGCTTAACTGCTATCTCTCTCCCTCCGTCTGAACTGCTATTTATATATATTCCTGTCTCTCTTCTTCATTGAATCGCTATATTGTTCGTTCTCATTCTCTCATTTGCTTACTCTCTAGCTTTAGTGTTCGATCCATCTCTTTGACTTTTCGTCTCTCTCCCTCTCTTAATTGGTTCTCTCATATTTAATCGCATCCTCCTTTGCGTACTATGTGTCTATTCCTCTCTGTCACATAATTATTCCGCGTCTCCCTCATTTCATTACACTTTCTTTCTCTCTAAGCCTTGCTTTCTTTCGAAATCGCTCTCTCCTGATTTTTCGTTCTCTTATTGGTATATCTCTATTTCACTCACTCATTGGCAGTCTTTTCTCTTTATCTCTGTCTTTATGGAATACAAGTAATGCTTACAGATTCTGGTTGATTTGTAATTGGTAATATTAAAATATATCTCATATTTCTCTCTCTCTCTCTCCCTCTCTATCTAAAATTCTCCCACACGCCTAAATTCAACCCTGAGTACAGGGAATCTGCTGGTCGAGTACTGTTTCTCTCATTCCCGTTGATTTTTTTATCATTGGCTTGTGACAGTGTTTTATGGCACTGCCTTATCATTGCCGAATTGACAAGCTAGCAGCACAATACTTGTCCGCTCTCTTTCTCTATCTCTCTCTCTGTGGCAAGCCAGCGTGGGAAAAGTGTTTTGATTTGCTTTTGTGTTTTATTCGCAATTATTAGTACATTCAATTATGATAACAGATTGCATTTGGAAGTCTGCGTTTTCATTAGGCTATGAATCATGAGATGCGAGTATTTAAGCCATTAGGTAAGCACCTATTAATTGAACTAGTTGAAGGCTCGCTAACGCAATAAATGTAATTAGCAAAGTAACTACAGTCTATTTTCTCAAGGCAATTAACTTGAACTTGTGCTGCGATAAGAGTTCCCAACACCTTACACAAAAGTGGTACCAGCCCATACAGGGTGACTTATTTGAAAACTAGATCTTAAACTACAATTAGTTGTACATTACAATTTGTTTGATTGAGCTTATTGTCGTGACAGGCACTTTGTTCTGCATAATCACCAACTATATATAGAGTAAATACAATATTGTTTAATATGAACATTTCGCTTAATGCTAACCTAATAATTAACTAATTACAACTATATTTTCCGTTTCCTATTTGACCTTGGAGCGAAAACCCTTCGAGACCAGTGGCGCCACTTCGGAGGGATCGCGCCCAAACGTTTCCGGGAGATAGAATTTCGTTAGCAGGAAGAGCAGCACACAGGTAATCGAGAAGGGTAGGAAGACGAAGGCGCCCCAAACGTTCTGCAAACTGGGAAAGGCCATGCCAATTATGAAATTGCATACCCAAGACGATAGACTGCCCATCGACATGGCCACCGGGCGTGGCGCCACCTCAAACAGTTCTGTAAATCAAGAGGCGGAAACAGTTTAGTTTACAATAACTATTTTTAGCACACGTATGTAACCAATCCCATAGAGTGCTGCAACTGCAACATTACCTGAACCAATGAAGTAGGGAATGGGACCGAGGCCAAACTGATAGAAGAATAAATAGCCCATAATACAAACAATGCATGCCCAAGGAAACCAGCTAACAGATTCCTGAAAAAATAAATAACAAATAAAAATCAGATGAGAATGATAAAGTCGGATTGCGATTATTCTGAAACCAGCGCTAGAGAGGAAACTTTTTGATTGAATGATCTTACAATGTAGTTCAAAACAAAAGCAATGCTGAACAGAAAGATGGCACAGATTGCGCTGGATAGCATCATGAGACTGCGACGCTTGCAGGTGGCCATCAGCAATGGACCCAGCAGGGAGACGCTCAAATTTAGGCAGCCAGCACCCAAATTTGCCCATTGTGCGTTAGTTTCAGAGAAGCCGGCCTTTGTGAATATAGATACCGAGTAGTAAAATATCTGCAAGCGAGACACAATTAGCAAGTGATTGATTTGATTACATATATATATATATATATATATATCAATACTTACCGCATTGATGCCCGACAATTGTTGGCCGCCCTGGAAGCAGCAGACAATGATGAGCGGCATCAGGAAGCGTGAATCGCGTAGGACATCTGAAAAGCTGCTGCTTTGCATATCATCATTCGCTTCTGTCTCCATTATAGCAATTTCATGATCGATCAGCTTGTTGGCATCCGAGCCACGCAATCGCAACAGCACCGCTCGAGCCGCCGCCGGATCGCTCTTCATCACATAGAGAAACTTGGGACTCTCCGGGAACAGATACGAGGGCAAATAGCACACAACAATGAACAATATGTAAGCACTCAGAGCATAATGCCACAGCTCAGCAGTGCCAAAGATGTCGGCGAGACTGAACACCTGACCAACAACAACGCCACCGGTGACGCCAACGCCACAGAAGACGCCCAAGGTGCCACGCTGTGCAGGTGGCGCCAACTCCGCCAGATACATGGGCAGCGTGGCTGTGACCAGACCCGAGGCCAGACCCACTATCAGGCGACCCAGCAGAAGCATCTCCACAGACTGGGCTGCCCGGCAGAAGATGAAGAGCACAGTGCCAATAGCGAATAGCGCGGCGCAGATAAACAGGCAGGTCTTCCTATTGGAGAAGGATAGTCAGTCAATTGTATTAACTAAATTAAGAGCACAAGTACGGATTTATATTCCCGCAGATATATTAGAAAAACGAATTTCGAAATCTAATTTTTTCCATTGAAGAACTTGAAACTAAGCAATCTAATTTAAGGGAACCACTCCTAAGCATTTTTTCATACGAAAATCTTAAAAGCCCTATAAACTATTTTGTAATCAATAAATTTGGAGTGCTACCAAGAATATAGAGTCCGTTTTAATCTGAGTCATTAATGCTGAAGCAGTTATGGTATTTCTTTTTTCAAAAAACCCCTATTTTTTATACAGTTATTTTCTAATCGCTTTTGCGATAATAGTCTCCATAGAGAGCCTAAGCAATTTACGCTCATTTTAAATATGCATTATTTAAATGACATAGACCCTGAAACTCAACAAAAAACAGCTATCAGCACCTAGCTAAAAATTAAATTAATCGCTCTTGGAAGCAGATAAGCTGCGATTAGGGCACGCATAAATAAAATGTCATTAATAAATTCGCACTTGAAGATTAGCTAGCAAAACGAACCTGCCATATTTATTTGCAAGACCAGCGCCACCTAGCGATCCAATAGCGCCGCCAACGAGAAAAATCGAAACTACCGACGACCAGAGTATGTCTAAGCCGCTCGTGCTCAATGTGCTGCCATATTTGTCATGTACCGTTTGATTGCACCACACCTTCATCAGCTGTAATAGTAAAAACAAATGATTTTATTAGAAATCTTAAGAATCGATTCTCAGGGATAGACTCACTTCAGAAGGTGCATTGATGACACCTATGCAGTAGCCGGCGGGCACTGCAGAGCCCAGTGTTGTGGCAAAGGCAGCCATCAGCAGCAGTTTGCTCCATGGCGGTTTCTAAAAGTGTTGATAAGATTTATCTGTATTTAATATGCATATATTTGATATATAACTAAAGTGCTGGAGAAATGCAGAAAGTAAAACGTCAAAAGTAACCGAAATATATTTAAAGAATTTGATTAATTTTGATTGTTTTGCGACATTGGATGGGTTTTTATATATTTATTTGCTTATTTAGATTTATTGTCAGTAATTAAGTGACCCTTGATATAAGTTGATGGAACGGCGAACTCGATGATTTATTTTTGGCGATGCTCTATTATCAGTCGCATATATTTTTAGTAGAGAATCGTTTGAGAATGACAACTGCTATGTTATTGAATTTAATTAGATTAATGTCGAAATGTAGCTTTTGCGCTTTAGCAGTCAGCCAAAAAGGGGACAACTGATAAGAAAATCCGCAGCATATCTAACTGATAATTCAATGTGCACAATGCCAAATTCGTCAAGCACGCAAAGAAAAAAATTTACTTATACAAATGTAAATAGTTCAACAAATATATATAAATAAATACTCTCAAAATAAATATATGCTTGAATTTACATACATTTTCTCTGTTTGGGAGAGCTTATAAGCGCAAAAGCGCTTAAAATTCTGAATGAGTAAATATATACACAGTGCGTAGACAAAGTCTTTCACTTGGGACAAAGTTGATGATTTTAGTATGATTTTATAATTTTCTTTGGTTATATTTTAAAAGGTGTAAACTCACATTATTTTATAACTTTAGAAAAGCATTAACGTTCTTTGGTTTAAATATACAAACACTTTCAGCACATACTGTATATACTAGGTATGTGTTTGTAGTTGTATTTATAATGCATATATCATGCGTTTGCTTTGGTATAGCTTTAATGTAAGGCGTAGCAAAGTTCAACCGAATGTAATATATATATAAATGAAATAATATTTATCTCAATGCATGACTAAAGATATTTAAGTGAGCTTTTAAACTCATTATTATAATATTTACATTTGTAAATACAAAGAATTCTTAGTAAGAGCGACAATAGAATAATACATATATATATATTCCTATAGATTATGTATCCAACGATCAAAAAGAGGAGTGAGAAAAAAGTGCAGTCTTAAAAGTTGAATACGAGTAGTCAGTAGTGGGTCAACGATCTTCAGTTGTACACAAAGCTTTTTGTGTGTTACAGTAAGGGATAGGCGAAAATAGAAAGAGAGCAGAGAACAGAGTGCAGAATGCAAAAGAAAAGATACAGTGAAATGTGCAACACCTTTTGCCCCTACTCACCTGATTTATTTCTGTTTGTTGTGGCGCACTTTCGACCTTAAATAGCGGATTCAAATGTTCCGACTCGGTGTCATTAGTGACGGGCATATTTATAGACTCACGCTTTAATTTCTTTTAACAAATCAAATTGCACCTCAAATGAGAGCGCTTTGAACACGTGTGCGCTTTTTTTTTATACAATTAACTGTTTTATGACACTTTCTATGCAGCCGGCATCTGCATTTACTTGTTAGTGTTGTATAACAACATACATACATTACCACTTATGCACGAATCGAACATTAAATATACATATAAAACCGCAATACGTAATTTGTTTAACAAATTTATTGACAATATGGCAAGTAAACAATCAAAAAAACGCAACCAAAGCCAGCAGCGCCGCTCGCCACCTGTCTGCGACTAATGTGTAAAGTTTTGGTAGCATGCGACATCTAAGAGCTTTTATTTACCAAGAACAATAGCAACGTCGGCAGAGTCAGCAACAAAAGCTCTTAACATTTGTAGCAACACTCTGCAAAGCTTCAAAAGCGTACACCCGCGTTGAAAATCGAAAAACCGATTACTTCGATAACTACTAATTACACTTTTTGCTACAGTCTGTCAACTCTAGTTGCAGTCAGCTGTTTTGGTTCTTTTTGTTGACGTTGTAGCGGTGTTCGTTGTCCAGTAAATTATATAGATTAATTAATAACATTAATAACATTTATTAATAATTAACTAATAATTCGATTTTCAGATAACAATGACGCTGGCCTACGATTCCGTGTTATCCACAACGGCGGTAATCAGCACAGTATTTCAATTTTTGTCGGGCACGTAAGTGACAAAAACAAATGATATATCTTGAAAAGATATGTGCCAATTATTACTAATGATAAAACCCATAATTATGTAGCGTGATATGCCGCAAATACATACAAAAGAAGAGCACAGGTGACTCGTCTGGCGTGCCATTTATATGCGGCTTCTTATCGTGAGTACTGCAAACCAGCCCACAAAAATATGACAATTTGTCGACGTAGTCAAGAAATGTTCTCTTCTGTTTACGTCTTATTGTAGATAAAATAACACATCGAGTTATTCTCTCTTTTTGTTTACACAGCTGTAGTTTTTGGCTGCGATATGGCGTGCTCACCAACGAGCAGAGCATTGTGATGGTCAATATGATTGGGTCCACATTATTTCTGGTCTACACCCTGATCTACTACGTATTCACCATTAATAAACGCACCTATGTTAAGCAATTTGCCGTTGTACTATTTGTCCTAATCGCAGTTATTGTTTACACAAACCGATTGCAAGATGATCCTGCCGAAATGATACATATTACGGGTGAGTGGCCAAAAATAGTAATTTTTTTTAGCATAAGTTATAAATATGGTTTTTTTTTTGCAGGCATCGTTTGCTGCATTGTTACCGTATGCTTCTTTGCCGCACCGCTCACGTCCCTGGTGCATGTGATCCGTGCTAAGAACTCGGAGAGTTTACCGCTGCCCCTGATTGCCACATCGTTTTTCGTCAGCCTGCAGTGGCTTATCTATGGCATTTTAATATCAGATTCATTTATACAGGTGACACTATTCCCAGAGCCACTTTTTATTAGCCGTATTAATTATTCATAAATGTCCCATTTAGATACCCAATTTTCTTGGTTGCCTACTGTCCCTGATGCAATTGGGCCTTTTTGTTTTGTATCCGCCACGCAGTTATTCCGGTCAAGGCTACAAGCTACTAGAACAGGCTGTGCCCTTTTAAGTAATTATACCAACCTAGTATGTATTTGTGTATGTATTGGATGTATTTGTATGTACTTATATTGCGCATTTTGCAATCGATATTTAAGCATGTTTCACTACAGGTATATATATTTTGATATAAGGTAAAATGGCAAAAAAAAAAAAAAAAAACATGCCTCTTTGCTTAGTTATCATACATTTTGTAGCATATATAGTATGTAATATATTGATAAAACTGATGCTTATACTCAATGGTCTTTTCATAAATACTACTTACAAATTTATGCTCATTTTCGGCAACCATCGGAATGTATCGACAACAACAAAGAAACACTCACAGGACCGACACTTTAGCACGATTAGTGCGATTGCGTGATGGAAACAAACTAAACTAAAAGTATCAGATTTGGGCTGTTACTGAAGTACGGGTTGCACGCTTTATGTCGTATCGATACGACCTGATATGCTGATAATAAACACTTATTTCATGTGTGATTGGGATTGAACTTGCATTGGTAATTCAAATAATTGGCTTGAACAAGCTAATATAGCGCTTATCACAAGGGTACAAATACCTTGGTTTATCTTTACTGTGCTCAACATCGCAAATTGAAATTATTTATTGATAAGATTTGAATGGTTTTACATATTTGATTACGCTGAAGGGTCAACATCATGTCTTATTTATTATTATTATTATTATTGATTTGCCAACTTGAAATAATCTCACGAGTGCGTTAATATATATATTTTTTGCTTGCATTTAAATGTTCGATAGCTTGGCGCCACAATCGATATTGTGTTGACGATAACTGAAATTAAATGAATCACTGCGAACTAATCGATAACAGTTTGGTACTTGATATCAACAAATTTCTATCGCACTTCGTCATACATCTGAGCTCATTTTCGCATTTGTATATATTTTTCGGAAATATAAAAGAACAAAGAAATACAAACAGATATCGCAATGCAGGACCAAAGCCCCGAGCTGTATGAGGAGGTGAAACTATTTCGCAATGCACGCGAACGTGAGAAATACGACAACATGGCCGATTTGTATGCGATCATAAACACAATACAGCAGCTGGAGAAGGCGTACATTCGGGACTGCATCACACCACAGGAATATACAGCGGCCTGCTCCAAGCATCTGGTGCAATACAAGATTGCATTCAAGCAGGTGCAATGCGATGAGTTTCCCACGGTTGACACATTCGTCAAGAAATTTCGCCTCGACTGTCCAGCAGCATTGGAACGCATCCGCGAGGATCGACCGATTACGATACGCGATGACAAGGGAAACACCTCGAAGTGCATTGCTGAGATTGTCTCATTGTTCATTACCATTATGGATAAGTTACGACTGCAGATTAACACAATGGATGCACTGCAGCCAGATGTTAAGGACTTGGATGATAATATGAATCGCTTGTCGCTGATACCAGAGGATTTCGATGCCAAGCAAAAGGTGGAAAAATGGCTGGGTACACTAAACGAAATGCAGGCATCGGATGAACTGACCGAGGCACAGGTCCGTCAGTTCCTCTTCGATCTGGAGTCGGCCTATGCCGATTTCAATAAGCTACTCCATAGCCAGTAGTTGTTGTTATAATACAAATCCATATATAGTCTGTAAATGTCGGAATAAAAATAAAGATCAAATCAATGAAAACAATCGAAATCGATTTATAGTTTTTGCATTTGTTTGGATTTAATCGTATCTTTTTTATCTTCTTTTCTTGTATTTAATTTAAATATTAAGGTTATAATTATACAATACACATAAGTTTAAACCGATTACAATAATTAATTTGTTGTTTGTTTGTTGTTGTGTGTTTTCTCATTCACGTTACGTTTTTTGTTTTGTTTTGTTTTATTTTTGTTTTTTGTATACTTTTTCATCTTACGCTTATAAATCTGTTAAATCGTTTTACGCCTTTAATATTTAATAATTGTTATCTTTTATCTTTGTAAATTATTTGTATGCAATGTGAAAAATGGTACTTGGTATAGTTTATATGCAAATGTTGGCTGTATGTTTGTTTATGTTTCTTTTCTGTTTTGGTTTCAGTGTATATGCGAGTGTGTGTGTGTGTGTGTTAATGTGGGATGTTGTGTGTATATATGTGTTGTGGTGTGTGTGTGAGGGCTATGTATACTTTATAAAGTTGCAAAGATCTGCACATGCGATACGTTCTATGTATATTGTTTTCTTTCTTGCTTTCTTTCTTGTGGTTGTTGTAGATAGAGATGGAGATGAAGGAGAGGAGGAAGAGGAGAAGGCGGCGGCGGCGGCGCCTTTTACGGTGCGTTTGTAGTAAAAACGTTTTTCTTATTAAGTAATATATGATCTGTCATCCTCATATAATAGATAATCATCATCAGCAACATCCAATGAATGCTTCTTCTCGCTTATTGGACATTCTTCAGATTTTGTATGCGGCTGTTGTTGCTCCTTTGCAAGCATTAGTAACTGATTTGTTGCAGTTGTTGTGGTCGCTTTAGTTGTTGTTGCTGTTGATATTATTGTGGTCGTAGTATCTGCTATAGGCAACGAAGTTCTCTGACTGATATTACTATTATAAATGTGAATGGATGTTGCTGCTGTTGCTGTTGTTGTTGCTGCTGCTGCTGTTGTTGTTGTTGTATTGGTGCATAGGGTATATAATTCGCGTGATCGGCCGGCGCTCTGCTGTAGCGTTATCTGCAGTGGCCGCCAATTGGTCTTCTCCGGAAGCTAGTTCTGTCCGGTCCAGTACGAGGTTGGGTAACTCGGTTTGCCGGCCGACTTTGACTGGCTGCTCGACTGTTGGCGCTGTCCAGCACTGTTCGAGTCCTGCAAAATGGGAATCACAGCAAATATGGTTAAGAAAAAACAACAAGAACAAACAACAAATCTGTCAAAATATATACATTCGCTTTATATACATACAGATATATATATATATATATATATATATATTTAGTATATATATATATTTATATAAGGGTTAGCAGTATAAACAATTTATATATATACATATATACATACATATATGTATAGTTATTGATGTGAATGTATTTGAATGGACACTGCTGTGTGATATGCATGAATAATGTTTCGTTTAACCCTTCACTTGTCTTTTTTTTTTTTTGTATTTTCTCTTTTCTCATATTAGCAACAATTTGTCAAAATGATGATACAGGAATATTATATATATACACATATATTGTATATATATATATAGATAATAGATTATGAGTTATTGCTTTTATTGGGTGTGTGTGTGCAGGTGCGTGCGTGAAATGTGTTAGTTTTTTGTTTCTTTTTTTTTATATACAAAACATATACAGAAGAACATTGACAATTACCAAAACAAAATAGAAAACGATTAGGAGTTTTATTTATTTGTTTTTTTTTTTTTGTCTTATTCACTTGATACAACAACAAAAGGAAACTTACCCGGCGGGATGAGCTATGAATCCTGCCGTCCATCTAATGTTGTCCCATAAAAAAATCAAAGGAAATTATAAAGAAAAAAGTCAAACAATCGAACAATTTCATGCATATCACAATTTTATAATTTCTTTCTTTCTTTTTGTCTTTTGCTAGGAGCAGAAACCCGTTTAAAGTCAAACTAGTGAGAGCATAGAGCAAAAATAATTGATTCTAGCAATGAAATTTGTTAGCTACGATTGCAAAAGCTGCCAATTAATTTGTGATTATAGAATTAAGCATGTTAAACGAGTCTACTAAACCAAAGCCAAAGCCAGAGATGTGCTATTCTTAAATTTGATGGGTGAGTCCTAATTTGTGTAATAATTGAATATCTTAAATCGAATTGCGATTTTTTAGCCGTTTTGCTTCAATCGTTGAGATATGTTTGCGATGGTTCTGTGATTTTTATTGTCAGTTGAATGCTTTTTTTTAGTATAGCAAAATGTGGAGCCAATCTTTTATGGATGTGCCAAGTGAATAAAATAAGGAATGAATCAATGTCGTTAAAAGGATGTTGTTTTATTGGGTGAAAAAATGGAATGATTAAACAATAACAGCAACAATCACAACACAAAAAGAAAAAGGAAAACAAAACTAAAAAGTCAGAAAACAAGAAAGAAAAAGCAGTTGTGGGAAAACTTGCAAATTTTGAAGGTACGAGGAGAGACATGCATTAAAGTGAGTTCGTGACAGTTAATAAACAATAAATATACAAAAGTTTTTCGAAATATATATATATATATATATATATATATATATATATATATATATATATCCGTAGTTAATGTGTGCGTGTGTGATGCGTGTAAAGGATTGTTGTTAATTTTGGTAAAATGTTGCTAAATCATAAATGCTGACAAAATTTGATCAAATTTTAGTTTTTTTTTTTTTTTTGGTTTGTTTGTTCATTCAATCGGCAAAAAAGGAGAAGCCACTATGAGCATCTTGAATATATTGGTTATTATTGTGACCCCACACTGCATATTCGTTATGTTGATCATGATGCTGGACATGATGCCAACCTTGCTCATTTTCAGATGCAGCCACTTGAAGGTTGCTGCTGTTGTTGTTGGGGAGATGGTCTTGATTTCGCAGTAACTGCTGCTCATTCAAATTGTACTCTACCTGATGGATGGGCTGATGTATCATGTTGTGATGTCCGGCAGTTGGCATCGGCAGATACATGCCATACGGTTGGGCAGAGGTGCCGCCAGCTGTCTGTGTATTCGCCATGTTGAACGGTGGCGGTGTGCCCGAGTGGAAACTCTGCTTCTCGTACGACTGCACAATTGAAAAGAATTATTATTATTAATATAATATATTGTGTATACATTATTTATAGCAGTCGCGATTGCTACGCACATTGACCTTGTTTAGCGCCACATGATTCTTGCCATACATGGATGAGGTCAGATCGGAGCCGGTGCCCGCTTGCGGCTGATTGGAAACCGCTTGCGTTTTGCTCTGTTGATTCACGCTGGACGAGTAGCCGCCCTTGCTATAATCCTGAGTTGTTTGCGAGAGCGTTTCATAGGTGCTCGAACCATAGCCAGTGCCATACGATGGCTTTGGAAACTGGCCACCGGATGCGGTATTTGCCGCCGGTATTTGTGGCTGCAACACATAAATATTAATATTGTTTCGAGTTTTATAATCGTCGAGTTCTGTCTGAACTGCTGATGCTTACTGGATAGATGGCTGGTGTGCCATATTGGAAACCGCCGGGCATTACGTTGCCACCATAGAAATAAGCATAAGGAACATTCAGCATGGGCGCACTGGAGCCAGCTTGTTGCGACATTGTGGTCGACACCTGTGAAAAATTTGTAAAATAAGTTAAACAAATTGTTGATTAATTTCTACAGATTGCCGATTAAAAATGTCGACATTTCAAAAAATATATTTAATATTTTTCTACTTTTTTTTTCGACACAAAACTTCTTATTTATTATTTACGACTTATTTTTTACGACTCGAATAAAATAGTAATCAGCTGAAAATTTTAGCTGAGAAGCGCATCTGTAAAATACAGCAACGAACACTCCTCTGCTAATTTTTTCTACTCAAATTTCATAGGTATTTAAATTGTTTACATTCCTCAACCAGTTACGCATTAAACTGGAATTATTTTCGTTACATTAAGCGCACTTATAAAACTCACCATCGAACAGTTTTCTACCTAAACTTTTTAGGATTTTATATTGGTTATTTATCTTAGACATTTACTACACCCGCATTACAAACAGAGCTCGAATATTGACATATTTCAAGTCGAATTAAATCAGTTTAAAATTGGAGTTACATAGTGCATACATAAAACACACTATCGAACATATTTCTACTCATTTTGTACACCCAAACTTTATGGTAGTTTATATTGCTTTCTTTCATTAACCATTAACACTCACATTATAATAAACAAGCTCGCGTTACTTATGCCAGTTAAAAGTATAAGCAGCTTAAAAATTCCTGCTTTGGTCTAACCATTTACACTTACATTACTAACAGGACTGGAATTATTGTCGGTGCGCGCAAAGCGTCCATCAGTCATTGTTGAGTATGCCACTGAGCCCAGATTGTCGCGGCCAGCATTCAAGCTGGGTGACGTGTAGTTCAGATCATAATAGCCTTGCTGCAAGTCAAAAGAATATACATTAGCCAACGAAAAGATTCCAAAGAACATTGGTCAATGCGTAATTGTTATGCGAGATAAGCTGCGATAATGAAATGGTTATGGAGTTAAGGCGTTACAGCGTTGCCAGCGCATCTCGAAAAAGTTCTCAGCACAAACTTGCCGGCGGCGACTGGCAATGCTGTGTGCGAAACAGAAATTATAAAAAAAAAAAAAACAAATAAAAAAAAATTATAATACACAATTATATAATGTTAACGGTGCCATAGAACAAATGAAAGAAAGAAAAAACAAACAAATTGGTTAGCATATTATAATGACAATGATTGTAATAATGATAATGATGATGTTGTTGATGATGATTTATAATGAGCGTGGAGTGGAGAGGATGCGTTGGAAATAGTTAAATCTCAGGTTCCCTTCACAGAAGCGAATCGAAATTGAAATATTTCTTTGTATGTTAATGAGCGTAAGAATTTTTAAATGCCAATTTTAGATATTGTTTATGATGATTTGTCTCTTTTCTTTACTTGTTTTGATTTAGTTTTTGTTTTTTTTTTTTGTCAACAAATTTCAAATAGAAAAAATAATTAGATGCAAGGATTGGATTGGAAGCGGAATTGATTTGGTAGCCAAAATATTTTGTTTATTATGATTTGATTTGTGGTTTACAAGAACAATCAAGTGCAATGTGTATAAGGAATTTTCTCGATCGATAATATTTACAAATAGTGGCGAACACAAACACATGCACACACATACACACACGGACACGCGCACATACAGGCAGATGACACAGGCACCGACACACAGACAAAAGGGGGTCAAAGGGAAAAACGTGCAATGCACTGTGAGAAAACAGTTAGGAGAATACAGCTGCAACAGCTGAATGCGTTAAGCATTACATTATATTAAATATATATTGATAAATTGATATATGTACATATGCATGTATTGCAATCGATTTGCATTGATAAATATGAGAGTAGATGGAATTTTAGATATGTGTTTTTTGTTGTTGTTGTTTTCGAGTTTTGTACAAAATTTGAGTTTGATTTAAATGGTTGCATTGAATTGTTGTTGGATGTTGTTGTTTGGTATTTATTTTTGTTGTATTTATTTTGCATTTTGCATTTTCTCCATGAACTCACCACATGTGGCACTCGCTGTTGCATCATTTGTAATTCCTCGTAGGAATAAACTTGTTGCTGATAGTATGGCACCCCAGCCTGAATATATTGACTAACCATTTGGATGTTGGTGGGCACCAAGCCGCTGCTGCCACCGCCGCCGCTGCCACCACCACTACCAGCACCACCAGCACCAGTTGAGCTGCTGCCGACGCCTGCGCCGCCGGCGCTGCTCGCTGTAGCGCCGCTGCTGCTGACGCTGCCTCCGCCGCCGCCACCGCCGTTGCCACCACTGCCGCTGCTGTTACTGCTGCTGCTGTTCTTGTTGGTCAGCGAGGCCAGCACCGCTGCGGTGCCGGCAGCCGTTTGTGCAACGGCCGCCACAGAGCCGGCATTATTGTTGCCACCACCGCCGCCGCCGCCGACGACGCTAGACGCACTGACGCCGCCGCTACTTACGCCCGCCTGGCTGCTAACTGCTGCCACATTGCTGCTGCTGTTGCTGTTGCCACCAGCCGTTACGCTGCTGGCCGAACTGCTGCCGCTCACATTGTTGTTGGCTACAATCAAAGCAAAGAGAAGAACAGTTAACAAAATCGATTGAAAATTCATTTGATGCGGGGCTGCTCAATTGTGGCACTCACAATTAGAAACGACCGCTTGATTATTAGCACCTGTTGTTGCACCGCTTCCCGCGCCCGTTGCACCGTTCCCAGTGCTTGCACTGCTGCTGTTCACGCCGCTGCTCGTGGAAACATATCATGATGATCATGTGAAGAAAAATAAGCATAGAGCAGTTGACAAATGAATTTAGTTGGGGAATACAAATTTGGCTAAACATGTTTCAGATTAGTTGTTTGCGTCTTTCAAGCGAGGTGTGTTTCTCTTGTTTTGGGGGATAGTTATGGAGGAGGGGGGCCAAGAAACAAACATCTCACCTGTCGTAGTGGGCTGCAGCGCCGGCTGCAGCAGCATCTTTAAGCTTGGCGCTAGCACTAAAGTTATACTGCGAGGACGAATTGCTTGCGCTGCCAGCAAACCTGAGAAGCCGGCAAAGGGAAAAATCGAACAAAACGAAACGAAACGGGAAGGAAACGTATATAAATATATATATATATATATATATGTTAGTACATATGGAATGCAAGCAATTTTGTTGTGTTTATAAAGAGTAGAGTCTCAACTGCTGACTTGATTAGTCAGATTTATAATAGAAACATTATGTTGTGTTGATCTGAAAAACTTCTGACTGTAGCGTAGAGACTCAACTGCTGACTATTCAGATTACAATAGTTGATAATCTACAATATTCTATTTTTGTGCTATATTTAAGAATAGATAAGTTGAATAAGACTGATATCTTAGTTCACTTTCGTAGCTACCAACTTTACCATATGCCCAAGTAGCTGATATCCTTGATCATTAAAAGTGTTACATTTCATTCATATACAAAACAAATACTTTATCTATTCATAAGCGTAAAGGTCTTAGATATTCAAAACGCAAACCGATCATGAGAAAATTTCTACAGATGAGCCTTCACATATGGCTCTATATATACATTATCGATTAGAAACATGTCTCATTTAAATTTGGATTTGTATTGCTATCGGAAACGAATGTAGCGATTAACCATAAAATAAAATTAATTTAAATGCACATTGCTCAATCGGATAGATGTTAATAGATTACTTTACTTAATGTAAATATGACCTGAATATGTATATATATTTATACAAGGTTAACTGTTCTTTTTTCTCTAATATACTCTTCAGTTAAACAACAACAGAACTTTCTGCTTGAACGCAATCAACTCAACATGCAATGCTAATTTTCTGTTAGTATAATAACTATTCAGGCACGTAAATATTATTGTGGTTGATTGGATGGATATGGAATGGGGAATGGATGGGAGGAGATGGAGAGTTGGAGAGAGAGAGAGAGTGAGTGAGATAAGGCGCATTTCTGTTTACGTACCCGCTGCTGTTGGAGAGACCAGTGTTGCCATAGACACTCTGGCTGGACTGGTAAGCACTTTGTGGTGTCGAATAACCCGATGTGAGATAGGCGGAGCTCGCATTCGCGCTGTTATTGCATTTGTGTGTGCGTTTTAGTTGTGGAATATTTGTATAAAAGAACGAGCAAAGGGATTCAGTGGAGTTAAGAGAGAACGTAACAAAAAAAAAAAAAACATAAACAAAATTAAATATTAGTGTTGCATTATCTTGCTATACAGTAGTCGCTCCAAAAGCACCTTCAACAATTATCATTTTACAGTCTTCTTACTAAAATTGTGCTATTATAGAAATCTCCTATATTTAAATATAATAATTAAAGATCTACCACAATTTAAAATCTCTTGCATTCTGTTTTAAAAACGTTGAAAGTGTTTTGTAATCTAAAATCTATCTAGCTATAAAAGTGGTTTATAATAATAATTAAAATTCGATTCTCTTCTGCTTTTAAATTTCTATTGTATTCTCAATGCACAGAGTATTTCTGAAAAGCTTTCAAAGTGGTTTACAATTTCCAAGTTATTCCTTATCTGTCAGCTGTAAGTGTAGTCTGTAGAAATCAAATTCTAAATATTCAGTTGATGTCATTTGAAATAGAATCTAAGATATTTTCCAGCTGGCATCAGCTGTACAATTCAAGTGTTTTACATGGCCAGCGATCACTGTAGCAACTAGAGTTAAGTTATTATGGATTTATAGAAAAAACAAAAACAAAAGCAAGCTGAGGATTACACTTTGTATGTGTGTGTGTAGGTGTTTCTGTGTGTGTGGGTGTGCATGTGAGTTTGCATACCTGGAGCTATTTTGGCCGCCACTGCCACTGATCGGAATGTTTTGTGTTGCCGCACCGCTGCCTGCAACGCTGCCCCCCGCCGCATTCTGTGAATTGCCAGCCGCCTGCTGCTGCTGCTGCTGATAGGAGTTGACAACAGCGTTGGGCTGATAGCTGGCATAGCTCGACGGCTGATAGCTGTTGCCCACCACCGACGACTGAACATTGGCATAGCTGGAGCTGTTGTAGCCACCCGGCACAGACGCTGACGTTTGATAGCCACTGTTTGCCTTGCTGGCGGCGCTGCTCTGATACGCATTCTGATAGGGCGTGGCACCATTATTACCGCTGCCCGCCTGCTGTCCATATGGATCATTCTTGGTCAATTGGTCCAGCGCATTGGCGCTCTGTTGTTGCTGCTGCTGCTGCTGTTGTTGCTGCTGCTGTTGCGCCGTCGAGCGTTGCGCGGCATAGCCGGCTGCACTTAACGCATCACCCTGTAACTGTGCGTGAATTTAAATGAGATTTGCTGGCAATGCTGGAATGGGATTCACTACTCACGATTTGCGCATTCTGTAGGCCCGCTGAGAGCGCCGCCTGTTGCTGCTGCTGCGCCTTGGTCTGATAGTCATCCTGCTGCTGCTGCTGCTGTTGACCATCGATGGTGGCCGCATTGAATTTCTCGGGCAGCGCATCGAAGCTGTCGTCGTTGCCAAAGTCCATGGCACCAAATTGCACATCCAAATAGCCAATGTTATTCAGCGCATTATCGCCGGGCATTTCCACAGCGCTCGCCGGTATCTTCGATGGCGGTGGCAGCTTGACCCTTGCCCTCCTCACCTGTGGCTGCTGCGACTGTTCGCCGCCGCTGCTGCTGTTCGGTGTGTCCACAACAACACTCGAACCAGGCGCCGAGGCAAACACATTCGCATATGTGCCACGCGGCGTGTATGCCGCCGATGCTACGCCCTGACTCTGGCTGCCATAGACGCCGACCATCGATGATGGTTGGCCAGCTCCTGCTGCCGCTGCGGCTGTCGGACTGGCGCCCTGTGACGTCAGCGAGTTGAAATACTGAGATTGTTCAGCTGATAATGTGGCTGATGGCTTCAGTGGCGTCTGCTGCTGCTGTTGCTGCTGCTGCTGAAGATGCTTGACCTGCTGCACCAGGTTGGCTGCCACCGAGAATGTATCGGTGGCGCCAGTAACAACGGAAGCATTGGCGGATACATAGGGTGAGGAGGAGTTGAGCGCAACGCTGCTCGGCGTGCTCACCACCGATTGCAGCTGTGGCGGCGGATTACTCACAGCAGCACTGTACTGCATCATCGGCGTTGTGCCTGATACTGTGCCGATACTCGCCGCTGCCGCAGGCGTTGGCGCCGCACTGCCACTGCTGCTGTCCTCGAGCGACGCACCCAGATGAGATCCTCCCTGTGCCACAACATGATGATGCTGCTCCAGACCCGGTGGCGCCGATAGCTCACCGCCAACCGTGACCGACGATGCACCGCCAACGCCGCTGACAACACTCGCCGCCGTCTGCGTGCTGAGGTTGCTCGTGGTGAACACTTTGCTGTCCTTCAGCGAGCCCTCGTACTCCTCATTGTTCCAATCGCCCCAGGCATCGTCGTGGGCCTGCTGCTGTTGCTGTTTTTCCGCATTCTGCGCTATGGTGTTGTCCCACAGTTCTACCTCGTGGTGATCGTCGCTGTTCGCATTGTTCCGCATTCCACCAAAGCCCCGCTCGCCGCGCGCTCCGCCACTGCGTCCACCCATGCGACCACCGCCGCGTCCCGGACGTGACATGAAGCCACCGCCTCGCCCACCGCCGCCGTCTCGTCCGCCGCCGTCCCTACCAATGCCGCCACGATCGCCGCCGAGTCCGCCTCGGCCGCCGTTGCGCTGTCCGCGATAGTTGTCATTGGCGCGATCCTCATTACGATCGCCGCCACGAGATTCGCGCATGTTGCGATCATTCTCACGGGCCTCTCTGCCGCGCCCTGCAACGAAGAAATTTATAAAAATGTATATATGAAATATAAATTAGAATTATGCATAATGCATGCTTTTAAATCTCAACTAACTAATGTTATCAACTAAAGTTATAATTTAAGATGCTAATTCCTCTAGATGGATCGACTAGAAAGGGGCTTTCCAGGATGCCTAACCTCCTCCAGGCAAATGCCACGCTGGAACAAAATAAGTGCTCGGAAGATTTCTATTCTTCACAGCTTCTGCAGTAATAATTATAGGGCGCTTAGAGTCTATTGGCATGAATGGCGACTAGGCCAATCGCCTACCAATAGGTCGTATTAACTTTTTTTTATTAAAAAAATCAAATAATGGAAAAGTTTAAGTATTTTTATCTTCTTCAAATATGTAATTTTGGATACTATGATCACTTAAAGATCATGCCTTCTAATTCTACACAAAAATAATTGTACAGTCGTAGCCTAATTAAGCCGTCTATCCTAATCGAACCTTTGTTTAGACAAATTTTCCAATATCTAAGGTGCTAGAGAAACATAAGATATGCATTTAAGTTGAAACTCGTTCGGTTTTCAACATCTAACCTAATCTATGCTTTGCTTACACAAATTCTTCTAATCATGTTAAGATTATTTTGACAATATCAATTTGATGATGATTATAAATGTTAAGCGCACTGCAATAATAAAAATAGGTGTACATGGGAAGACTTACAGCCGCGACTGTCGGTGCCGCCGCGTCCACCACGATTGGCGCTGCGATTGCGCGACTTTTCGCGCCTGTCCGCATTTGCGTTGCCATCTGCCCAGTCGCCATCGCCGCCGGCGCCATCGGCAACGCTATTTGCAGCCTTATTCTTCCGTTTTTTCTCGTACTTGGCAAAGGCGCCCTAACAAGATTAAATAAGGGGATTAGTTTAAATTCGTGTAGATCAATTTGCGGCGAACGCACCTGTGGCAGAATCTCGATCAAGAAATTGGCAGCTGCCTGCAGATCATAGTCGCACTCGTTCAACGCACAGCAGACTTCCTCCTCGGAACGTTGGGTCATTGTTAGCAATAGGTTGACCTTTTCTTTGATCTGCGGATCCTCTGTGGTGCTGCTATTGGTTATCTGGGCGATGCGCAACTGTTCCGTGGTGGCCTTCGGTTGTGCCTTCTCTGGTTTCTCTGTCTTGATCGCATCGGTTTTCTTGTGCACCGTTGCGGCATGTGTGTTGCCACCGGCATCGCTGTTGCTGTTGCCACCGCCACCACCACTGCCACCGCCGCCAATATGAGCGGAATTTGACTTTTTCTGAGTGCGACTGCCGCCGCCGCCGCCTCCGCCTCCGCCCCCCGAACGAGTTTGTTGTGTGCTCATCTCTATGTACACTGTATATACAAATTAGCTGCAAGCAAAAAGATTGAAAGAGCCCGGAATTTTAAAATTTGACTTTGATTTGGATAAATATATTATACAAATAATATAAAAAAAAGCCAAAAGCACTTAACAACTAAGCTGGAAGTCTTAGTAAACAACAAGTAACAAAAGGCAATGCCTGCTGCCTATAAAACAAAGTTATTTGAAAAGCAAGTTTTTGTTTTTGCGATCATACAAAATTCATTTTTTATATTTCCACTGTTTTGCTGCTTAAAAAAACTAACAAGTGTCATATGCGCATAGGAGAAAGGGCAAACTAAAGAATAAAGAGAAGAGGAACTTAGTAAGAGAGATGGGGAGGTAGGCAGACGAAGAAGCATCAGGTCAAAATGGCAACAACACAACACAACAACAACAAATGCTAACTGGCCAGCTGAGTTCAATGTACATTTAATCAAAGAGAATGGAATAATGAAAGAACGTGAACAAACATGACACACACACACACACACACACGCACACATACACTCACGCACAAAGATGGCACACGCACTCATGTACAAAGTGGAACGCAGCATTAAACAGCGTGCGAGCGAGAGAGTGAGAATAACAAAACCGAAATGCAGACGAACGGAAGGATATAAGCGAACAACAAAAGCAAAAGCAATAATAGTAACGCCATCAAGGCGGGTGTGTATTCGCAAACAGGTAATAGTGGGTGTGTTGGGGTGGGGTGGGGAGGGGAGGGTAACGGAACGTGATCGACGTCTGCCAATGTGACTAACGTCCAGAGGGGGGTAATATTCAGGCAGGGGACAGGGACAAAGTTTGTCTGTCGATCATCCCTATGTGTCGTATGTTCTTCAGCGGTTCGCCTCATATCAGCCATAACATTGAGCAATGAATAACATTCCCGTCACATTGCTCATTGCACACATACAGACACGAAAACACACACAAAGCTTTGTCATACGCTCATTATTGCCAAGCCAGCAGCTGCCGCCCTCGCCGCAACGGCATTTTATGGAAACACATTTTTTTATAGCAACTTAACAACTCCAAAACACTAAGTTTATATCAAATGCACTTTATGCGTTTATATTTAATGCACTTGCACTTGACGAGAAAAATACCTTAGTTGCGGTATGTGTGAATTGTGCACAGCTTTTGCATACACAAAAAATTGATTTATAATTTCTTTGACTGTTCGCTTCGGTTTTCTACTCTCTGCTTTGAGTTCGGTTTTCGTCAAAAAAAACTACAATATTGGCGTCTCATTCACTCTGCCGCCACTGCGTTTCAAACGCGTTCAGCGTTGCCAGCTGCGAGCGTTGCCGTGCTGCGCTGAGTCGATGGAATGCTCTTAATAAGTCATTTGCAATTCATACAGACAATATTTAAAATCACACGCACTTTAAGTTTGTGATTTTATTGATATACCATATAAGCGCAATAAAAATAAACTATCATGTTGAGTGTGACATTGTACAACACTAGCATTATGGTGACATTGAGCAACACTGAAGCGGGGGCATTGAAACCGAATGATGTGCACAAAGCGGAATAAAAAACCGGACAAAATGGTGTACATTAAAGTAAATTGAACAGCCACTGATTTCAGAAACTCAAACACACTATTCACAAATTATTCCCTCCTTGCAAGTAGGGAACAAGTTTTAAGAATGTGGGCGTCATTGTTAGATATTTGCATGTGTAAATGGAGTCATTGTCTTGATGCTTGGCCATGTGCACCACATCGACGCCATTTCTGCAAATATCACACTAGCTGACCCTCTCACTCTTATGTAAACCAATGGAGTACAATTATATTGACTGCGGCTCCAGACAGCGCACTAATTGTAAATTTTCAATTTGAGATTTATGCTAAAAAACTGTCAATTATTAATGGGAAAACACGGCACAGACGTGCAAGCACGCTTTGACTATACTTTGACACTAAGTTCGTAAATTTATCGCGTTTTTTTCACGTGTAAACAAATTTTCAATGCGGAGCCAACCTCAGTACCTGCAAATGCGAGAACGCACTTATATTATTACAGTGTTGTTAAGCGAGCAGGTAAAATAAATATCGAATACAGTCGTTTAAATAAAGGACGGTAACGATTAAGAATGTATTTTCAAACATAAGATCATAATTAATTTTTTTAATTGAAATTAATTAAGTAAGCACTGTAAAGTAGCCTTTAGTTTGTACTCGTTAGCAAGTTGATAGCTTTACTTGTATGACACAAATATAAGGTGCTTTAATAAATCGAATGCAATTCGATAACAAAGCGGCAAGCTAGGAGCATTTGTTTATGGCACAGGCGGCCTGGAACTGTCGAATTTACAACTTATATAAAGGGAGTTCAATACAGGACATTTTTTATAGATACTTTACTTCAAATTTTAATGATTTTATAACAACTAAATCCGATGAATGAAAATATACAATTTCGAGATGGTAAGAACTAATTTATAATCATGTATGATTTAAAGACTAACGCTAATGGAATGTGAGATGTGTTTAGATTAGACTTATTTTGCAGTTAATTACAAGTGTGCCGAAACGGCTGTTCATTCGATAACGATAAATGCTTCCATTTACTTTGGCAGCGAGGCGGTAAGTTTAAACTGAATATTTTCGCATGATTGCATCGCAATTGCGAACTAAAGTTGCGCAATTAGAACGATTGCATTTTGTGCAAGAAAATAAAAGAGCAGACGGGGGCCCAATTGTTACTGGCAAACTCGTTGGCCGTTGCCGAACGACACGACTCCAAACAGCCACACAGTATTGGTGTTGTAGTATATTATTTCTTTTTATTTTTTGTTTTTTTTTGTTTTGTTTTGGCCTAAATCTGTAGGCCTTGAGGAATCGTCGAAATCGCTTCGACTTGTTTACTGAGCGAGTGCGCGCAGTTGAAGCGGGACTGGCTCTAAACTGCAACACTGAGAGGCAAGCAGCAAAGCAGCAAGAAGCTGACTCGAACAATAGAGCAACCGTTGCGGCGGCGGCAGTGTTGTTTCGTCTTTTGGCCCATACAGATGTGGGCAGCGCGTGTGCGTCCGTTACTTTTTTGTACATTCTTGTTGTTTATTATTTAAGCTGTTTTAACAATTGCTCGGCTGCGCTTGCTCTTTTCGTTCAATTGCATTTTGTGTTCTGATTTTGTGCTCCAGAAAAAACCAACAATCAAGTGCTACGCAACACTACTTACCAAAAAAAAAAACAGACGCGCGCGCGGATCTAATTTTTTTCGGCTAAGCACACTGGAGGAGGTTAGTTTGTTGTTATTGGTGCTGCACCTTGCGCCCGGTTCCCCGGTTCCCCTAAAAGCTAAAACACCACCAAACACTTCCATTGAGAAACAAGCAAGCCAAGAATTGCACTGTGAGTGTGTGTGTGTGTGTCTATGTGTGTGTGAGTGCTGAGAGCGCGCTGCAGTGTCTGTGTGTGTGTGTATTTTCTTGTTAGAATGCACCTTGTGGTATTTCAAAATCTGAAAATTGCCAAATACAAACGCCTTTCGGAGATTGTTGCGAAATATTCCAGCTGCGCTGAAGGTAAATTCAGCAACAAACAAACACAAGGCCCATTGTTAATGTTGTTGTTGTTCTTACGAAAAATCCAATGTGGCTATTTTAGATGCTTAAATATATATCTATGTATGTATGAATATATATTTCGAAAGGCAATATTTGTGTGTGTGTGTGTGTGTGTGATTGGATCACTTTAAATGTGGATTATGGGGCAGCCAAGGGTACCGACAGCTTCTGCCTCTGCCTCTGTATGTGCTTCTGCTTCTTGCTTTCCAAAATGTTCCCACACATACACATATACTTCACACATACACATTTATGCATTGGCCAACATTTACCTACGTCACGCCCACCTGATTTCAGTGCAATCGCGTTGGCCCAGTTAACGGGCGTGCGCCGCGCTCCAAGACAAAATACTCCTACAAGGTCGATTGCCTCTTTATACACATGTATGTATGCTTTGTATGTATGTATGTGTGTGTGTTTGAATGTATGTGTATTTCTATACCAGTTTCTAAACTTGCCGCAGCCAGTTTCAATTTCTACTGGGATTATCTATCTGCTCATGGTGCGGCTGCTGCGCTGCTTGCAGGTGCTGCTTGCTTGGCTTGCCCGCTGCGGCTCACTCATTACGACTGCGTCTATTCGTTTCTGTCTGTCTGTCTGTCTTTTTACCTATTCGCATCTGTGTGTATGTGTATGTGTGTGTGTGTGTGTGTTGTGTGTTTGACCCGGATGTGGGTGTGGGTGTAGATATATATAGCAATTCATGCTGTGAGTCTCATGGACAACAAAACGGAAAAAAACAAAAACAAAAACCAAACGCAACGAAATGAAATGAAAACAAATTCAAGTTGGACACATTTACATGCGTGTATGTTTGTGTGTGTGTTTGGTTGTCTTATTAGCTGCATATGGGTTTACATTTCAGTACATTTGTGACACACACACACACACACACATATATATACATGCACATGCACATGAATTCGCTCCCAACATTTTGCACAAACTGACGCACACAATTTCCCCCAAATGTACACATACACTCGCACACACATATACACACACACATCACACACACACAGTCAACGTGTGCGAGAGCTTGCAAAAGATCTATCGCATGTAATAACAACTAACAGTGCTCTAGTTGAGTGTGCCATACGAGAAAATACCCTGTAATCGACTTGAAATTGCACCAAGGCATATTTGCACTTATTTATATCTTTCTCTCTCTCTCTCTCTCTCTGTAAGTAAATTAATAAACAACGGAATTTTTAATTTTTAAACCTTTTTATATTATATATATATACATGTATATTCCTTTGTTTATTAATTTACTTATAGAGAGAGAGAGAGAGAGAGAGAGTTTAAAAATTTAAAAAAATATATATATATGTATATATATATAATATAAAAAAGTTTAAGAATTAAAAATTCCTTTGTTTATTAATTTACATACAATGGGAAGGAGTTTAGCATTTGGAATAAAGGCAAATAAAGCCAAAGCTTACACACTATGATAATTATCGAAAGTAGTGCACAAAAAGTGAGATTAAAAGTCTAAATTTATGGATTTTGGTAAAAAGAAAATTAAATTAAACCTTATTTCAATGTGCAGAAATGACGTCGATTCAGCAAAATATACAATTATTATCACCGATCTGAAATACCCTCTGATTTTGTTCCAAACATTTCCACAAATTACGCATACCCATTGCACTGAAAATGTGTAGGATATTGTGTATAAAAACGGGCGCAACTTGGCGCACGCTTCCCTCGCTTCCCTCGCTGCCCGCTTCCTTCTTCCTCTTCCCACACTTCAGTTCCTCCTTCAGTTCGTTTCTAACCATGCCGTGTGCTCAATTCACACACATACAGCCCGAGTGTGTGAGTGTGTGTGTGTGTGTGTGCAAAAAGCTCAAATTGTGCATCTATGACACCCGCAACAGCAGAGAACTGCAACTGCAACTGCAACTGCTCTGTGGTGGTGCAATAAACGAACGCATATTGCGTTGGCGTTGTCGTTGACGTTGACGTCGCTGTTGACGTTGACGTTGGTGTTGGCGTTAGATGCGCTGAGCTGCTCTGCTCTGCGTGTGATGCCCGGATGATGGTAGCGACAGTCCGAGGTCGCACCGTAGGTAAACTCAGCAGCCAAATTACAAAAATAAAGCAACAACAGCAACAATAACCAAAAACAACACACTCTAGTTACTATCATGCGAATAGGCCGCAGTCGCAGAGCGCTCTTCAGGCCCACTACCAACTAAACCTGTTGACCTAATTTCAAATTCTGCTGCTTGCGCCAGTCGACTGCGTTTTGTTGTTGTTGCTGTTGTTTTTGCTGTTGTTTTTGCTGCTGCTGCTGCTGCGGCTGAGAGCTCGAGCGCGCCAACGATTGGCAAATCTTTGCACAGTGGCGTCGCTTCTTGGAGGGATCGTTGTGGATAAATTGTGTCATGATTTAAAGTGTTTGTCCTTGTTTTAAAAAACAAAAGTACAATCAAATAAATATAATTAGTAAATATAATATAAATATAAATAATCAAAGTAAGATATTTCAAAAATTTGTTTTTGATATTAATTAATGTTTAGGCATTAATTGATTAAGTTAAACGTGTATTTTTGCGTTATATGAAACTTGCATAAAAAATAAATTACACAAAGAAAAAATTAGAAAGACATTAAAAGTGTTGAATAACACTCTTAAATAATAAATTACTTTGCAATTTGCTGTAAGTTTAATTTACTAACTTCTAATCGGCACCCCCTGGCGGCCAAAAATGGAGCGGCGACTACGCCACTGTCATTTCCGTCCCAAAACAAAACAGAAACTGAGACTGCCAGTCAGACAGACAGTCAGCCAGAGACGCTCGCTAGCTGGCTGGCTGTCATACACACTCACACACAGCGACACACACACACACATACATATATAAGCGAACACACACATTTTGTACTTCCACCAGCTATTGCAGTTTGCTTGGGTTTCAGTTCGTTCGTGCGCGTCGTCGACGACAGCGCCAATAAGCGGAATCGGAATCGGAATTGGCATAGGCATCGGCATCTCGGCGACGGGATCGAAATTCGGAATCGGGAGCGGAATCCAAGCGACGCGTCGTCGACGACTGATCCAAAGAAGAATTCGCGCGTAGTGAAATTCGTGGGCAGCGTTCGTTGCGCAGGTGTTTCGATCAGCACCCACAAAAGAAAAACTCAACGAAACTCAACTAAACGAAACTCAACGCATAAACAAATGCAATTTGCCGTTGGCAACATAAACGCAAGAGCGAAAAGTGATACAAAACATAAATAGAGTGCGAATTAGCGTGTGAGTACAACAAATAAATACCACAATCTTATTGGGAAGCCCAATAATGTACATACGTCCCAGTAACCACAAAAAAATACATATTGCGGTCGCTGCCTGCCCCAATGGGCCGCCGCCGCAAAATGCTGCTGCTGCTGCTGCTACTGCTCCACTTGTCGTCGCAGTGACGAAACTTGCATGTGTGTGTATGTGTGTGCATGCGTATGTGTGTGTGTGTGTGCAGAGAAAATCAAGTGAATCAAAATGAGCGTATAATTAGGTCAGCAGAAAAAAACAACAAAAATTATACGCCAGCCAGTGCCACTTACCAAAGAGAGCGAAGAGAGTGCGATACGAAACGAATCGAAACGAAACGGAACGGAACGGGTCGGGAGACAGGCCATTAATAATTAGAAACTGATTCACACCGTTTTATTTTTTAATGGTCACATATCGAATGCAATGCAATGCAATTTGTACAGCAATTAAAAGAACCAATAAGAAAGTTGTGTACTGTTTCTGTACTGTTCTGTTTTTTGTGTGTCAACTGCCATATGGCATTTGTTCGTTGCATTTACATTTTAGCAGCAGCAAAATCAGCAGCAGCAGCAGCAACTAAATAAAAAACAATGCGCGCCGAGCATAAACAATAAATGCATGCCGCATGTTCCACTTGCTTCCCGAATTCGAATTGGATTGCTTGCTCTCTCTCTCTTGCTCTCTCTCACCTCTTTTACTCTCACCACGTGCAAGCTCTTGCTCTCGCTCTCTCTGGCTTGCACTCTCTTTTGCTCTTGGCGCTCAGCTGAGCAATGTTTGACGCTGCCCCCAACTGAACTATTTCTTTTACGCCTTTTTTTTCTTCTTCTGCTTTTGCCTGCTTTTCTCGTTTGACGTTGTTGTTGCCATTTGCTTGTTGGCCGTGGCAAGTGTTTCGCAATGAGCGCGACGGGCGCTGTTCGCTGCTGCTGCAAGCCAAAATGAAATCATCGTCAGCGGCAGTTGTTGTTGTTGTTGTTGGTGCTGCTACTGCCGCCGCATTGGCATTGATGGGAGGGAAATTCCTGTTCCACTTTCTATTATGGGAGTAGCGTCGCTGCCAGCGTCGCTGTAATAAAAGCAGCGACAGCAGCAGCAGCAGCAGCAGCAAAAGTAGCAAAAGAGCACGTAGCATTTAAGTGTGTCAGGCGTGGAAAGTGGTTTGTTTCTCTGTCGTCTCGATTGTGTGTGTCTGTGTGTGTTTGTTGTTCTCGTTCTTGTTCTTGTTCTGATTCTTGTTGGCGTCGCCAAAGCACATGTCACTCATAGTCCAATCAGAAACCAAGTCGCGACTTATTTGGGGGGGAACACTTTGGGAATGGTTCGGTTCAGAGCGATGAAAGCCAAAAGCAAAAAGCCAAAAAGCAAAAGCAGCAGCAGAGGTAAA